GTGTTTGACGTGGACCACGATGAGGAGCGGGCCAAGGCGGTGGGCATGGAGGTCAACGGCTTCAGCTTTGAAGGCATGGATGAGGGAGCCATCGACTATGCACTCAACAGGTCAGCATGCAGCCCCGCCAGTGCTGGCGACCGCGGCCAGCTGCCGGCAGCTGCGGCTGGCTGGGCGGCCACGCCTGTTGGCACCCGCCGCCGCACCTGCTGCTGCTGCTGGGGGCGGTCGGCGCCTGCCTGCCTGCCTGCCTGCCCACGTCGCGGCAGCCTAACCTGTGTGGACAGGGTGCACTCCTCCCTCGGTCCCCACCATCCCCCACCCATGCGTGCCCCCGCTGACCCGAGGCCGCCCCATGTGCCTGCCTGCCTCCCTCCCTCTTGGCTGCCCTGCAGGGCCCTCTCCCGCTTCTTCAACGACCGCGACTGGTGGAACGGTCTGGCCAAGCGTGTGATGCAGATGGACTGGTCATGGAACAGCCCAGCGTGAGTTGCGGGCAGCCAGGCTGCTTGCTGCCGGCTGCAGCAGTGGCTGGCCCTCCCAGCCTGGCATGTTGGGGCCGTGCTGGAGCCTGCTGCTTGGGCCTGCTGCTCTGGCTGGGCAGGAAGCTTGATGGGTGGCGGGCCCTGCCAGCCAGCCAGGCGTGGCTGGTCCCAGCACCGCAAGCCGACCGGGGCTCCCCCCGCCTTCCTGCCGCCATCATGCTGTGCAGCCTCGACTATCTGGAGCTTTACTACCGCGCCCTCAAGCGCAACTGAGGCCCCTCCCGGCTGCCTTCCTCGAGGCCGCTCCCGGGTGCCCCCACCCACTGTCCGGACAGCCGCACCCTGGCGCATGCTGGGGCGGTGCAAGACGCGGCCGGATGCTCCCTTGGGAAGTACCTGTTGCCAGTACCGTACGAATTCTGCCCGTACCGCCATACCCCCCTGTTTCGCCATATCTCTCATATTTCGTTGCCGGCTACCTCCCGCGAGCTTCCGGGCCACATAGATTGATTGACAAGCCAGCCCATTGCTTGCCGTGACCAGCAGTAGCCAAACCCCTCACCCTTGTCCTCCACAACCCCGGTCCCGGCGGGCGCCTCGTGGCTGCCGGTGCAGCGCTGGGCGCTCTGCCCGGGTGTATTGTAGCTGCAGCACTCTCACCCCTTCCCTGTCCTGGCTGTGGGTTTAACCCCTCCGGTTTAACCCGCCCTCAAAAGCGTGCCATTTGTCCATCCTGGTTGAATTCCCTCTGCTCTCTGTTCCTTGCCCCAGCCCCCTTGCACAGGGCTTTCCACTCTGCTTCCCACTCCAGTTCCACTCCCGTAGCGCCTCACTCGCTTTCGCAGTAGCTGTTCCCCCATCACGAATGAAGCGCAGCATGCACAGCACGCGACAGGCGTCTGAACCAGGGCCGACAGCCCCACGGGCCCGCCGCCTGCCGCCGTGCTGCTCTTTCCCGTTTTTTGCATGCGGGTATGCGGCCCTGGCCGCCAAGAGCGTCGCAGCGATTTTGAGTCTGTGTGTTTGCATTGCACCACTTTTCCGTTGAAGCACACCTGTGACACCAGGGAAAACACTCTCCAGGCGTAAGACAATAAGTTTGGGCTATGGCAGGGATGGGGACGATAGGCTGCTAAATTGGGTTGACCGGCTCGTGGTGACTCGCTGGGGGTGGCGTGCCGGGCTGGGGTGCTGGCAAGGCTCGCCCGGGCATGCCCGGAATCCCAGCGGGCTCCTTTCCAGCCCAGCAGCCAGCTTGGGGGTCAACAAACGCCCATCGGCGACGGCGCGCTGCTCAACAGACGAGCAGAGCTTCGCAAGCCCGCTATCCCACTCGGCGCACAGCGAGGAGGGCAGCATCAGCCTGCAGAGTGCCGCCATGCCCGCACTCAGATGATACCAGCCATGCCCGTCTCAGCAGCCAAAGGCCACCAGCATCACTGTGCAGTTGTCCTTGCACTTGCGCTCGCGGATCGCCTCATAGATCAGCCGGTTGCACGTCTGCTTGACCCCCTTGCCCAGCCCCAGCTCCCGCCGCGCATAGTCCACCGCATCCTGCGGGCTGAACACGCCTGCAGCGCCGCCCAGGGGGTGGTGGGGTGGGATGAGTGTATGTGGGGGGGTGCAGCACGCGGCGCTGGGTTGGCAGCCGCAGGCGGCCCGCATGAGGCAGCAAGCGCAGTGGAGGCGCTGCTCTGCTCCCCGGTCTGCTGCCCTCCCTGCCCCCCTCCTCGTTGCCACCTCCTCCCCTGCAACCATGCGCCACAGCACAGCGCGCCGCACCCCAGAAGCCGTCGCAGGCCAGCAGCAGGAAGGCGTCTCGGGACGACAGCTGGAAGGCTTGGATGTCTGGCACAGCAGTCATGCCCTGCCGCTTGAACGGGCGGTCACCAAAAGCTCGCGACACCTCGATTCGGCCTGCGGGCATCGTGGCCACGCAGGCCAGGCAGGTGGGGCGGCCGGCGGTTGGGTCAGCAGGCAAGCCAGGCAAGCAAGCATGGACACATGCATGGAGAGCAGCCGGAGCACGTGCCGCCTCCCTAAAACTCGTGCCCCGCACCTGCCAGCCGCCCGTCGCCACTCACAAAGCTGCCTGCCTTTTCGATGCGCTGGCGCTCCTGAGGGAAGATGGCCTTGTGCTCTCGGGTGAGTGTGATGGCCTTCAGGGGGGCCCGCCACCGCCCCTGCTCCCCCTGCTGCTGCTGCTCGCCGCGCTGCCACTGTCCGCCCTGCTGCCGCTGCTGCTGCTCCGGCTGCACGCTCCCAGCCGCGTCAGCGGCCTGCCCCTGCTGCCCCTGCTGCTGCTCGGACGCGGCGCCGCCCGCGTGGGCTGCCGCCCTGCTCGACACAGGAGCCGCCGCCGCCGCCTGCGGCTGCCGCGCCAGCACGCATCGCGCGTCCCCCACGTTAGCGACCAGCACCGCGTCTCCCACGACGTATGCCACCACAGCGGTGCACCCGTCCTGCCACCCCGCTGCCGCACACTGCTCCAGCACACGCCGGTCCAGCTCCCGAAAGCCCTCGGCCAGCGCCGCCCTGCACTGCTTGATCTGCGCCGCCGGCTGCGCTGCGCCTGGGCTGTCGCCGGCTGCTGCTGCGGGCGCGGCAGCCGCAGGCGCCGTGGCGGCGGCGGCGGCTGCTGCAGCCAGCCGCTCCGCCTCCTGCTGCAGCCCAGCCGCCATGATGCAGCCGTGCAGGTGGTCAGCGGCGTAGCGCGCCACGCTGGCGCCGCCGTGGCCGTCGAAGATGGCGAAGAAGGACAGGCGGCAGCCCGCTGTGGTGGAGGTGCCGGCCTTGTGGCTGATCACAGCCACGTCTGGCGAGGGACAGGCACAAACAGAGAAGGCAACGCAGGCATGTGGGGCGGCGTCAGGGAGGGCTTGAGAACTTGAGAACAGGGGCCGCCGCCGCTGTGGAACGCTGCTCGGCAGGCTGCAGGGGCCCGCCCCCAACCCTCACCTTCCATCGTCAACCGGCTGCCTTTGTCCTCGCTGTACGCCGCCTGCAGGCTGCCCATCCAGGCGCTCCCGCCGTTGGTGCCGCCGGCGGCGCCGCCGCTGCCGGAAGGTGCAGACTCTAACGCGCCGCTGCCGTTGGAGGGCTGATCGCCATCGTGCCGCGGCTTCTTGCTGGCGCTGGGAGCGGCAGCAGAGTCGGCGTCCCGCTTGCCAGAGATGGCATCGTGCTTGGTCGGGGCGGGCAGAGCATCGAACAGGCCCATTCTGCTCGGAACAACGCTGCAAAGACGCGACCGATCAAGGCAAGTCGCGAAAGCCAGTTCGCTCCAAAGACGCACAGCAGCGGCGCCAGCGCAGACCGATAGCCTTTCAAGGACCTCCCCTCTTCTTCTCCCCTGGCCTCGACACAGTCACCAAGCACAGCCCTCTAATGCTTCCTGCTCCCCACCGGTGCGCTTCTCCCTATGCAGCGGCACTGCTTGCACTGTCTCTCGCACTGGGGCAGCGTTACAGTCGGAAACCAACTGCAATGCTGAAGTTGTGGCAGCGGCTGCCCTGCCCAGCCGCCGCCCCAGCTAGTTCCATCCTAACACCGAGAGAAAGGGAGCGGGCTGCGCTTGGCCGCGCCGAGGTCAAGGGGCGGCGCGGCGGCCCCGCCTGGGCGCGGCTCGCGCCGCGCAGGCTGCTGCTGCTGCGTGCGGCGGCGCCGCTCAGTAGGCCTTGCCGACCACGGGCTTGGCCAGGAAGTCGCTGTACTCCTGCAGTACATAGGGCGGTACACATGGCAGTACACAGGGATGTTGGTGCAGGTGGCAGCAGTACATGCGTCGTTCGACACACATGCCGGCCCCGGAGCGCTGCTGCCGCCGCTGCCGCTGCTGCGCGTCGCGCCGCCCGCAGCTCGCCCCGCAGCTCGCCCCGCCGCCTGCCCGGCCTACCGCCCGCCGCATGGCCCGCGGCCCGGCCCCTCTGGCCCCATAGCCGCCTGTCAAAGCCTGCCGGGAGCCGCACCTGCAGCGGGCTCTTGGTGAACACCGTCTCGCGCCACAGCTCGGGTGTGAGGAAACCGTAGGAGGAGGAAAGCGCATAGAAGGTAGCCTTGACAAAGTTGCCCTGCAGGGGACAAGACGGGGAGAGCGGCGGCGGGGTGGGGCGCCGCACAATGGGGTGTGTGTGGCGGGGGCGCGGGCGACGGTAGCAGCACCGGCGGGCCTGGCTGCCTGCTGAGCACGCGCAGCGGGCGACGGCGGGGCGCCGCAAGCGGGGCGAGGGCGTGGGCGGGCGCGGGGCAGGGCGTAGGTGGTGAAGAAAGCGCGACGGGGGAAGAAAGAAAGCGCAACGGGGGGAGAAAGGAGGCGCACCAGGGTCTTGGTGGAGCCGCGGGAGCAGGTGTAGCAGTCCTCAATGCCAGCCATCTGCAGCACCTTCTTGGGGGTGCGCGCCGCCACGATGCCCGCACCTGCGCCCACGCGCCAAGGGCACAACAAAGCAAGCCGGGCACACGGCGGCGTCAGCAGGGCACCACGCCGCGGCGGGCATCCAGGTGCCGCACGCCACGCGGCGCCGTGCGGGTGCCTGGCAGCTGGCCGGCGGGCCGGTGCATGCCAGCACTGGCAGCAGCAGCCACGGCTGGGCTGCTGCCACAGCGTGCAACACAGCGTGCTGCTGAGGGCTGGCGGCGAGCCCCGGCGGCCGCCTCCCTGGCCCCACTCACCGCGAGGGGCGGGGATGAGGCGCACCAGCACGCTGCCGCACTCTCCGGTCAGCTTGGTGGGCACAGTGTGCACCTGCGCCGCGCAGGCAGGCAGGCAGGCAGGGGCGGGTGAGTGAGCCCGGCGCGCCAATCGGGGGCATGGCAGCTGTGCGCCGTGGCAGCAGCCGTGGCCCGCCGCGGCCACCCCGGCCGCCCCCGATGCGCCTCCCGCCGCGCGTTTTTTCCTCGCGCCACTGCGCTGCACAGGCCAGCCTCGCACGGCCAGCCCTCGTACAGCGCCGCCCTGCCTAGGCACTGCCCGGCCTAGGCAGCCAGACCGGCAGCCCGGCGGGCCCGCACCTTGCCGATCTTGTTGCCCCAGTAGCCGCGGCGCACGGGCACGGTGGCCATCTTGGCCAGGATGATGCCGCCGCGGATGGCGGTGGCCACCTCCTTGGCGCACTTGACGCCCAGGCCCACGTGGCCGTTGGAGTCGCCCACGCACACAAAGGCCTTGAAGCGGGTACGCTGGCCGGCGCGCGTCTGCTTCTGAACCGGCATGATCTTCATGACCTGGGGAGAAGAGATAGGGAGGAGGGCGGGGAGGAGGAGGGGGGGGGTTCTTTGTCGTGGGGCCAGCACGGCACGGCAGCAGAAGGAGCAGGGATGGGCGTCCGCTCGAACCGGCTGCCACGGCAGTCGGCTCGAACCGGCTGCCACGGCAGAGGCCGCCGTTTGCCGCGGCCGGGCCCGCCCGCCCGCTGCGCCTGCGGCGCTCTGCCGCGCCCCGCGCGGCTGCACGGCGCGGCTGCAGCCCGGCCCGCGGCAGCCCGCCCGCAGGCGATTTCAGCAGCCTAGGCTGCACCCCCAGGCTCGTGCGGGCGCGGCCAGACACACAAACCCATAGTGCCGCGCACCTCGTCCTTCAGTGCGGCCCCCAGGAAGAAGTCCACAATCTGGTACTCCTTCACCGCCAGCGAGAAGAGGTAGATCTGCTCCAGGCTCTTGATCTTGCCCTGCACACGCGTGCGAGCAGGCCCCCAAACAGGCACGGCGCAGGCGTCAGCCAGGGCGGGAGGCTAGGCAGCGCGTGCCGCGGGCGCGGCGCGCGGCGGGTGGTTGCGGCGCGCCGAGCGGCGCGGCCGGGCTGCGGCTGCGCGTCTGCAGCCGGCAGGCCTCCTGGTGCCGCGGCTGGCAGGCCGCCGCGCCGCATGTGCGGCTGCTGCTCCAGCCAACAGCAAGGCTGCATCCGATGTCGCTGCGGCACGTGCCGCACACTGATGCTTCCAACAGAAAGGAGCGCAGCCAGGAGCCCCGCCATCCACGCTGCCTTCCCGCCGCTGCACCCCCCTGCTGTTCCAAGCTTTGCCCCAGCAGGCTGCCGTGGCCTGCGGCTTAGCCCCTGGTCCAGCCCGCGCTGCCGCAACTCCGCTCCACTTCCACATTCACATGCTGCGCTGCTGCTGCTGCTGCCAGGCGTGCGCCTCCTGCCGTTGCAGCATGCTGCGCCCCTGCCCTCGTGCCCTGCGTGCTCTGCTGTGCCCCAGCCCTGCGGCAGGAACCAACTCAGCAGGACACTGCGCACCTGCTGCACCAGGCGGCCCAGCTTGGTGGTGGGCACCCACTTCTCCTCGCCGTCGTCGCGGCGGCCCCGGCCCCGGCCGCGGCCGCGGTCGCCCCGGCCGCGGTCGCCGCGCCCGCGGTCGCCACGCCCGCCGAATCCCCTCCCAAAGCCGCCGCGCTCGCCGCCGCGCTCACCGGACGGTGCGGGGGCGTCAGCCATCTGCAAGGGCGCAGGGCGGGCAGCGGTGGGGCGGCAGCATGGGGGGACTGGCAGGCACCCCCGCAAATCCAGCCGTTCCAGGCGCTGCCTGGGCCTCCAGAAACGGGCGTGCAGCCCTCGCAGGCAGCCCAGCAGGGGCGGGCCAGGTGATGCGCCCGGCTGAGACCGTGGCTGCCCCATGGCGATGCATGGGGCTCCAGTGACCATTCACAGTCCCCCGACCACGGTGGGGGGCTGCCAGGCCGCCATGCGGCCATGCTGCGGCGATGCGGCATGCTGGCCTCCCTGCCTGCCCTGCACTCACTTTGTGTTTGCTGACCGCCTGTGCCACGCACACAGAACCGTCAGAAAGAGGCCTGCGGCGATGGCAAGCCCCACTTTCGCAGGGCGGGAGGCCGCGCCTGGGTCGGAAGGGGCGCGCTGGCCGGCAACCTGTGCCGGCACCCAAACCTCAATTCAATTCGATCTTCCCAATCCGAGCCGGCCTAACAGCTAGCTGGCCGCTGCCCCTGCCCCCGCCCTTCCACCCCTTTGCCACCGGCCCAGGCCCCTCCCCCTGAGCTCTGTCGGGCCTCGCTCGATCACCTGCAGCACCTGCCAGTGCTCATCGTACTCTACAGAAAACTTCCCGCTGCGCCGTGAGACACAGGGCCCCCGAGGATGTGGCGCAGAACGGGGAGCCTGCTGGGCAGGATGGCGCACCTGGCCGGCCAACCAGCAGCTTATGGAGGCCTGTCAGGTGAGCCGGCTAAGGGTTACACGGCTGCCAGCCAGCCTGAGGTGGGGGCGGCGGCTGTGCCGCCTGCGTGAGCTGCCGCCATACCCTGTGTGCCCTAGGAGCCCTGCCACTGCAAGAGGGAGCACCCGCACCACACATACTGCTGTTTCTTGACGGCATGTGCCCTTCACCTCGCAGGCGCCTCGCGCCCAGCAGCAGCAGCAGCGGCAGCCTGCGCCGGCAGCAGCGGGTGGGCGCCGGGCGCAGCACCCAGCCTCCACCCCTCCCAGCAGCCGCGCCCGCCGCCCTGCCGGCGCTTTGTCTCCGGCAGCAGCGAGCGGCTGGAGCCAGCAGCGGTACCCGCGGTGGCGCCCACGCCGTCACCAGCTGCGGCGGCCCCCGAGCCAGCAGCAGGCCCCGCAGCAGCCACCGCAGCGGGCGCAGCGGCGGCAGCGCCGCCAGGCGCCCACCCCGACGCCTTTGCGCTGGTGCGGGACGAGATAGAGTGCGTGACGGAGCGGCTGCGCCGCGACATCTTCACAGAGATTCCCGCCCTGGAGCGGGCAGCTGAGTACTTCTTCCGGGCAGGCGCCGAGGGCAAGCGCCTGCGCTCCACCATGCTGCTGCTCATGGCGTCAGCGCTGGCGCCCGCCCCCGCCGGCCTGGACCACCTGACGGTGGACACGTCGCCGCCGGCGGAGCACCCGCCCACCGTGCGGCGCAGGCAGCAGCGCATCGCGGAGATCACAGAGCTAATCCACGTGGCCTCCCTGCTGCACGACGACGTCATTGATGCGGCGGGCACGCGGCGCGGCAAGAAGTCGCTCAACGCGCTGTTTGGGAACAAGGTGCCCGCTGGCCTGTGCGTTTGCGCGTGTGCGCGCGTGTGTGCGTGTGCGTTTGGGCGTGGCTGCGGCGCGGCAGCGGCGGCGTGGCTGCGGTGCCTGCCCTCGGTGGCCCGGCAGGCGGCCCGCCCGCCGTGCCCGCCGCTGCTGGCGGCAGCCCGCCCTGCCTGGCGCCGCGGCGTTGCGCTGCTTGCGCTGATGGTCCCGCTGGCGCTGATTGCACTGCCGGTACCGCCGGTACCGCAGGTGGCCATCCTGGCCGGCGACTTCCTGCTGGCCCGTGCCTCGGTGTCGCTGGCGGCGCTGCGCAACCCAGAGGCCATACTGCTGATGAGCCAGAGCCTGGAGCATCTTGTGGCGGGAGAGATCCTGCAGGTGGGTGTGTGGGGGGTTTGAGGCGAGGCCCTGCGCCGCCGCCGGGCATGGCACGCGCCTGCGGGCCCGGCCGGCGGCTCCCAGGCGCAGCGGCAGGGCGGGTGCGTGGTGCTCGCTCGCCCGCCCCGGCCGCCGGCCGCCGCGCCTCGGCCCGCCGCAGCCCCACCTTTCTTTGTGTGGTGGCCCCGGGGACCCCAGGGGCCACCACCCCACTGTGTGCTCCCTCCCACACCTCCCAAGCGCTACTGTCCCCTCCTCTTCATTCCCCTCTTCCTTCCTGCCCTGACTCCTTCCTTTCTTCCTTTCTTCCTTGCGCAGCTGACAGCGGACGTCGAGGAGGCTGCCAGCATGGACCACTACATGCGCAAGACGTACTGCAAGACCGCCTCGCTCATGGCCAACAGCTGCCGCGCGGTGGCCGTGCTGGGCGGGCACGGCGCGGGCGACTGCGGCGCGGCGGCGGAGTACGGGCGGCACGTGGGGCTGGCTTTCCAGCTGGTGGATGACGTCATGGACTACACCTGCTCGGGTGGGTGACCCCCGGGGATCGCCCGCCTCATGCCTGGCTGCCGTGCGTGCAAGGGCGGGGCGGTCGACGCCGCGGGCTGCGCCCGCTCGGCGTGTGGAAGGGTGGGGTGGGGGTGGGGTACCCACCGGTGGGGAGGTTCGGTGAGGGAAGTGCCGGGTGGCGGACGGCGGCGTGCGCCGCACCTGAGCGGGTGCAGCGGGCCTGCGGCTGGGTCACGGCGTGGGGGGAGCTGGCTATGACCGTGAAGAGGTGAGCGGGGCTCCCCACTTCCTTCCCTGTCCCCCCTCCCACACACACACATTCACACACACTCTCTGCCCCTGCCTTGCTCCCCTGCGCAGCCAGCGAGATGGGCAAGCCCGCGCTGAACGACCTGCGCAGCGGGCTGGCCACCGCGCCGGTGCTGTACGCAGCGGAGGAGCGCCTGGAGCTGCTGCCGCTCATCCAGCGCCGCTTCAAGGAGGTGCGGTGTGCGTGTGTGTGTGTGTGGTGGTGGTGGTGTGGGGGGAAGGGGGGGGCAGGCAGGGAGGCAAGGCAGGCAAGGAGGCAAGGCAGTGTGGAGGGCAGCCAGGCGTTTATGCCGGTTGCCTGGCCCACCTGTGCTTGCGACCCGGCTCAGGCGCCGGCCGCGCCTTGCATGCATGACGGGGACCCCGCCGGCGCCCTCCGATTTCCTCAACGCTGTGATGCCAGTCATCAACCGACCCGCTGCCCTCCATTCTTCCTCCTGCGGCCCGCGCCCGCCCTGCGTGCAGGAGGGCGATGTGGAGGCTGCGCAGGAGCTGGTTGAGGGCAGCAGCGGACTGCAGCGCACGCGCCAGCTGGCGGCCTTCCATGCCGAGGAGGCGGCGCTGGCGGTGCAGGGCATGAGCCCAGCGGCCAGCCAGCACGCGGCGGAGCACCGCCAGGGCCTGCTGCAGATCACGCAGCGGGTGCTCAACCGCAAGAAGTAGCGCACGGTGTGCTGCGCCGGGCCAAAGCGCGGCAAACCTGCCCTGCTGGCTCGCAGAGCACCCAACCTGTACACTGAACCCATTGCCACGGCAGGCAGCGGCTGCTGTGGCTGCTGTGGCTGCCCCAGTTTTGCAGCAGCACTGCTTGACTTCAAGGTCTGCCCGCACACATCCCTGAAAACGGCTTGCCCTGCCTCTTCGTCAACCGCAGTTGAGTGTATGCCTAACCTCCTTGTCCCCTCCACCACGTCTGGTTATTTCCAGGGCTGCCTATCATCCTGCGCTCTTTGTAACATTGCAACTGGCGGCACCGGCGCCACCATTCCACCAAGGCCTGCACCCAGGTGTGCATGGCGGGAGCGGAAGGAGTGCAAAGGGTGCCGTTGCCCAGGGCAGGAGCAGCGCCTCCAGCAGCACGGCCAGCAGCTGCGGGCCGCGTGGCAGCACCCTGTCTCATCACGCGGGGGTGCTTCAGGATGCTGCGGTACCACCGGGAGGGCTTCATCATGGAGGGGCTGCCGTCTGTTGGAGACTTGCTGTCGCGGCAGCCGGCCGCCTGCGCGGCGGCAGCGGCAGCAGCGAGGGCGGCGGCGGCGGCGGTGACGGCGGGGGATGATGCAGCCCGGGTCTTTAGGGGTCTCCTGGCGGTGCTGCTTGCTGCCCTGGAGGCGGCGGCCGAGGCGGCCCGGGCCTTTGCCTCTGAGAAGTTTCATGTGGAGTTGATCTGATGATGGATGTGCAGTGTATAGTTTTGTCACACCTGCGAGGGCTGGACAGGCAGGAGGGGAGCTAGAGATGAGATGACGAATAGGTGCCCATTTAATGGGAGACAAAAATTGCTTGAAGGGTGACCAACAAGCGGAGATTGGATAATGTTTTCAACCAGCAATTGTCCTGTCTCGGTTAGACCTCATTAACTAGGACATTGCCCCAAGCGCAAAGATGCCATACGTTCATGGATTAGGGGCTGGTTGGGCAACCAGAGCAGTGACTCCCCGCTTTCTTATGGGGCCCGTGCTCGCCTTTCCTCCGCCCACCGGTCGCTGTCTTCCCCGCCATGCCGGCCTGCAACCACTGCGCTCGCCGCCCTGCTGCCAGGCCCATCCACCCAGCCATCCGCCCAGCTCCACAGAGGCTGGTGCAGCCGCTGCCGGTGCCTCCCGAGCCCTGGTGCGCCTGGTCGGCCCGGCAGCCACTCACGGCTTGGCGACATTGCAGGAGCATCGATTGGGCTTCCGGAGGCCGTCAAAAACCGCATTCAGCAGATCGATCACTCCCAGCGACAATGTTTGGACTCGTGCATAGCCTTTCCCTGAACGCCGTAAGGAGCGTGTCTCGACTGAGCAGCGCGCATCGCGCAGGCCCAGAGGGCGGGCGGTGGCGGCGGTGGCGGCGGCGGCCGCCAGGCCCCACCATGCGCTTCCAGCTGGAGGGCCCCACTGTGTCCTTCCCCTACCAGTTCATCTACCCTGAGCAGTACCAGTACATGCTGGAGCTGAAGCATGCGCTGGATGCCTGGGGCTAGGGGCACTGCCTGCTGGAGGTGAGCGAGGGTGGCAGCGGAGCGGGCGGGCAGCGCACAGCGGTGGGCACCTGAGTTGAGCCGGAGCAGCTGGCCCTGCAGGCCGGAGGGGAGGTGAGGATGTGTCGTAAGGCGCCCGCACTTGGCCCTGCTCCCCTGTGCACCCGCCGCCTGCCTCGTGCCCGCAGATGCCCACGGGCACGCGCAAGACGGTGACGCTGCTGTCGCTCATCACCTCCTGCCAGCTGGCGCACCCAGAGGTCGGCAAGCTCATCCACTGCACACGCACCAGCCGGAGATGGAGAAGGTGCGGCGCGCTGGTGGAAGGGAGGGGGCAGGGGGAGGGGCAGGAGGCGAGCGCAGAGCTGGGGTGGGGCCACGACCGCAACGCTCTCGCCTCCTGCCTCGCCGCAGGCTGCTGCCCGGCTGCCGCCGCTGCGGCTGCAGGTGCTGGCTGAGCTGAAGGAGCTGGTGCAGTACCGGCAGCGGTACTTCCAGGATGCGGCGGGGGGGGCGCCCAAGTTGCTGGCGCTGCGGCTGAGCAGCAGGAAGAACCTGTACTTATACCCCTGGGTGGCCGGTGGGTGGCCCGGCGCTGCCTGCGCCTGGCCCCGCCCCCGCCCCCGCCCCCGCCTGCCCTGCAGTCCAATCGCCAGCGGCGTGGCGGCGCTGCTGCCCTCCCCTCTGGCTCCGCCGCACCGCCGCCACGCCGCTGGCCCAGCGCCCTCCTCCCGCGCCACCTGCGGTGCAGAGGAGGGGTCGCGTGAGAGCGTGGATGCCAAGTGCATGCGGCTGACGACGCCCTGGGTGCGGGAGCGAGCTGGGCAGGACCCAGACATCGAGACGTGCGGCTTCTACGAAGGCCTGGAGGGGGCGGGGCCGGAGGGACGCCTGGGCGCGGGTGCGGCGGGCGGGGGCCGCCCTCGGCTGGCCGCCGCCGCCTGGCGCTGCCCGCTGCCGCGGTGGGCTGCGTGGGGCGCTGTCGAGCGCGGGAGAATGCGTGGCGGTGTGCTGCTGCCGCCCGCGCATGGACGCGTCGCGCCCACCCCTGCCCACGCCCCTGGCTGCCTCTGCCCGCCCCGCGCGCCCGCAGGCGTGCACACGCTGCACGACCGCCGAGTGTGGGGTCGCAAGCACCAGTGGTGCCCCTACTTCCTGGCCTGCCGCATGCTTGCCTACTCCAATGTCGTGATGTACAACTGCCAGTACATGATAGAGCCAAGGTGGGCTGCTGGGCTGGTGGGGTGGTGGGGTGGTCGGGGGTGGTGGTGCTGGTGCTGGTGGTGTGCTGTGTGCAATGCGTGCGCATGTGTGTGTGTGTGGTGTCTCAAGGTGGTGCAGGAGCCGGGCAGGCACGGCGTGCCGTCCACGCCGCCGGCTGGGCCTCTGTGCTTGCGGCACGTCCCATCCTGCCGCCGGTGCCCACTACCCTGCCCGCCGCCACCCTCCCTCTTCCCGCCCTCAGGTGTCACAGATGGTGAGCGGCGAGTTTGAGCGCGAGTGCGTGGTTGTGCTTGATGAGGCGCACAACATAGACAATGTGTGCATAGAGGCGCTGTCGGGTGAGGGGAGGGGGAACAAGGGGGGCGGCTGGGTGTGTGCGTGCAGGTGGAGGAGGTCTCACAGGAGCAGGTTGCTGCCTCGCCTTCCACCCAGATCCTCCCGACCAGTGGGAGCAGCCACACCGTTGGTTGACGCTCCCACCTCCCTCACCTTGCCGCCCGCCGTTTTGCCACCCTGCCTGCTGCACACCCTGCCCCCGACCATTCCTGTGCAGGCAATACGGCTGGCGCACGACAAAGCGCTGCGTGCCACGGCTGGCCAGGTGCGCCCCGGAGGCTGCTCCGACCAGTGTGCTCCGCGGATGTCGCACGTGCCACCAGCTCTGCTCTCGCGGTCGCCGCTGCAGCGCCACCCTCCACCCCGCCTGCCCCTCCCCGCCCTCGTGTGCAGGAGAAGGCGGCCTTGGTTGATCTGGGTCTGGCGCAGGCCGAGGACCTGAAGGGTCTGGGGCAGCGCGTGGCCGCCCTGCTGCTGGTGCTCCTGGGCAGGGACGCCCAGGCCGTTGGGCGGGCGATGGGCAGGATGCGGGTGTTCTGTGGCGGGCTGCGGCTGGCCTAAATGTGCGCTCTTTGTAACATCGCAACTGGCGGCACCGACGCCACCATTCCAACAAGGCCTGCACCCAGGTGTGCACGGTGCGAGCGGAAGGAGTGCAAAGGGTGCCGTTGCCCAGGGCAGGAGCAGGGGAGAGGAGCGGGCACAGCCCCGTCAACTGCATGCGACTGGGCATGCCACCAGCTGGTGGTCCAAGGCCCGGCGCCTCGCTGGCGCCACGGCAGCCGGCGGACAGCTGTCTCTGCTGATGAACACTCAGGGCCTCGCCAGACGAACTACCCGTTCCCCTGCAACCACGGTGGATCGACGAGGTGCTCGCTGTCTAGTCAAGTCGTTCAGAAACTTCACCAGGAGGGGCCTGCGGCACGAGCGCATAGGTTCGCAGCGAGATATGGGGGATGATATGGACAGGTTTATGGCCATGATGGATCGGTACCTGGACAGCGACCCCCGGCAGGTGCGATATTTCGGTGGAGCGCCCCCCCGGGCTGCGGCCCCCCTGTGGGCGGCAGGGCCTGCAGCTGGGTGGCCCGGCCGCTCAGGTGGCCGTCCCCGATGCTGCGCTAGCTGTCCTCCCCCAGGCTCTACCTGGGTTGTTGTGCCTGGACCCTGGGGGCCCTGCAGGCACGCCCTCAAACCGCCGCCGCAGGCAGCACTCTGGCTCTGTTAGCCCAGAGGCACCTTACAGGACATGATGGCCATCATGCAGACTGGCCACATGCCTTGTAAGGTGTGTTTGCCCGGCACCCTCTGCTGCACCAACCCCTGCTGCTGCTGCTGCTGGCCGTGCCCTGGCTGCCCCCAGCATGCTCCTGGGCTGCTGGTGGGCTGCCTTGGAGCCCACAGGGGGGCTCAGGGTAGTGCCGACGCTTCACTACCTGCGTGAGGACGCCTCTGCCGCAATCGACCAAGCAGAAGGTCCCTCGGACAAGCAGCAAGGCCCAGGAGGCCACCGGGCTGGGCCTGGTGTGTGTGGCGCGCCGCCGCCGCTGCCGCCGTCACGTGCCGTCGCCGGGCGGCACGGGGGCTGCGCACAGCTGCCGCCGCCTGCGCAACCTTGGACTGGCATGGCTGCTGGCGGGCGCCAGCCGCCTGCATGATGGGCGCTGGTCTGGCGCACCTGTGGCGCTGCTGACCCGCCGCGCCATTTCCCGCAGCCCCGCGCCTTCTCCTTCACCCCCGCCTAGTCCCTCAGGAGTACCGCCTGGCTGTGCGCAGGAATGCGTGGGAGGAGGCGTCGCAGATGGTGGGGAGGCTGGTGGCTGTGCTAGAGGCGGCGTGCGTGCGCCCTGCTCACACCGGTGAGTGTGCTGGCGGCGGGCTGGCGGCAGGTAGGGCAGCTGGCTGCTTGCCTGCCCAGGGGCAGTGAGCGGCGGGAGCAAACAGCATGGGTGCTGCATGCAGCCCGCATGCCTTGAGGAGCTGGTGGCGCGTGCAGCCGCGCCTGCTGAGGGGCGCCTCCATGCTGCCTGCACCCACACACCTCACAGCCATGGGTACCGTTTGGCTCCCGGGACTCTCCCCTCTCTCCTTCTTTTCCCGGCGTCAAGGGCCCGTGTGAGCGATGCACGAACGACTGCACTGTGCGCATTTGGGCTATTTCAGGGCGGCTGCCTGCCCGCTGCACGCGGTACGCGCATGGGCTGGCCGGCGGCTGCGCCAGCGGCAGGCGTGTGGCTGGCCTGGGAGGGTGTGTGGGGTGGATGGAGGAGCCTGCGGGCCCTGTGTGAGGCGCTGCCTGCCTGGTGCAGCTCCAGCTTGGTCCGTGCGGCCCACTGCCGCTCGCCTGCGGACGCCGCATCAGGCGTGCCCACCTGGGCCTGACCTGCAGCACGCTGGCAATGCTCAGGGAGGGCGCCGGGTCGCCGCCTGCCAGCATGAAGGCGTGGGCGAGCGCGGAGCCAGCCGCCAGAAGCGCCGGCGCCAGCTGCGCGTAGTCGGCGGGGGTAAACAGCACGCATGTTGGCGAGGAGAGGGCCGCCCCACCTCGCCCACCCGCGTGCTCTTCACCCCCGCCGACTTCGCACAAGCTGGCGCCAGGCCTGCCAGGCCGCAGGCTGCAAGCTGGGCCAGGCCTTCCTACAGGGCGGCGGCGACCCAGGCCTCACCCTGAAGAGTGCCAGCGTGCTTCAGGTCAGACCCCGGCAAGCAGCAAGGGGTGGGCGCAGCGTGCATGGCGTGCTTTTGCCAGCACTGGCATCCGCCTCACTTCTCCTCGCCTCGCCGCCCCCTGCCCTCCGCTCCCACGCCACCTGCCTGCAAGTCTTCCTGGACTCGGTGTGCTGGTGAGCACGGACAGCAGCCCGCCAGCAGGCACCGCCAAGACTTCACTGAAGCGACGGCGACACCACCTTGGCCGGTGACCTACTGCGGCGGCGGCTGATGAGCCCGGTGGTCGGGCACAGGAGCCATCCCGCCTTGTGCTGCACGTGGCCCTGGCTCCCACTTCAAAGGAATTCATGTTAGCTGTGCACCGCACTTCCCAGCTGGAGCCCGCACCACCACGTCCTGCCAGCCCCCGCTCCCTGGCTCCACCCGCTATGCATGCAGAAGGTGACTGGCTGGGACGCTGCTGCAGGCGCCGGGTGGCAGCGCCGGAGAGATGCCGCTGCGCCGCCTGATCGCGTCTGCTATTCTGTCCCCGTCGGTTGTCCCGCTTTGCTGTAAAAGATTGACTAGGCAGCACGGCAGGAATGAAGGGCGGTGGATAATCGGAATGGGAGCGGAGAAAGAGCAGCAGACACAGGAGCTCCTGTGTCTGCCCTCGAGGGCAAGGAGGGAAATCTGTACAGAGCTGCAGAAACTGTAATTAGGGGCTCAGGCCAAGGGAGGCAAGCACAGGCATGAAATCAGCCCAGAAGGTTCATCAGCAAGGCCACTACGAAGGAAAGGAGGATGAGTACGACAATCAGCCGCTGGTTCTGCTCCAACTCCTGCAGCTTCGCCTCAGTGGCGCTGTCAAAGCGCTGCTGGTCCTGCTCCATCTGCTGCAGCTTCGCCCCAGTGGCGCTCTCAAAGCGCCGCTGGCCCTCCTCCATCTGCTGCAGCTGCGCCCCAGTGGCCCTCTCAAAGCGCAGCTGGCCCTTCTCCATCTGCTGCAGCTGCGCCCCAGTGGCGCTCTCAAAGCGCCGCTGGCCCTGCTCCATCTGCTGCAGCTGCGCCCCAGTGGCGCTCTCAAAGCGCCGCTGGCCCTGCTCCACCACGGCCAGACGGGACTCCACGGATTGCACACTGGACGCCACGCCCGATACTGATGAAAACACCAGCAAAGTCGCCCCGGTCACGACAGTCGTGCCGATTGCCGCCGCAATGGCGGCCAAGCTAATCGTCGCTAGCAACTCGGCCTGCAAAGGTGGGGACCAACACAGAATACGTCAATCTATTGGGGCTGAAAAGGTGCTGCAAATGCGGAGGCACACGAGACATGCTTGCGTGCGTGATCGGCAGCCCACGTCGATGCGGTTGCCGCCACTGCCGCCGCCGCCGCCACTGCCCAGCGCTTCAAGGCCGCGTTCTCCCGCCTTCTCCTTGCCCCTGTCATCCGTGGATGCCAGCACGCTCCTCAGTGCTCGACGAGGGGCCCGCCAGCGGGCTTCCGGGACGGCCTGCAGCGGAGTCGCCCCCCGGGAGCCTTATCTGGAGGTCACGAGGCCACACACAAGCTATTGGAGGTCGCGAGGCCACACACAAGCTATTCAGAGGGCCGTCAAGCTCACGCGTTTTCTCCGGGGGTTTGCGGGGGCAAAGCTCCCTGACGCAACAAGGCGCACTGCCCACTGCATCCCAGCTGTTTCAATCTAGAGAATTGCGGGCTGGACGTCCGCCTGCTGTCATGCGCCCTCAAACCACGCCCGCCATGCTGCTGCCCAGCACGCTGCGGCGGCCCGTGCCATGTGGCGCCGCAAACACTGCCTGGAAACATTCAAGCATGCAAACATGCATGCTGTTACGCTACAGAAGCCATTTCAAATGGTCTGCAAAGATGGCGGGGCATGCAGGGTGGCATGACGGCCCAGCCGCAGTCGTAGCCAGCTGCGCTCTGCCGACATCAGGCAGCGCCCGAGCTGGAATCGACGCCGGGGCGCAGCAGGCCAGCCAGGCGCAGACTGCACCCTCCGCCGGCCTGGACTGCGCCCCGCAGCTATGGCTAGATGCGCATGGCGCCCAGCCCCCGCAGCGACAGCCTCATGTTGTCTGCCTCGAGCCTCGACTTGCGCACTGCCTGCAGCTCGGGCGGGCTCCGCTCCACAATCTCCACAAACCGGCTGCCCAGCTTGCGTGCCCGCCCCGCCGACTGCACCCGCTCCCGCCCTGCGCCGCATGACGAGGCACGCGCAGGCGTGTGAGGCGCAGCTGATGTGCCTGCTGCTGCCGACGGCAGCAGCGGCAGCGGGTGCCTGCTGGACTGCAGGCATGCGGTGCACGTCAGGGCTGCCTGGCGGCCAGGCTGGCGCCCAGAAGCCGTCGCAGAGGGCGGCCCCAGGGCGGGCGCCTGCCCGCCTCCCCGCCGTCGGCCCACCTGTCTGCGCGGCCGAGTAGCGAACCACAAACTCGCAGCGCGGCACGTCGATGCCCTCCTCCCCTGCGGACGTGGACACCAGCAGGCGGCAGCCAGGCTGGCGGAAGGCCTCCATGGCCGCCCGCTGCTCCTTGGAGGTCATGCCGCCGCCGCCGCCGCCGCTGCCCGCGCCCCGCCGGTTGCCGTGGCCCATGAAGCGGTACACCTGCACGGCGGACATGGCGGAGGCAGTGGGGGCAGCGTCAGCGAGGTCTGCAACGTGTGGGGGCGCAGGCGGGCTGGTGCGCCTTCGTTGCAGAGGCCCCAGGCGGCTCGGCAGCCCCAGCGGGCGCAGCAGGCACAGCAGGAGCACCGGCCGGCTTCAGCCGCCGCCGCGGCGGCAATGGGCAGTGCCCTTCAACCAGCAGGGCCCTGCTTGCCTCCACAAACTGAAGGTCTGGGGTGTCGGAGATGAGGCGGGCCAGCGAGCGCACGGCCTCCCGCGTGCGGCAGAAGACGATGCCGTGGAAGGTGTCGGCGCCGCGGTACTCCAGCAGGAAGTCCCGCAGGGCCTCAAACTTGGGGTGCCGCGACAGCAGGCCGGGGCCGGCGCTGCACAGGCAGCCAGATGGGGCCGGGTCGAGGCATTGTGTGATGTGGCGCAATGCACATGCAGCATGCATATCGTGCTGTGCGTCGTGCAGCAGGCTGGATGCGACAGCATCCCTGCAAGAAAGCCAGCTGCCCAGCGGCGCCTCCTGCACATGCCAGAACGCATCAGGCAGAGGCCGCTGGGCACGGCCCGGCTGCGTCGCCGCTCATGGCCTGCCCACCTGCAGGCTCCAGTCAGCACATCCGCCGCCTCCACCTCCTGGGCCAGGCGCTGCAACAGGGCGGTGGACAGGGGCATGCCGCCGCCCCGCCGCATCGCCTCCACCAGCTGCAGGCAGGCGCAGCGCAGGGCAAGAGCAAGGGGCAGCTCAGCAGCAGCAGCACCAGGGAACCAGGCGGTGCTGCTGTGGTGGTGGTGGTGGTGGTGGTGGTGGTGGGAATGAGCAAAAAGGAGTCGCCCGGTGGTGTATTCCAGCACCCCACACAGCACAGCACAGCACAGCACAGCACAGCACAGCACAGCACAGCACGGAACTCCCGCAGGGCAGGCCAGCCGCACCATGGCAGCCACTCGGTAGTACTCTTGCGACAGGTAGCGCACCGCCGCCTCGAACCCGACGTCCGCCGCCAGCGCCAGCGCCGCCACCGCGGCGCGCACCAGCAGCAGCGCGCAGGTGGCGTCGTGCCGCGCAGCGGCTGCCTCCTCCACGACTGCCGCGGGCCGCTCTGCCTGGCCGCCATAGCCGCCGGGGGCGGTGGAGGAAGAGGCTGTGGGGCCCGGGGCGGCCTGAAGGCCCTCAGCAACCTGCACCGTCCAGCGAGCGGCGGTACTGCACCAGCGGCCTGCTATCAGCATGGCTTCCACCTCGGACGGCAGGCCCACCGCTTCTACAGGTCACAGGGTGACAGGCCGGGCTCCAGCTCGGCCCACGCCTCACACACACCGCGACTGGCCAGCCGCTGCCTCGCGGCAGGCTTGGGACCTGCTGCGAGGCGCCAGCAAGGAAGGGCCTCGCATGGCAGACGCCCTGCCCCTCTCGCAAGGCAGGCCCTCTGCCCACCTCCCTCCTCACCCGACAGCCCCAGCCCCAATGTGAGCTCCTGCACCGCCGTCACCACAAACGCGCCCAGGCGGCGGCCCAGGCCGTCATCTAGTGGGGCCAGGTCAACAAGCACCTCCTCGCCCTGCACCTCGGGCACCGCCGCCTGCGGCAGAAGCGGCGCAGGCGTCGCGGCGGGAGCCGAGGCGGGTTGCTAGATGGGACCGCGGTGCATGCGGGCTGCTGCCAGTTTGAAAGTACCAGTTTGAAAACTGGCACGGCTAGCAGCCAGCCTGTCCCCCACCCTCACCCGCAGCTCCTCATCTGACTCGTCCACAACGTACAGCTGGGCATCCAGGTTGAGCTCCAGCTGATGCAGGGCTTGCAGGGTGGCGTCAAGCGAGTCGCGGCTGGCGGGAGAAGCGGTCAGGCCCAGCACCTGCGGCGGCACGGCGCGCGGCGGCGGCGATGGCGGTGATGGTGACGGCACACGGCCAGGGCAGGGGACTCGGCATGCTTTGGTTTTGCGCTGAGCGGGCGCGCCATGCCACAGGCAGCGGTGGGAGCTTTGCCAGGCATGCATGGCTGGTGGCAGAGGGAGGCGAGGGGGCACCCTGGGCAGGGTGAGGGTCCTCCTGCAGGCAGCTGCGCCTGCTACGCCTGCTAACCTGCGTGGTACGCGCCGAGCTGCGGTTGTGCCGCATCACCTTGTTCACAGGGTGGTCTGCCTGCGCGTGGTGGCACTCATCCACCACCTGCAGCCGGCAGCAGGGCCCTCCGGGTCACCAGGAGCGACCAGTGCCACCACCGGGCGCCTCCTCAGGCTTCCGGGGACCCCCTCTGGCCCTTATGCCCGCTCGCGCACACACACCTCCCACACGCGTAGCGCCGCCAAGGCAGCCTCACCAGCAGCGAGATTTGGTGGAAGTGGGCTGCGCCGGCGTTCAGCATGTTGAGGAAGAGCTGGGGGGTCATCACCACCACGTGATTGTCCTGCAGGGACGCCAGGGGGCAGGCGGTGGTGGTGGTGGTGGTGGTGTCACACAGTTTACACCCGGGGCACAGCACAGCCTTGTGGTGCCGCTAAACTTGTGTAGGGGAGTGCTGCACGCTGCCAGGCCACAGAGACAGCACAGGGCAGGCAGCAGCCGGCGCAAAACACCGCCACCACCACCACAAGCACCAGCAGGCGGCTCGTCCCCTACCTCCAGCAGGCGCTGCCAGTCTCGCGGCGCCACCGGGTTGTCGCTGGTGCGCCCCGTGGCTCGCAGCGCACCGCTGCTGAAGCTGGGGTAGCTCAGGAAGACGGCTGCAGGGGATGGGGCAGCAGGAGGCTGGTGGAAGGCTCGGTAGAGGAGGGACGGGCAGGGGCATCAGCCGCAAGCTGCCAGGGCGCACCAACTGTAGCATACCAGTCACTACAGCCGCATGCTGGGATTGGGGGCGCTAAGCCAGGCGCACAGCAAGCCACACGCGCCCACCACAGCTGCCCGCCTGCCTCCTGACTCCACCATCTGTACCCACACCACCCAACAGGCTGCCCGCTCACCCGTCTGCTGCTGCACCAGCTGCACAGTTGGCGCCAGGAAGACGGTGCGTGCTGATGGGTCTGCCAGCGTCATGTCCACGGCCCGCGCCACCGCGATCACCGTCTTGCCTGAGCCGGTATCTCCCACCACGATCATGTTGCGCCCCGTGGCGGCCAGGGTCACAGCCCGCTGCTGGTAGCCTCGCAGCGCCTGCGGCGCGGGGCCCACCCCCGCCGCCTTGCGCCTGCGGGCAGGGGTGGCAGGGTGCATCAGCAGGACGATGAGTGGCCTCCAGGGTGCAAAGCCAGCTGGGTGTTGGGCCTCCGGGCACGGCGTAAGCTTGAAGCGTGGCGCGGCGGCAGGGGCTGCGGACAGGGAGGGAGACCAGGGGGCACCTGAGCTCCTCCTCGCTGATGCGCCGCTTGGCCTGCTTGATGAAGGCGCCGCCCAGGGATCGCAGGCGGTCGCCGGCGGCCGTCAGCTCCGGCGCGGCGCGCAGCATCTGCTCGTACACCTTCCACAGCGCTCCGCGGCTCAGCTTGGACACGAGGTTCTGCGAGGGAAGCATGGGGTGGGCCACACACGTCAGCAGTTCTGTGCTCAGGGTAGGCAGCGCGCATGGGTGGTGGACGCGGGGCCTGTGCCACCGCGACGGCAGGCGAGGCCGCCAGTAACAGCCGGCATCAGCCAGGCCAGCTACCGCGCCAGCTACCGCCAGCCGGAGGAGCTTGCAACTGTCGCCACCCAACAGTTGCCACCCCACCCCCTGCTGCTCACCATGTACAGCTTGCGGGCGCCTGGCTGCTCCGCCAGCCGCTGCATCAGGAAGTCTGTGGCCTGTTCATCCGTGAGCGCAGCAAAATCGTTGGATGGGGGGCTGGAGCTGTCGTCCTGCGCCCACGCCTCCTCCGCCTCGCCGACGCTGCTCTCCATCTCCACATCGCCGCCGTCCATCAGAAAGGCTAGGCTGGCCTCATCCTGGTCCTCCTCCCCTGCCATCCCAGCCAGCATGGCGCTGCTGCCGCTGGCGCTGCTGCTGGCAGTACTAGCCGCCGCCGCCGTCTCGGAAGAGGAGCAGCTGCTGGCCACCGCAGCCAGCTGCAGCACCTTCACCGCCTCTGCTAGCTCCTGCATCTGCCCCAGCACTGTCAGCTGCATCGTGCTCTGTGCCTTCTTCAGCTCCTGCCTGTCTGCCAGCAGCTGCTGCACCGCCGCCGGCAGCAGCACCTGCAGCCCGCCGTAGTCGACGCTGAGTGCGCCCTGCGTGGCACAGGCAGGGGCAGACCACGAGGAGGTGGCAGGCAGGAGTTGTGGAGGTGAAAGCGGTTGCTGGTGTGCATATGGAAAGGGAGCAGGAGCAAGCAAGCCGGGCACACTGCATCCCAGTCCGACGCGGGCCGCCATGCCCAAGCCTGCACCTGCATCGTGAGGCACCCCGCTGGCTTGTCGCATCACCTGCGGATCCTGTCTGACCAGGTTCATGTCTGTGGCTCCGTGCTGCTCCAGCACCGCTCGCACCTGCTGCGCCACCACACCTAGCCGCTGCGCGTCGGTGCCCTGCGGCAGGCAGGCGGCAGGCGGTTCAGGTACGGCTCCAAGCTCAACAGGGGCGGCCCTCGGCAATGCAGGCACATCAGCAGTGCAGACAGGCCCGTGTCAGCAGTACGCCCAGCACCCTGCGGCGGTACACCCACCTTGTAGCGGTACAAATAGGTGGTGATCTCTGCGGCGATGGCCACCGCCTTCTCCCCCTGCTCAAACGCCCGCACCCCCTCCTTCATGCTAGCATCTGCAGCAGGTGGCGATACATGTGGCTACTAACTTGCAACAGCCCAACCCTTCAGGATCCTGACAGGACCCTCCTCGGCAGTGGCTGGTGCACATGCGGGGGGCCCAGCAGGTGCGGCAAGGGCACTGCCGTGCGGTGACCGAGCGCAGGCAGCTGGCTGGCAGCCTGCCTGGGCCAGCTGGCGGCTCTGCCCACCTGACACCACCGGGAGGCCTCGTACCGTCATGTCGCCAAGCACCTGGGCGTCGCCTTGCACTACCAGGGCCTTGCCTGCATACTCCCCGCGGCCCGCCACCGGCTGCTGGCCTCCCACAGTGAGCAGGGAGTAGTGACCCTCCGCCTGGGCATGCTCCCCCGGAGCCGCAGCTGGCGGCGGCCATGGCTGCGGCACGGAGTGGCGCTCGCCGCTGGTGCTGGCCGCGGGGCTGCCAGGCAGGTGCATGGCTGCGCCGCCGGCCTGGTCCTGCTGCTGCTGCTGGCCCTGCTGGCCCTGCTGGCTGCCGGCTGGACCTGCTGCCTGGGCGTGGGAGCTGAGGGCCGGGCCTGCCCCTGCCCCATGCCCCGCCTGCGTCAGCAGCAGGCTGGCTCCCGGGAGGCCTCCACCCAGCCCGCCCTGCCCGCCAAAGAGATCCTCATAATGCCAGTGACCATTCATCCCAGCAAGCCCGCCCCCCTCAACCAGCGGCATGTGCTCGAAAACGCCTGGCGGCAGTTCTGCTGCCAGCGCAGGCACTCCTGCTGTGACTACCTGCTGCTGCTGCTGCTGCTGCTGCTGCTGGGGTGCGGCTGGCATCTCCTCAGCTTCCCCGGTCAGCACGAAGTGGTACAGCACGTACTCAGAGTCCAGCACATACTCCTCCCTGCAGGCACGCAGCACAAGCAGCTGCGGAGCAAGTCAATCGGTGAAGCAGGTTGTTGTTGTGGGTAGCAGCTACTGCCCCCTGTGTACTGCATGCTTGAGGGCAGCGCACACCTGACAGTGAACAGGTCCTGCTCCTGCTGCTCCACCTCCTCCTGATCCTGCTGCATTTGCTGCTGCTGCTGCTGCTCCTGCACCTGCTGCAGGAAGTCAGCAACGACTGCACCGGCGGTGGCTGGGAGCTTGATCGTAAGCTTGTGGCGGTCTTTTTTTTGGTCAGCTCCCTCCACTGCATAGAAGCCATCCAGTTCGGCGCTCAGCCCTGCCAGTGTCACCAGCTGCTTGGCGCCGGAGAACTGGTGGGGCTGTTGGGTGCGCAGGGTGGCAGTGCCACCACGCGCCACGTCAATGGCTGTGACAGGCAGCGGCTTTGGCGGCGCAGCAGCCGGCACCACCGGCTTCACTTCGTAGCCAGTAATCTGCGTCAGGATCAAGGCAATTGCAATGGATGTGGGAGAGCTTGCATTGCGGATAGAAAGCCAGACAGAGGAAGGGCGGGCACACAATAGCGGCGAAACTGACGCGATGTGTCTCGCTGTGGTTCAGTCGGCGGCGAAATTTCTTGCTGCGCTTGCCTATGATGGCAATCGCATCACGCTGCAGGGGCAGGAAGTTTTCCCTGCAGGAGCAAGCGAGAGTGCCGGGTTATTCTTGGTGAGGGACCCAACAGGGGCGACGCCAGCTGCCGCAGCTGGCAGCGGCTGCAAGGACAGGATCAAGCAGCATGCTGGCTTTGCAAGGGTTGGGCAGGCAAAGAATGGGGAACATCCTGGCAGCGGAACAGGTACCATTGGCTGTGCACGCAGCTGAAGCCCTTCGCCTGCCGCACCTGCCGCCAAATGCATCGTCCCCGTATGTCACAGCAGGTGGCATGGCGTAGTCACTCCCACGCAGTCTCTTATCCGCCTGTCGGCTCTTTGGCAGCAAGATGCACACCGCCTGCCTGCCTGCTCTGATTAAATGCTCTTCGATGAGACTTTTGTTATGCACAGAGCCCGCTCTCTGGGAGGGCAGCAAAACCACTCGCGGTGCGTCGGGGCGCATGTTCGGTGTTGGAGGGGTGTGCCCAGCGATAGGGGGGCCCTGAAGGCATGCGCCGAGGCCGGGAAGCGTGGTTCGGCGCTGCTGCACGCTTGGCGATTTGACCAGAACCACGTGCCGCCGAGCTGCGGCCGCAGTTTCCGGCCCACGGTCTACGGTCGCAGCCACGGGACTCGGCGGCACGGCGTTTGGGCCCAAGCTTGCTGCCGCCGCCGCCGTGCCCGGGGGGCAGCGCGGCGGCGGCGGCGGCACGCTGCGACGCCCCCGTGCTGCCGAGCTGCGGCCGTAGTTTCCTGCCAGAAGCCCACGGCCACAGCCACGGGACTCGGCGGCACGGAGTTTCGGTCCACGGCTTGCTGCCGCCGCCGTCGCAGGGGTGCTGCCTGCGGCGGCGGCGGCACGGCGTTTGGGTCCACGGCTTGCTGCCGCTGCCGCCGCCGCAGGGGTGCTGCCTGCGGCGGCGGCGGTAGCGCACGTGGCAACCCCCCGCGTTTCCTTGCCTCCCATCCACCGGACCCCGTCCTGCGCTTCACTTTGTTTAGGGAGGGGCTGCTCACTGCTCATTGCTCATTGCTCATCGCACACTGCTCAACGCTCATTGCCCTATATCCCACCCAGCCGCAGGACTCCACTGCCGCCCGCGCCCCGCCCCATCTGGCCGCTTGCGCGCCCCATCCCCCCTCGATGGGGCCCGCCCACACCGGGGCCTCCCCCCTCCCGCCCACTGCTTTCTCAACGGCCCCGAGCCGGGGCTGCCCTCATTGCATACATAGTGCGCCTTTCCCTGCTTTTCTAGTGACCTAGCGTTCCGCACTGCCGTTTGGCCAGCCCATGCTCCCGTACCGTTGCGTTTCTCCCCAATGCGCCATGCCACTTTGCCAGTCATACACACGTTTCGATGCGTGCCCTGTCAGCTGCTTGCGTTGCATGTCGCCTTGCTCCACCCCTGTTTTATTGCTTTCTCTGCTTTCGCCCGGTTCCCGTCCCGTTTCGGCGGGGAGTCTATGTTGCAAGCTAGTTCTTGCTTTACCAGACTTTAAGCCCACACAAGCAAGGGCTGGCGCCGGGGGCGGCGTTGACGGCATTGTTGAGTTGCATGCCGCCTGCAGCGCTATCCAGCAGCGCTCGATACTGCTCTTCGCTCAGGCGGTCTCCTCTGTCAATCGCCGCTGCTATTGCTTGCTCCATGGCGGAGGAACGCAACCTGACCTGGGGCCGGGTTGGCGTGTTCACCGGGCTGAAAGTGTTGATGGGAACTGAGGAGGGAGACGGGTGCCGAGACCCGGCCTATCCGAGCCGATGACCATGGACGTGTTGCCAGTGTTGGCCAGCCTGGGGGCAAGCCGGGGAAAATGATGATCGGGCACGCACTCCGGGGAAAATGATGATCGGGCACGCACTCGATTGAAAGTTCAACACCCAATCACACAGAAGGGAGCGTTGAACTCTGACTCTGGAGGATGCAAGCGCGCTCTCTCTGCGTGATGTACCTCTGCCCAGGGCTGTACATTCAATTCGATTCAAACACGCAGGCCGCACAACGCCGACATGGTTCAATCCATCCCCATGACTGAGGCGAAAGTTGCAGCCAAGGGCTGGCCCCCACCGCCGCCTCTCCTCTACGCTGCGCACCATGCGTTCCTGCTGCTCATATTTCTCGTTCTCTACAGCGCTCAGCTCTCCGGATTCACTCCCGGAACACTTTGGACGAACTTGCAACAAAAGCGGGCAGCAGCGGCTCCATTGCACTGGCCCGGCGCCCCGCCGCCGTTGCCGGCCTGCAACTTGACGCTGCTGTCGGGCCAGCTGCCCAGCGACTCTGCCGTCTGGAGCCGTCTGGAGCCTGACATCAGCTCTCCTACCCACGCGGACCAAGGGCCATCATCGTTTTCGGCCCAGATAGCGCTGCAGCATTGCACCCTGCGACGCTTGACGGCCAGCGAGGTGCGAGGATGCCTTGCAAATCGGCCATTAGTGTTCATCGGGGATTCAATAACCAGATACGCATACCTCAGCTTGGTGGCATTCCTGGAGCACGGTGCCTGGCCCAGCCTGGCAGACCAACCCAGCCTGCTGTTCAAGAAGCAATGGGGAGCCAAGGGAGAGTTGTTCCCATCCGGTGCGGCGCCTTTGGGCCTCACCTGCCGCCGCTGCGTGCCTGCTGTGCTGCCGCATTTGCCGGCGTTTGAGCAGCATGCGTGGCTGAGTCTGCTGCGTGCAGCCTCCCTTCCCCACCCTTCCTCACCATGCACTGGGTGCAGGCTCCACCGCCGCCTTCCAGGGCCGCATGCTGTGCGACTGCAAGGGGCCGATTGAGGGGCGGTCGTACACACATCCGAGCCTCAACCTCAGAGCATCCTTCATGTGGTGGCGCGGCTGGCCGGATAACTTGCAAGGCCACTGGGGCCACCCTCCCTTCTTCAATGCCACGCCCTGCCAGCCGGTCGTCACTGGGGCGGCAGGTGGATGCAGCCCCGACCCCGACTGGAGCCTGCCGCTGCCCGATGCCCTGCAAGAGGTGGGCGGGACAATGCTGTACGATACATAGCCGTGCACCCAGCATACCCTGACTGGACACCTTGGGCTTGTCTGCTAGCATGTCGCCTGTGCCTCGAGCCCAGCTGTTTGTATTCTTGGTGGCTTCTGGGCAGGTTCACATAAGGCCCCAAGCCTTTCTGGATGCAGGTGGTGGCCAAGCTGCGGCCTGCAGCAGTCGTGCTCAACGGGGGACTCTGGCGCAGGATGGAGGGCTACCGCAGCGAGTGGCCGCCAGGCTATGCCCGCAGCGTGGCAGACGCAGCACGCAGCGCCGTGGCGCCTCAGCACGGGCTGGCCATGTGGCGCACAACCACGCCGTCGGCGAGCGAAAACACCACGCACTCCTGGGATAACCACTTTCTAGATGAGGCAGTCGGAGAGGCACAGCTGCACACGCTGGATGCCTGGCAGCTGCTGCACCCGCTGCTCTCTGTCGACCCGCTGCCCTTCTTTGATTGCAATCACCCTTGGCCCGAGGTGTACACGGAGCTGAACCATGTGCTGCTGAACATGCTCTGCTGACGGCACACCCCGCTCCCAGCAGCGGGCTGCAACCCCCACATCATGAAGTTGCATGGCGAGTAAAGGAGATGAGCACAGCAGCGCAGCAGGCTGTGGCGCAGAGCGGCAGCCCCGGCAGGAGGCATTGGTAACGCTTGGGTGCCTGCGGGGCGGCCCACCCTCTGCTCCTTCCGCTATGCACATTACAGCACTCAGTTCAGGCGGCATGCCGTGTGCGACCAACCACCAGTTCTAACAACCTCTCCCTTCACTCCTCGAAGCACTCGAGCAGGTCGCAGCCCAGGATGCGCCAGCCCAGCCTCGACCGCACCTCCTTGAGCCGCTGCCGCTGCGCGCCAAAGTCGGTGATGGCTTGCTGGATGGGCCACACATACTTGACCTGCGCCGCCATGCTGCACGCGCGCGGGGCAGCAGGGGAGGCAGGCAGCTCAGCAAGCAGCTCAGCCAGTCTGCAGGCAGCGGCAGTGGCAGCGCCCAGCGCCAGGAGGCAGCGCAACCAGGGAGAGTGGTCGTGCAGCATAGTGCAGCAGCAGCAGCAGCAGCACAAGGCAAATGCAGGCGGCGCCAGGCAGCGCCTCACGATCTGAAGGTGACCAGTGGCGGGTCGGCTTCGTAAGGGGGCCGCTGCACGCTGATCAGCACCCTGCACCCGGCAGGCCAGCCAGGCCAACCATGTCGAGCCTGGGCGGCCGGACCGCGAGTCGACCGCATGGGCCAGCAGGCCTGCTGGGCCGCGCGGCCCATGCGCTGTGACATACTCTGGCAGGCAGCGTCCATTGCCACAAGTGCCCTGCCGACGCCACACACGGGCGCCACCACACAGCGTGCGTGCACACACAAGCACGCAGCTCAATGCCTGGCAGGCTCACTCGATGTCGTCGTGGTCAAACAGCGGGTCGTCCACAGCGTACCGCCTGTACTCCCTGGCGGGCCCCGAGGCGGCATCCACCAGGCGCATGCTGGGCGCCACCTGGGCGAGCGCCGCCTCAAAGTCGCGCATCGCGTCGGCAGGGCTGCCCTGCGGCGCCTCCCACGCCGGCATGTAGGTCTGCGCGGCGGGCGGGGGTGCAGATTCAGGAGCGGTGGAGCATCGGGGAGGGGCCTCAAGGCTTGCAGCATCGGGGTATGGGCACATGACGTGGGCCAAGCATGCAGCAGAGGAGCGATCTGCACACCGCATTGGTTGAAGAAGTGGATACGCTGCAGCACAACACAGAGACAATGTCAGCTTGGCGTATGTCGGCATCGCTCGGAGCAGGCTGCACCGAGCAGGTTGCCTTGCCACCCGGGCTGCCGTGCCAGAGCTCCACGCCGCACAAACCAGCCAAGCATTACACGATCCTTGCATTTGACTCACCAGTTGGGGTTGGCATCGGATGGGCATGTGGGAATTCGCCCCTCCTGGCTCAGCCCATACTCTAGAGCCAGCCCGCGCTGGTAGGGTGTCAATGCCTCTGCCACAGCGGCAGCTGGCGGCGGGCGGGGCACCGCCAACACAGCGGCTGCCGATCCTAGGAGCTGCAATCCAAGATGACGCCTGCTTGTGCACGCAGCAGCTGCCACAAACGGGGGCTGCCTGTGCGCTGCGGTGGCCGCCTGGCTGCTATTCCGGCTGGCTGCCGGCCTGCCTGCTCCAAGAGAGCTGCTGCACAGCGCACTCATGCCGATGCCCGATGAACGAAGGTGCACAAACGCGGGGTCTGGAGTGGGCGTCCCGCCGGCGGCGAGCGCGAGTACTGCAGGCCGGTGCCGCCATCAGTGTCATCGGCTTCTCGACGTCCCAGAGAGGCCACACTGTTACACGAAGTGCCCATAAGCAATGGAATGGAACATTCGTCTCACAATGCAAGGAAATACATGCTTCAGAAGCTATCTTCATCCCGCCACCGCACGGCATAGAGCCCGCCTTGGCCAGAATCCAGGCCAAGCCTGGCGCTACCAGCCACGAGGGCGGATGATGCCGCGCCTGCATGCACACGCACCCCCGCATCACGTGAGCGTGATAAAATCCAACAGCCGTCACGCCAACCACCACGGCGCGCTGCCAGCCACGTCCACACCGCTGCTCTAACCCCCTCTCAGAGCACTCACTTGTAGGCGAGGAAGAATGCCAGGCCAGTGGCGGCGCCGCCCAGGTGCCCGGCGTGCGCAATGTGTCCCCGGTGCCCATCCATCGCACCCGACACATCGTTCAACAACCACAGCACGCCCAGCAGCGCGGCGGGCATGGGGATGATTGCTGTAAGCGGCGGCGGAGGAGCGGGTAGCGCAGCACAGTCAAGGGCGATGCCTGGGAGGACAAGCCGGTGTACGGCACTGCCTCCCCAGCCCTTGCGACCTCTCAGCCGCCCGCCTGAGCAGCTTCCTGCCAGCAGAAACCAAGCCATGACAGCTGCAAGCCATTGTCGCAGGCCAGCGGCAGCCCTACAGCCCTCACCGTACAGCAGGACGGTGCGGGTGGGGTACAGCAGGATGTCACAGACGGTGAGGGCGTTCACCGCGGCGCTGGCGCCCAAAGCAGAGGGCGTGAAGCCGAACCAGCGCGCCCTGCCGTACCGCCCCTCGCCTGCACCAGCAGCACTGATGCATGAGCTGAGCTGAGCTGGGCAGCAAGCATCCACACTTGGCTGTGGCACAGCCGAGCGGCCTCGGCGCTGGCTGCTTTTGGTCAGCGCGGCACGCTGGCGCATCGTGAAGGGGCTGCCGAGGCGCACACCTGTTTTGCAGGCCTGGTAGTAGTACCAGCCGCAGTGTGCCAGGGATCCCGCCACCCCGCCTGCCATGTACAGCATGAGCAGCTGCAGCCAAACGAAGGGGCCGCAGGCACGTGCAGAGAGTCGGTTGCTGCCCCAGCACGGCAGCAAACGGAGGCAAGAAGGGCCATGCGCCCCATCGGAAAGAGCTTCGGAAAGATATTCTGCATAAGCAGCTGGGCTGGATGCAGCCATCCCCACCCGCTTGCCGCCAAACAGGCGCCCCACGTCTCGGCCGAAGAAGTAGAGGCCGACCATGTTGGCTCCTAGATGGTACACGTCCTTGTGGCTGAAGGCGGCGGTGAGGGCAGTCCACACCCGCCCCGCCCGCAGGCCCTCGATAGAGACCGTGGCATGCGTTTGCATCTGCGCAGGAGCACAGGCGAGCCAGTGAAAGGAGGGCAAGGCTCAGGAGGTGGGCAACGCAGTGGCACAGGGGATCCCCAGCACCACAGCAACAGCCTGCCACACGGCTTGGAGACGAGCGGACACTGCTGCCGCCGCTGCCGACTGCCCAGCCTGGGCGCCCAAGCCAGGTGCCGGCACCGGCATGCTGGATGCTGGAAGGCTGCAATGGAAGGCTGGAGCCAGCAGCGGCGCGGCAGGCGCACCAGGTTGGGAGCCAGGCGCCACAGGGCAAAGCCGCCCACGTTGGCCGCGATGAGGCCCCACAGCACCTTGTCGCTATCCTCTGACCAGCGGCCCCAGCCGCTGCCGCCGCCGCCGCCGCGTGTCTGGAATTGCAGGTACCTTGCAAAGCCGCGCGACTGCTGGTGCGCTGCGGCAGAGGCAGCAGAGCTCACAGCTCGCCAGGCGCCGCCGCGGAGCAGGACGGCTGGGGCGGTGGTCACTGCTGCCGCTGCTGCTGCTGCCGCCGCCTTCCCTGCTGCAGCTGTGGTGGTGATCGCAGGCCGTAACTGTGCGGCGCTGCCAGTGCCGGCGCTGAAGGACAGGAGGCTCGCAAGCGGTTGACTCCTCCCTGCTGTCTTGGCCGCCTCTCTGATCGTGCTTGCCGCCGCTGATCGCCACGCTGCCCCCGGGGCCAGCAGCACTGCTCTGGCGAGCGCGGCCTGCATCGCGCCCTGTGCCGGAACAAGCGGTGCCCGGGACGGCAGCAGGTGACTCTAGTGCGACCTGGCAGTCACATGAAACGTTATCGTGTGAGGTCGCCGTGTCGCCGCCACCTCCCGCCAGCGAGGCGCCCGCCAACGTCTCTGTGGTGCTGCACCGCCGGTGCACCCATTGGGTTCATCCCTCTTCTCCAACGCTCCTCTGATGAGTCAAACAATTGGGGGCGCGAGTGATCTGACTGGCTGCTTGGGCCGCCGCGGCCGCCTGTGCCGCTCACACTCTGCAGCTGCTACCCCGCATGGCTGTGCTGCACGGCGCACCTTTGCTCCGGGTTGCAGCTGAACACCAGTATTCTGCAGTGAGGCATGCCGCTTCGCCTCCTCCATCCCCTGCAGCGCCTCGGCAAGGCATGTGGGGCGCAGACTAAACCACTGCGCCGCCAACTTTCTCGCCAGAGTGGAGCGACAGTCACGGGAACCCGTTTCAGGAGGAGCAACGTTGCAAAGCAGTGTTGAAGATGGTTGGTGAGAGAAAAGGCAATGAGTGAAGGGCGTGTTGCAAGCGCATGGCATGGGTGAGAGGCACCTGCCGGTGCGTGCATTGTTGGGGCAAAACTGGGCTGCCGACATTTTAGCTGTTTGCTGGATGGTCCAGAGAGAGAAGAGTAGAACAGGGAGAGTTAAGTAAACAGGTAGGCAGGTGGGGCAACCTGGATGCATCTGCCGCTCAGAAGGGGGCGACAAAGGAAGCGGCCGGGGTGGGCGGCGCCGTGCTGTCCGTGCCGCCGCCAGCAGCTGCCCGCAGCACCGCCAGTATTTGCTGGAAGCTGGGCCGCTGGTCGGGGTCCCAGTGTGTGCAGCTTTCCACCAGGCCCTGCGCTTGTAGGTGGGGGCTTGCGGCGCAACCAGTCACCAACAGCCAGCGCCAGCCCTGGCCATCCCCACAGCAACTCAGCGGCCTGCTGCAGCACGCAATCGCCCTCAGGCAGCCGCAGCAGCACCACCGCCAGCAGCTGGGGCCGCTCACCGCGAGCGCCTCCATGATGGTGCGGGCGGGCGGCGGGATGCCGTCTGGGATGGAGACCGCGGGCAGGCGCATGGACTGAGGGTCCAGGTACCACTGCGTCTGGATCTGGAAGCCGTCCATGCCGGCGAAGGGTCGCCGCCGCTCCATCACCTCAAACAACGTCACCCCAAAGCTGTACACCTGCGGCGGGCACGGCGTGGGAAGGAGCAGCAGCAGTGGTACCAGCAGTGAAGCGGGCGGGGAGTTGGCAGAGGGAAGGCTCGACATGGGGCTGGGCTGGCAGGCATTGGGGCAGGCGGCACCTGCCGACAGGCGGGCGGCCGCCATTCGTGCTCGTTGCCGGTTGGCTGGGCCGTGTGGATGCCCAGCTGCTCAACAACAACTCCCAGACCGCTCTTTGCCCACTCACATCAGCCTTGAGGATGCGCTCCTCATCCTCCGCTGTCGTCTGCCGGTCGTCTGCGGCATCCGGAGTCTCTGGATTGAGCAGCTCAGGCGCTGAGTAGGCAGCGGTGCCGATGACGCCTGCAGGGCGCAGCACGCCAACCGGGGTGCCATCGTGAGACGGCAGCGAGCGGGAGGCTGGCGGGCACATTGCCCAGGCCTGCACCTCGTCTGCTGCCTGAGCATGGCATGCGGCAGGGCCACGGCGCGCTGGTGGCGCCGCATTGGCAACCCCCGCAAAGTCTGCTCACCCGGCGTGAGCGTGCGCTCCAGGGCGCCGTCCCCCTGCTGGCCCCGCCACTGCGCCGCGTAGCGGCTCATGCCCAAGTCCCCAACCTTCACCACGCCGCCGTGCCCTATGAACAGGTTGCCAGGCTTGAGGTCTCTGCTTGGAGGCAGCGGCAATGAAAGCCCTATTGCAAGGGGGGCCGCAATACAAACATGGAAGACATCAAGCCCATACACCAGGTTCCCCACCTGTGGAAGATGGCGGGGCGGCGGGTGTGCAGGTGAAGCATGCCGCGCGCCATGCTTCGCACGATGGGCAGCAGCTTGAGCGGGTCCAGCCGGTGGCTGCTGCCCTGCCCCTTGTGAATCAAAACATCGAGCGTGCCCCTGCACGGTGCAGATGGCGGCAGGGGGCGGCGCCAGTCAGCCGGCGACCTGCGCACTTTTCTAGGCAGCTGCTGATGCTGCTGCACGTGGCATTTGTTGTTTTGTTCAGTATTGTTTTTGTACTTACCTGGGGCAGAGCTCCATGATGAGGTAGATGTCGCTGCCATGGGAGCACAGGCCGCGCAGCCCGACAATGTTGTCGTGGGCACCTGTGGGTAGTGGTGCGGGGAGGCACCAAGGCAGGCCACATGGGCGGGCAGCACGCGCCAGTCGGACGCAAACAGGTACATCAGGCGTGGCCATGCATGGGGTGCAGCATGCCGACTTTGCAGGCCTGCAGCATCACATCGCCGACAACGGTGCATGCCATGCATGAGGCAATGCTCAGTGGGCCTACTCTCACCCGCATGCAGGTTCATCTCTATCTCCATCAGCGACTGCGTCTTCTTGACAGCCACAGGCGTCTCCTGGTACCACGCCGCATACACCGAGCCCTCTGCACGCAGGAGCAGCAGCGATGTAACGGCGCCGTGGAGCGGAGCGGTCATGCAGCCTGCTTGGGTGAGTGCACATGCCAGCATGGCGCGCAGGTGGTGGGTGGATGCCCGACCAGCTAGGTGGTCCCTCACCTGAGCCCTCGCCCAGAAACTTTCCAAAGACGAGGTCCCTGAAGTCGACCATCTCCACCGGCACCTGCAGTGCAGTTGAGCAAGCGGCACAGCCTCAATCGACCTTGCGCCCAGCAGCCATAACAAGGGCGAAGGCTGAAGCAGACCCACATTGATGCCCAGGCCAGCAATCAAGCTAGTGGGAGACGCGTCAGGGCTGGTCGCCACGCTGCCCTCCTCGCCATGCCCTCGGCACCCCCTGTTGTCGAAGCCGCCGCCACCGCCATCCAGCGCGTCTCTGTGCCCATGCCGCTGACCTGCAACGCCGCCGCCGGGCCCTCCCCGCCCCGTAGCCGCAGCCAGGATCGTGGCGGCGGCCAGCTGCTGCTGCTGGTAAGAGGTGGCGAAGCTGGGGTGCTGGCGGAAGGAGGCCAGCGGCGTGTGGGACACGCTGGGGATCAAGCTGTTGAAGCGGCTAAGGCCAAAGGCGGTGCGGGAGGTGGCTGCAAGCAGGCAGGCGGGGCGGCAGGCAAGCAGGTAGAGGTGAAGGCTTTGGCCTGTGGCCAGGAGTGGGGACAGCAGCATGCTGTTTTGAGCGTGCCAAGTCAGCACGCCAAGTCAGCATGCCAGCTCACCAGTCGTGGGGGTGGGCATCCCCCAGCTGCTGAAAGACGACTCGGCACGAGTCAGCAGGTTGGCACTGTGGGGGGCAACGCTGGTCAGGCCAGACATTGGAGCCGAGCCAGGGTCTGCGCTGCTGGCCGCGGCATCAAACGCCGGCATCGGCTGGCTGCTGCCGCCCAAAATGGACAGCGGCAGGAAGGAGGCCGCCAGCTCCGCCTGCGGCTGGCCGGCAGCCTGCATGCGGGTCGCAAACTGCTGCTGCTGCTGCTGCGGGGACCTGCCGGTGGTTATTGAGCCGAGGTGGGGGCGGGGGTTTGGCATGTATGTGGCGCCTGCGGCTGCCGCGCCAGGCCCGTCCTGCCTGCCCTCCCTGCCCTCCCTGGCGGATGTGGGAGGCGATCCGCGCGGCAACGACAGCAGCGAAGCGTCCGCCTCCTGCCTGCTGGGGCTGCCGTGCTGCGGGCTGCCGGCGGTGCTCGCTGGGCGTGTGCCTGCGGCGCTGCCGCTGTTGCTGTCGCCCATAGGCCCATATCGGCCGCGCTGCTGAGCAGCCAGCTGGTGCTGCAGGTAGCGCTGGAAGCTCTGCAGCTGCTCTTGGCGGTTGGGGCTGCCACGCTGAGGCGAGCCTGCCGCCGAACGCTGATACGGGGTGCTGGCCCCGCTGCCGGCAGAGCTGGGCCCTTGCTCCGATGCCGCTGCTGCTGCAGGGGGTGAGCTGTTCTGACCAGGATTCCCGGACCTTGCTGTGGCAGGCCTTGGAGAGGCAAAGGCTGCGCGTAAAGGGGGCAAGGGTGGCGAGCAGGTTGGGTCCGCAGCAAATGTGGGTCGGCCAGGAAGTCAAGCAGGCACATAAGCAGCAACTCCGCTGTTTTTTTTGCCACACTCTGCGATTTCTGCTGCCTACGCAGCTTAAGGGGCAGCAGCCTCCCACAGCCAACTCACCGACCAGGTGGATGAAGGGACTCCGCTGCGGCACCGTGATGCCACCACCACCTCCTCCTAGCGGCTCACCGCCCGCCGACACAGAGCGGCGCGGACCTGTGGCAGCAACGCCGGCCCCGTCAGCGGCAGAGCTGCCACCCAAGGCTGCACCGCCGGCTGCATAGTGCTGCCGGCCGCTCAGCGGCAGCCCTGGCGGCCGCTGCGGCCGCGGCGACTGTCGCAGATCGAGCAACGGCAGCGCCCCCTCCGCCCACACACCCAGCGTTAGCTTTCTCTCATGGTGTGGGGCATCCTGCGCCACCGCCTGCTGCTGCTGGTGGTGCTGCTGCTGCTGCTGCTGCTGCTGTGCCTCCAGCTTCCGCTGCCGCTCGTGCTCCTCGGCCGCCGCCACTAGAGCTGCTGCGGTGAAGTCCTCACTGCTGCTGCTGGGCCGCAGCCGGTCGTTGAGAGGCTGGCGGGAGGGGCTGCTGTGCTGCGCCGAGCCTGCCGCTGCAACCAGCCCTGGGGTGGCAGCTGCCGCGCCAGTGCCGTAGGTCCACCATAGATGAGATGGCAGCGTGATGGCGCGGCGCAGGCCGTATCGCAGCCGCTCGACCGCGCTGCCGCCTGGGCCCGCCGCGCCGCGGGGGCTGTGCCGCTGCTGCAGCCGCGGTGACGGGCGGCTGGCCCGGCGTGGGTGGGGCCCTGCAGCACCCTGGCCGCCGACGCCCTTTGTGGCCAGCTCGGGAAGAAGTCCGCTGGCTGACGAGGCAATCAGCTGGATGGTGGCCGCACGCCGCAACGGCGCGGCCGCTGCCGCGCCGGCCGGCGCCGACTGCCGTTCCAGCTTGCCGTCCGCCGCCTGCTGCCGCTGCAGCGCCGCCGCAATGGCTGCCTGGCTGCGCTGCGCAGCAGACTCCAGCTGCACCCTGGAATCCGAGCGGGCGCACACCCGCAGCCGCTGCACCTGGCTGTTTTCCCTGACCAGCGGCGTGGCGGACGGTGCCGACGCCGCGTCTGCGGCCACAGGCCAGCCCCCGTGGCGGCTGCTGCTGCTGCTGCCGGCCTGGCCAAAGGGCGAGGCCGCCGGCAGGGCACGAGGCGAGGGCGCCACCTGTAGGATCACTTCCCTGCCAAGGCTGCTGGAAGAGCGGCCATCCTGGCTGGCCTCCGCCGACGCTGCCATCACCGAGCTCTCGCTGCCGCGCGCCGCCAGCGGGCCTGCCGCCGCCGCCGTCGGCGAGCTGCTGGGCAGCAGCTCCTCGGGCTGCGCCAGCAGGGCCAGCAGCAGCTGCAGGCCCTGGCGCCACTCGCCGTACTGCTGCGCAGCGGCAAAGCGCAGCCTCAGGTCTGGCTCCAGCAGCAGCTGCAGGCTGATGGTCTGGCTGCCGTCGCTGCATCGCACAGGGAGGGAGGAACAGCAGGCGGCAAGGGTCAATTGGTGAGGCAATCATCTCAAGTGCAGCTCCGTTGGATACAAGCCACGGTCACGGCAGCGGAGGTGTTGGTAGGACAAGTAGCAAGGCGAATGTATCGAGGTCAGCACCAAGCCAAGCCCGCCTCACCAGCACTGGATGCCTTGCACGTGCGGGATGAGCACCCATCGGTTCCAGTCCCAGCGCAGGCAGGCGCCGTCGTGAGACAGCTGGAAGAAGCGCTGCCGGCCTGCCGCCGCCCCGCTGCCGCCGCCGCCGCGGCCGGGCCACCACGACAGGCCTCCGGGCCAGCAGGCTGCGCCGCCGCCGTCTGCCTTGAACGTGCTGCAGCTCCAGCCGCTGGGGGCGGCATCCAGGGCGCCAGAGGCGGTACCGCAAGGCCCGCTGCTGCTGCCGCTGCTGGGGAGCTTCAGCAGCCAGGCGCCGCGCGCCAGCGGCACCAGCTCGGGCGGCAGCAGCAGCTGCTGGGCGTCGCCGCGCGCGTCGTCGTCGGCGCTGAGCTGGCGCGCGGCGCTGAGCTGGCGCGTGGCCCACCATGTGGCGGTGCGGGCTGCCAGGAAGAGCAGCGGGTACAGGATGAGGTAGGCCTGGCCGTGAGGCTGGCTCAGCTGGCTGCCCAGGGACGCGCCTGCAGCGACGCGAGGATGCGAGGCAGGGCGGTAGATCAGGTGGGGCCAGCATGCCAGGCGGGGATCAGCTGTGTGATGGTGCCTGTGCATGCCGCAAGCAGTGTGCCAGCCTGCCTTCATGCCACCCACTCCCCCGCTGCCACCACACACACGCTCACGATCAAAACTGCTGCTGCGCTCGCCTGCAAACATGATGAGGAGGGGAGGCACGTAGCAGAGCGGGTAGGCGCAGTCGAGCGCCATCGCCAGCCGGCGCCCGCGGCGGCACGCCGCCGCCCAGCAGGCCGCCAGCCAGCCAGCGCACACCGGCACCGCCGCCGCCGCCGCTCCGACCAGCAGCCCCAGCGGCTGCGGCTGGCCGTCGCCGCCTCCCGGGTTGGCTGCGTTCACCGCCGCCACCAGTAGCATCAGCGTCAGCAGCAGGCCGTCTGCCCGCGCCAGGGCGGCAAACCGCTGACGAGCCAGCGCCGCGGCACGCTGCCGCTGCTGCTCCGCGGGGCGGAGGCGCCAGCTGGAGGCGATCCTGCTGTACATGCGCCAGCCAAAGCCCAGGTATGCGGAGCGGGCCAGCGCCGCGGCAGCCAGCTGAAGCGCCAGGCAGACGGCCACTGCCGCGGCGGCGCCGCCCTGCCCGCGGCCCTGCACTGTCGCCTGCGTGGCATGAGCAGGGCCAGGCAGCACGGTGGAAGGGGTGCGAGCAGTCACGGACAGAGGACGCCAGCAGCAGCGCAGTGCAGCGAGGTCGCTCTCACCAGGTAAACAATGAGTTGGCTGGCGGAGAGGGCGCCCAGCGCCAGGCTCGCCAGCAGCTGGTAGGCATTCTCCCTGGCAAACGCGTCCAGCAGCAGGCCCAGCGTGAGCACCGCGGAGCACAAGATGAGGGCTGTGTCTTGCAGCAGCAGCTGCCAGTCCTGCATGCCAGAAAGGGGGATGGGCGGCCGCGGTGCCGGCGGCGGGTCATGGCCTGCTCTGTGCCTCTGCACGGTGCTGGCGCTCTTCCAATGCTATTTTTCACTCACGTCGGCAAACTGCACCACCGCAAAGGTGGCAGCGGTCAGGGCCTGCGCAGTGCCCAGCACCAGCAACGCCCGCGAGCTGGCGCTCAGCGATCGCCAGACCTCCCGAAGGGCTAGCAGTGGCGCGGGTTTAGGACTGCGGGGCGAGCCTCCCTCTGGGGCCTCCAGAGGGATGCCCCAGCGGGATGCCTGTCCCTGGCCCCCGCCCAACGACTCCACGTCTAGCCGGAATTCTGCATGCTGAGTGGCTGCCGCCTTGTGCTCCATCCTTGCTGCAGCGGGTAGCCTGCTCAGGAAGTCACTGGCACGCACACCGAGCGCCCATGGGCGCGCTGCTGGCTTGCAAGGTACATGCAAGCGAGAGGGAAATTGTCTGAAACCGGTGCCTGGTGGTGGCTGACTACAACTGTTGCTTCCGAGGCAAACTGTCCTGCCTCGCAGTGCCGTACCCTGGTCTTTCCGCCTCCCGCCCCTGAATCATTCACATTAGCACAGGCATCCATGTACCGATACCACCGACAGGAGCCGAGGCCCATCATTCTGCTTCTGGGATGGCTGGGCTCCAAACACGCCCACGTTTCCAAATATAAGAAGATGTGGGAGGTAGGACGCCAAGCCACTCGCGGGGGGCCACTCGCCAAGCCACTCGCACCCGCCGGTTCCCGCCGCCCCGCCGCCGCCGCTGCCGCCTTTGGCTCTTCGTGCGCCGCCGCCTGCTGCCGGCATTTCCACCCACCGTCGCTGCCTGCCGTCCCGTGTCGCCTGCCCGCCTGCCTGCCCACCCGCCTGCAGGACCTGGGCGCGCAGGTCATCCTGCACCAGCCCAGCATCCTGCAGACGGCGCTGCCAGGGCTGGCTGACCCGGCGCTGCTGCGCCTGATGCGCGACTTCACCTACCGCTACAGCAACCTGTGCACCGTGCGGGGGGAGGCCCCGCCCGTGCTGGTGCACGCCATGAGCAACGCCGGCTTCGTCGCCTACGGTACCATGCTGCACCTGACCTCGCTGCTCAAGCAGGTGCGCCCCGCGGCGCTGTCGCCCGCGCCCGGCGGCACCGCCGCCAGCCTGGAGTTCAACCCGGCCGCCTGGTCCGCCGGCGGCGGCGGCATGACGGCGCGCAGTTACGGGCTGTGGGGCGGCGAGGGCGGCGGCCGCGGCGCGCCCGTGGCGCGCAGAGGGGCCGACGGCGAGGAGCTGCACCGCTTCGTGTCGGACCCTCGAGCCATGGCCGTGCTGTCTGCCTTCCGGCAAGTCCTGTTCAACACCCAGGGCATCATCCTGGACTCAGGCAAGCCTCTGATCTGGCCCCAGGCTGGCAGCTGAGGCAGCCGAACAGCCAGGCCGGGGGTGCCCGCCCACATGCCCGCTCCAGCTGGCCTGCGCCTCATGGCAAGGCAGCACCGGGCTGCTCGGGCGCGGGCTGCTGCCGCGCAGAAGCGCAGGGCCGACACAGCGGCCCAGCCCGCTGCCCTCCCTCCCACCGCCTGCGTTCGTGCAGCGCCCTCCCTGGCCACAACACGGATCTGGAGCAAGGGTCTGCTGGCAGGTAACGTGTGTGGCACACAGGCACACGTGTGTGCCTGTGTGCTCTGCACTTGTGTGTGTGGATTTTGATTTTGCTTGCACTGTTTCAGCGCCGCAGCCAGGCTGCGCCACCCAGCCTGCTGCTCCACCCACCCTGCTGCGCCCGCGCGCCTGCCTGACCTGACCTGGCCTGGCCCAACCCTTGCAGCGCTGTTCAGTGAGGCCGCAGAGAATGTGGAGGAGTCACACCCGCTGCTGCTGCGCACTACCCACCGCCTGGCGGAGCGCTATTTCCAGCTGCCCGTGGTGCAGCGGCGCATGCGGGAGGTACGGCTGGGGCGGAGCCGTACCCTTGGCATCATTGCTGCGCAGGGCATGCCTGGAAGGTGGCACAACAGGCGCAGGCATGCGGGCTGGCTGGGGGAGTGTGAGGCATGCGGCTCAAGCTGTCTGACCCATGACGCTGCGCACTGTGGCCGCAGGTGCGGCATGCCTGGCAGTTCAGCGTGCCACCCTGCCCGCAGCTCTACCTGTATAGCAAAGCAGGTGCGCCCGCTGCCGGGGCGGGCGCCTCCAGGGGTCAGCCCCCAAGAGCTTCTGGAGAGACCATCGCCAGCCTGGTTGTGCTGCCTGGTATCTATGCCACCCACGGAGCCGCCGTTGACAGCCTGCCTCTGTGCCCGCTGCCCTGCAGACGCGCTGATCCCGCACCGACACATTGAGAGATTCATGGAGCAGCAGGCGGCGCACGGCGTGCCGGTGCACCACCACTGCTGGGCCGACACGGCGCACTGCGAGCACCTGCGGTGCGGGAGGCTGCTGGCAGCTGTGGGCGGCTGTTGGCACATGCGCGATGCTCGGCACGCAGTGCAGCTGCACACCATACCTGCTGGCGCTCCTGCTGGGCGACAGTGACTCGTGCCTGCCATCTGCCTTGCAGGAAACACCCGGAGCAGTACAAGAGCCTGGTGCGCTCCTTCACGGAGCACTGCCTGCACAGCCACACGCCGCCGGAGAGCTGGATCTGAGTGGCAGCCACCCAGCCTGTTCAGCCATGGCAGCTGGAGCATTCAAAGTAAGCCTTCTGGTGCGCTGTCGTTTTGATGTGCTACTCATGTTTCGCTATGGACAAGGCAAATGCAGAATAGGGAATTGCTGAAACCTTGCTCCAAGCCGGCATCCTCCCCAGCAAGCCAGCATCAGTTGGCCATGCTGAGGCTAGGGCTGTGCAGCAGCTGCAGCGCCGCGCAGGCGTCGACACTCGGGCTTGTGTGCTGGCCAGTGCGCGTGGGAGCAGGCCTTGCTGCAGTACCGCACAGCCCGGCATCTGCAGGCAGGGGGCAGGTGCACTGAATGCAGGCTGAAGGGCTCTGGCGATCCCGCTGGCAGGCTGGGTGCTAGAAAGCCTCCCTGCTCAACAGCCCAAAAAACCGCTCACCCAGTGCAGAGCTTCAGGCGGCGCGTGTTGCCACACCCATCCGCTGCGCAAACCCTGGCCCCAGCAACAGCCGCTGCTGCAGCTTCTTGGATTGGGCCAGAGGTTGCCGCGGTGTCTGCTGCACCTGCTGCTGCTGCCGCCTCTGTCACACTCGCTTGTGCTGGTCTCGGTTGTGCTGCCGCTGCCTGACGCGTTCTGCCAATTGACAGGTTGCGCAGCAAGGCCGCTATGTGATCCCGGACTGCCTCGCTAGGGCTGCTGCTGCACAGCTGCTCTAAGGCAGGGATGCCGCCAGCCTCCTCGATAGCCGCACAATTGCTGGGGCTGGCAATGGACAGATAGTACAGCGCCCCAGCGGCTTCCGCTTGCACTGCTTCGGTTGAGCTACTCAAAAGCAGCGCCAGGACTGGGATGCCGCCAGCAGCTGCAATGGCTGCCCGATTGTCGGGGCTGTCAATAGAGAGGGTCATGAGCGCCTGGGCTGCTTGTGCTTGGACAGCCTCGCTGCCGCTGCCGCGAAGGCGGTGCACCAGGATTGGGATGGTGCCGGCTGCTGCAATGGCTGCTTTGTTGTCAGGGCTGCCTGCAGCTAGGCTCCCAAGGGCCCCGGCTGCTGCAGCCTGCCCCGCCTCACTCCTGCTGTTGCGCAGGTGCTGCACTAGGACTGGGATGGTGCCGGCTGCTGCGATGGCTGCTTTGTTGTCAGGGCTGCCTGCAGCCAGGCTCCCAAGGGCCCCGGCTGCTGCAGCCTGCCCCGCCTCATTCCTGCTGCTGCACAGGTGCTGCACTAGGACTGGGATGGCTCCGGCTGCCCCAATGGCCGCCTTGTTGTCAGGGCTGTTGTCAGAAAGGCTCCATAGGGCATTAGCCACGTGCTCCTGCACTGCCTCGCTGCTGCTGCTGTTTTGGAGGTGCACCAGGGCTGGGATGGCACCTTCTGCATGAATGGCTGCCGTGTTGTCTGGGCTATCCACAGAGAGGCTCGCAAGCGCCCCAGCTGCTGCAGCCTGCACCTTCTCGCTCCTGCTGCTGCGCACGTGCTGCACCAATAGAGGAATGCCGCCTGCCGCTGCAATGGCCCCCCTGGTGATAGGGCAATCAGTAGCAAGGTTCCAAAGCGCACCGACGGTACGCTCCAGCACAGCCTCGCTGCTGCTGCTCGACAAGTGCTGCACCAGCGCTGGGATTCCTCCAGCTGCTTCAATGGCTGCCTTGGTGTCGGGGCTGGCTGCGGCGAGGTTTGTCAGCGCTGTAGTTGCTGCCATCTGCACCTCTTCGCTGCGGCTGCTTCGCAGGTGATGCACCAACATTGGGATGGCGCCGCACGCTGCAACGGCTGCTCCGTTGCCCCGATCAAAAGCAAGGTTGCACAGTACCCATACTGCCGACTTCAGCAGAGCCTCGCTGCTGTGCGGACTGCTGCTCAGGCACTGCAGCAGCGCCGTGATGCCACCCGCTGCGATGATAGATGCGCAGTTCTCAACGCTACCGCAAGAGAGCTCTACCAGCGTCCTGGCCGCCTCAACCGCCTTGCGCCCGCCGCCGCTGCGAAGACGCTTCACGAGCGCATGAATAGTGCCGGTTGCTGCCATCAGAGGAGAGTTCAACCTGACTGCTACGCAACCCTTGGACCGCCTAGCGGCTGGGAGGGCGGGCGGGCCGGCGGCCAGCTGCAGCAGCCTGCACCGCAAAGCGGGAACGCAAAGCGGGACTCCCTGATTCAAATTCAAAGGGCTGAAGGGCACCTCCAAGAGTCGCGCCACGCCACCAAGAGCCTGAACTGAGCTCACCACTCTGCACGTCTCGAGATCACGAGGATGAGAGGCAGAGGCGGAGAGGGAGGAAGAAGAAGAAGATGTGACCAAACACGGGTGACTCACGGGATCGAGACAGTGTCTGGCAGAAGAGCCCGGTTGTAGAGTTGTAGCAGGTGGGTGGCGAGGTGGCGCAGCACCCCCGGCGTGCCGCTCCGCCGGGTGTCGGTCTTTTGCTGCCGGTGCAGGCGCTGCGTTGTGCAGTGTTCTCAACCGCACTTAGTGGCGCAGTGGGTTTGGAAAGGCAGGAGGCCCCATGACCACAGCTGCCACCCTACTGGCGAGAGAGAGAGACCACGAAGGCAGCAGGGAGCAGCCACCTGTGTGTGGCTGGACGGTGGCCCCCGTGCCTCCCATGCTGCTGCCCTCTTTGCTGCGCTGTGCCTGAAGGAGCCTGGCTGACGTGCACGTCAAGAGGAAGAGAAGAGCTTACAAAGTCAGGTCAGGTGGGACAGGCGAGAGTCAATTGCATTTGTCCTATGGCTTCCTATTAAGCTACGCTGGTGCTACAGCCGCGCCCGCTGGCAGTCTCAGGGCGTGCAGGCTGGCACGGGCGGCGGGGGGCGTCCCGATCAATCCTCGTCGTATGCCTCGCCCTCCTCCTCGGCGGTGGCATCCTGGTACTGCTGGTACTCGCTGACCAGGTCGTTCATGTTGGACTCAGCCTCAGTGAACTCCATCTCGTCCTGCGGGGGTAGCATGGGCAAGGTGGAGAGGAGGCAGGGGGGTCACCGCAGGGCGGCGCCAACGGCACCAGGCCAGGAGTCGAAGCAGACGTAGCAGCAGCGGGAGGGATGCAGGCAAGGCCACCCATGGCTGTGCCAGCAGGCGCGGCAGGGACTCACCATGCCCTCGCCGGTGTACCAGTGCAGGAAAGCCTTGCGACGGAACTGCGGGAGCCAGGGGGGTGCGGGGGCGCAGGGTGTGAGAGGTGTGCAGGTGAGCGACAGCAGGGGAGGCTGCTGCTGGGGTTGGGAGGGGTTGCGCATGGTGGCGGCCGTGGTGGCAGCCAGCTGTGCTCCTGCCCCAGCTCACCATGGCAGTGAACTGCTCGCTGACACGCTTGAACATCTCCTGCACCGCGGTGGTGTTGCCCACAAAGGTGGCGCTCATCTTCAGGCCGCGGGGAGGGATGTCGCAGATGGAGGACTTGACCTGCAGGGCGGGCAGGGGGAGGCAGCAGGGACGGGCAGGAGGCGTCAGGGCGGGGTGTTGTGGGCCCACGCCGGCCAGGCGCTTGCAAGCCAGCAATGCCAGGCAGCACGGCAGCCGGGGGCTCACGTTGTTGGGGATCCACTCAACGAAGTAGCTGCTGTTCTTGTTCTGCACATTCAGCATCTGCTCGTCCACCTCCTGCAGCACAGCGGGGCAGGGGGGGCGGCAGGCAGGTGCGCCAGGCACAGGTGAGCATCCAGGCTGCGAGAGGCTAGGCGGCTGCCAATGCACACACGGTACAGCAGCTGGCTGGCACGGCACCTGCCCCGCCAGGCCACCACCTGCCCTGCCCTGGGCGCACCTTGGAAGACATGCGGCCGCGGAAGAGCGCGCTGGCGGTGAGGTACCGGCCGTGGCGCGGGTCTGCTGCGCACATCATGTTCTTGGCGTCCCACATCTGCTGCGTCAGCTCGGGCACGGTCAGCGAGCGGTACTGCTGGCTGCCGCGGGAGGTGAGCGGCGCAAAGCCGACCATGAAGAAGTGGAGGCGGGGGAAGGGGATCAGGTTGACCGCCAGCTTGCGCAGGTCGGAGTTGAGCTGGCCGGGGAAGCGCAGGCAGCAGGTGATGCCTGCGGGCGGCGCGGGGAGCGCAGAGAGGCGGGCGGGTGAGCGGGCCAAGCGGGAGCGGATGATGCGCCATGCTGGCAGCGCCCAGAGAGCTGGCAGGGAGGCCCCATGGGGTGGAGTACACCCAGCCCAGCGCCGGCCCCAGCCAGCCCACGCAGCCCGGCCGCGGCGCCACCCACCCGACATGACGGCGGAGATGAGGTGGTTGAGGTCGCCAAAGGAGGGGGTGGTGAGCTTGAGGGTGCGGAAGCAGATGTCGTACAGCGCCTCGTTGTCCAGGATCATGCACTCGTCGGCGTTCTCCACCAGCTGGTGCACAGACAGGGTGGCGTTGTAGGGCTCCACCACGGTGTCAGACACCTGCGGGAGGCGGGCAGGCAGGGCCGGGAGGGGAGGGCAAAGGGTGAGCGGGGGCTGCCCTCGGCTGGCGCAGGCGCGCGGTCTTGGCGCAGCATCCCCAGTGGCAGGCAGCAGCGCATCGGGCCGGCTGCAATGGCCCCCAGGGCGCCCCAGGCACGCACCTTGGGGGAGGGCACCACGGAGAAGGTGCACATCATGCGGTCGGGGTACTCCTCGCGGATCTTGCTGATCAGCAGGGTGCCCATGCCGGAGCCGGTGCCGCCGCCCAGGGAGTGGCAGAGCTGGAAGCCTGCGGCGGGCGCGCAGGGAGGGGGGCGGAGGGGTGGAGGGTGAGCCACGAGCCGGCGGTGCGGGGTGCTGGCCCAGGTGGGCCCCCAGGCTTGCTGGTGAGGCTGGTTGACCTGCTCCTGCCCCTGCCGTGCTGCTGACCGGCCAGCCAGCCAGCCGGGCCAGGGTAGCAAGGCCTGACGGCGCCGCAGGCCGGCAGTCAACTCAGGTCAACGCGCCCGCCCAGCAGTAGCGCCGTGGCCGGGGGCACCTCCCCGCGCCCCAGGCCACCCACCCTGCAGGCAGTCGCAGGACTCTGCCTCCTTGCGCACAACGTCCAGCACAGAGTCGATCAGCTCGGCGCCCTCGGTGTAGTGGCCCTTGGCCCAGTTGTTGCCGGCGCCAGACTGGCCAAACACAAAGTTGTCGGGGCGGAAGACCTGGCCAAAGGGGCCGGCGCGCACGGCGTCCATGGTGCCGGGCTCCTGCAGGGGAGCAGGGGCAGAGGGCACAGGGGAAGGAGGTGAAGAGACCAGCAGGCACGCTATGCCGCATAGCGGCAGGGGTCTATGGCCCTCTCAAGGGACGGCGGCGACACAAAACGAGCGCCTGCCTGGTGCGGCCAGCGCACGTCGGGCGGCCCGCTCAGGCTGGCGGGCAGCCTGGGGCCGCCGGCGCCCCAGCACCGCCCAGGCAGCAGCAGCGCGCACCAGGTCCAGCAGCACGGCGCGTGGCACGTAGCGGCCGCCGGTGGCCTCGTTGAAGTAGACGTTGATGCGCTCCAGCTGCAGGTCGCTCTCGCCGCAGTACTGCAGGCGGCGCGGGGAGGGCCAGGGGCAAGGGAGGGGGCGTCACGCACGCGCAGGCAGCGTCCTGCAGGGGCGCGGAGGCCCGTGTAAGGGCGGGCGGCAGCCTGCCGCCGCCGCCGCCCATGCATCCCTAGCGCGGCTGGGGGTGATGGCGGGCCTGGCGCCTCTCCAGCCCGCTCACCGTGCCGGTGGGGTCAACGCCATGCTCGTCGCAGACCACCTGCACAGGTTGTTGACGCATCACGCGTTGTGAGCAGCGGGCTGGGAGGGTCCCGGGCTGCTGGCCTGCCGCCCCCAGCGCCCACTGATCGCACCAGCGGGCGTTCAAGCAGGCAGCAGCCCCCAGCAGGCTGCCGTTGAGTGCCCGGTGTGATCGCGGGCCGCTCCGACTCACCTCCCAGAACTTGGCGCCAATCTGGTTGCCGCACTGGCCGGCCTGCAGGCAGAGGAGGCCGCGGGGCGGTCAATTGGGGGGCAGGGCGCGGGGGGCGGTCAATCGCCCAGGCCGCCCCTCGGGCGCTCCAGCTGCCCCAGGAGAGCTGCTGCGCGGCCCCAGCCGCCCCAATTGCCTCAGGAAGGTCCTCCCCTCGGGTCTCACCTGAACGTGGACCTGCAGGGGCGTGGAGGCGAGGGAGGAGGTGGTCAAGGGGCTGTCAAAGGGCTTGCAGGCAGCGCCCCAGGCAGCCCAGGCAGTCCCTCTGCCCTGTTAGATGCACAGGGCGGGCCCCAAGCAGCGAGTCCTCACAATCTCCCTCATAGTGGCAGGCTTCCTTTGAAACTCGCTCCTGCGGCCGTCTGCTGGCTTATGTCGCTGACCCTGCAGCCCAGACAGCCACAGCGCGGCGGGGATTAGCGGCGGCAGAGGGCAGCCTGAACGACTCGCGCCAGCAGCCCCTCCTTTGAACTACCCCGATCACTCCCCCAGGACTCGCCTTGCCGAGTACCCGCCAGTGTTCGCCTCAGGCCGCCAGAATGCCTAGCGCGGGCCCCTGCCCGCTCCTATATGCGACGCTCCCTTTCCAGCCACCCGCCTTTCCAAGCGTGCATGGGGTGGGCGGGCTGTTGGGAGCGTCTCAGCGCGATCCAGCTCCACGTGAATCGCTTGTGAGTCCTGGACTGCCAATTGGGAGCGGCGGGGCGGCCTGCCGGGGCCTGTGCGGGCCACTCCACTGACCTGCCGCCACTGCCGCTTTCCCGCCACTGCCCCGCCTTGCACCGAAGGCAGCAGCCCAGAAAAGCTGTATCCTATGTAATGCTGACATACTGAGGTGTGCGTTTCAATGAGTCTGACAGAATGAAACAGCCACTTCAGGTGCACGGCAGCGAGTGCAAGTGTGCGGGGCCCGCTCCCGCAGGAGCACGCGCCGTCCACCAACGGCCGTGGGTTGCTGGATGCGCAGTCCTGGCGGGCTCCAGCCGTGCCCGATCACCAGCTGCTGTCGCGGCCGCAAGCCTGGCTATTGGAAGCCGCGATTGTCGTTTGCCGTCACAGCCACAACTGGCCGCCCGCCGCACATTGACCGTTGCCGCAGCCCCATCCGCACGCCTCCCCGCCTCGCCGCCAGTACCCGTTCGCTGTGCTTGAAAACATGCAGACGGCCTGTCGTGGATAGTAGCATGCGCTGCACACGAGACAGCAGCAGTTAGGGAGCTGCAGGTGGGCCGGCACCGGCGGGCACGGCCGCCGCCAACGGCCGCAGGTACACCACGTACCGCCCTGGCTGCCCGATCCCCCCTGGCGCTCCGCATTCCGGGGGCTGCCGCTATCAAAGCGTACCCACAAGCTTCACCTACGTCCTCAGCCCGCTGCAGACGCGTTTCCAAGCTCTCCCCGCAAGGTTCCACCCCTCCGCCGCACCCGCCCGCGCCACCATTCTGATGGCGATCAGGCAGTGAATGAGTCAACCCGAGCCGCCCAGCCCCTTCCTGCCCGCCGCACCAGCACCTCTGGCGGAGGTGCGTGACCCGAGCAGCGCCTCTGACAGCGAGGAGGCCAACGGTCTGGAAGCGCATCAGGTAGCGCCGCACACCAACGGCACCAACGGAGGGGCCACCGGTGGAGAGGTGAGACCACCGGCCACGGCATGCGCCCGCTGCCGCCGCCGCCATCACGTGAGTCTGTGTGGCTCAAGGGCGTGGACAGTATTTGAGCCCAAACCAGGTGTAGGCGCATCTATGTGCCTTGTGCTGCACGCATGCTGGGTATGGGCTGCGTGCAGCTGGCCCCCGCTGTACCCCGCGGAGGTGTCACTGGGCACTGGGTGCAGGCTCACACTCGCTGAGGCTGCCCTCCCACCACTGCACCCCAGCCTGCGCTGCGGAGGCTATGCTGCGCTGAGCCCGACCGACCTCGGAGCTCGCCTGTGCCCCTTAAGCTGCTGTGTGCGCTCCCTGCCGCCGTTCCTGCCGGCGCTGCGCAGGCCGTTGGTCTGCCCACCTTCAGCGTTGGCTGGGCGCAGAGCCACGGCAACCGGCCATACCAGGACGACCGCTTTGTGGATTTTGTGCTGCAGCTGCCTACCGGCGGCAGCGCGTTTGTGTGGGCGGTGAGCGTGGCGCGCGGCACGCAGAGCAGACACGCCGAGATCCAGCCGCGCAGAGCAGACACGCCGCCTCGTTGTGCCCACCGGCCTGCCCGCATGCCTGCCGCGTCCCTGCTTGCCTACCCGCCGACTCTGCCCGCCTGCGTGCCCGCAGGTCGCGGACGGCCACCACAAGCACCATGTGTCGGAGCTGGTGTGTGAGGAACTAGAGGATGTGCTGAGCGTGGCGGTGGGGCAGCACCCCAGCCTGGAGGCGGCGCTGGTGAGAGCACCGCAGCCAGCCGCCGCTTGCAGCGCCGCGGATCGGAGGGCAGGCATCGCTGCGGCGGAGGCTGCTGCAGGAGGCTGTTGCGCCTGGCCGTGGCGTCTTGGCTGCTTGATGCCCGCAGCAGGGAGGCCCGGCGCGTCGCGGCCAGAGGGCCGTGGCAGGAGGCCGCCTGACCTGGCAATGCCAGCCCCTGCCAGCCCCAACCACACACCTCCCCGCCCTCCCCCGCCGCTGCCGCAGCACGCCGCTATCCGCCGCCTGGACGACAACGTGTTTTCGCGGCACGCACAGGGCCTGCTGGACACCGGCGGCACCACACTCATCGTGCACGTTCTCACCGCCAGCCACGTGTACACTGCCAACGTGGGCGACTGCAAGAGCGTGCTGAGCTCGAGGGGCGCCTGCGTGGAGCTCAACACCTGCCACAACCCAAACGTGCCCTCCGAGCGCGACAGGTTCCAGGTGCGCGGCAGGGCTGCCTGCCTGTCTGCGCGCCGCTGCCCGCGCGCTGCTGTCTGCGCGCCGACGTCTGGGCCTGGGTCCCGTCAGCGCTGCCGGCGCCCAGCGGGCCTCGCCCGTCGTGCGCCGCCCCTCAGCCCCCCTCGCCTACCTGCCTGCCTGCCTGCCTGCAGGCGGTGGGCATCTACTGCTCCGCCGACCACATCGGAGGGTCGGACATCAACGTGTGCCGCACCCTCGGCGACTACGACCTGGGCATGCCGCTTAAGGGGCGGGACGCCGAGGGCCGCCAGCTAGGACCCCTCATCTCAGGTGCGGGCGTGCCGGGAGCGCGGGGCAGCACTTGGGCGCGCGGGGCAGCCCAGCGCTTCGCACCTGCCACCTGACTCTCCTGCCCTGCATCCACCAACACACACGCGCATGCACCATGGCATCTCCTTGTCACCACCTCCTTGTCACCATCTCTGGCCACCAGCTGGCACCCACCCATCCCGCTGCCCTCCCTCCCGAACCCGCCCGCGCCCCGCAGAGCCCGAAGTGTGCGTGGTGGCGCTGGACGAGATGAGCGAGTTTGTGATCACCGCCAGCGACGGCCTCTGGGACTACTACTCGCCAGAGAGCAGCGTGCTGAGCGACACGCGGCGCACGATGCGGCGGCTGGAGGAGGATCCGCAGCTGGTGGGTGTGAGGGGAGGGCTGGGGTGCGCGCTCATGCGCCTGTGTGTGTGTGTGTGTGTGTGTGCGCGTGTGTCGGTGGATGAGGTGGTGGTGCTGGTGTCCTTGCGGGGCTGTGGGGGGCAGGGCGCGGCTGCCCTGGCGAGCAGACAAGGACTGCATCAAGGCTGCGTGCTGGCGGCTCTGCTCGCTCAGCATGCCCCTCTCCTGGCCACCAGCCTTCTGGGAGCCGGCTTATGTTTTTGGTTTGCCTGGCCACGGCGGCGTGTTCTGCAGGTGGCGCAGTGGCTGCTGGACGAGGCGCTCGCGCACCAGCAGCGCACGCTGCACCCGGGCACCCCCGGCGACAACATCACCGTGCTGGTGGTGAAGCTGCGGCCGCTGCCGCCGCTGCCTCGCTCCACGGGCAGCCGCCTCTGCCTGCTGCGGGGCGGCTCAGGCGACCTCACAAGCCCCAAGCTAGCAGATGTGCGTGGTGGTGGTGGTGGTGGTGGCGTGGGCCAGAAAGTAGGGACCGCTGCGCGGCTGCACAGACGTTCAGTGTTCGCCGGAATGAGCTTCGTCCTGATCGGCAGCGACTGGCACACAGGGCAGATGCGCTTGGCTTCCCCCATACGCATGCTCTCCTTGCCCACGCCTGCCCCCTCCCACCCCCTCGCTGCAGCTGCCCGAGCTGTCTGGGAGTGGAGAGCTGTATGGCGGGGCGCTGTCGCCCGCCGAGAGCTCCCGCCATCAGGTGCTGCAGCGGCGGGCATCGCAGCAGAAGGCGATGCTGCGGCAGCACTCCTCTCAGAGATGCTCCTCCGACCTTCAGCTGCAGCAGGAGCAGCAGCAGCAGCAGCAGCAGCAGCAGCAGCAGCAGCAGGATAGCTTACAACAGTAGCCCGCCTGCCGCTCCCCTGTGCTGGGAGCGCCGCCAGCGATTGAGTTTTCTCACTGGCTTGCCAACTTTCTCACTGGCTTGCCAACTAGGCTAGCTGACATCTTATTGCGAGGCACTGAGACCCCCCTGGTCTAGGGGTATGGCCCTTCACGGGTGAAACGCCGCGCCCGCTGCCCTTCCTGGGTAGTTTTTTAGCCGGCGCTCTAGGCTAGCCAACAGCGAGCCGCTGTGTTTTTGAACCTCCCCTTGCAGCTGGCCCGTGCCCCCTGTGCGCCAGTGCTCCAACGCATGCACACATGCCACCGTCGATTCTTGGCTCTTCTCATGAATCCTCGACGCTATTCTTGCGCTGACCACTCCTTGCTTCTCTTATGACGCTGCTCCCAAAACTGACCCGCGTCTCCATGCACCACCTACAGCCGGCTGCCCCCACGCGGCTGCTCTTCTCCCCTGCTCCAACAGCCTGCATAGCTTCTAGTCCCCGAGCGGCCTGTTTTGCCTTCCGCGTTTTGCTCTCCCCTCTTTTTTCATCCTATCTCTCTTCTCTTGCGCGCGAGCAACCTACTCTTACGTGTGCCCCTGCCAGGATACCGCCATGGCCCGCCGCCGAACACAGACATGTGATGCACAAAAATGCTGCCTGACACGGAGCAGTCCTGGGTGGCTGTTTCTCGCTAGGCTGCTTCGCTTCTCACTTTGGTGACAGCCCCTCGCCAGGTGCTGGGCTGCCAGGTGCTGGGGAAGGTGGGTGGCACCCTCACTGCGTTGCAGGCTGCTGCACCAGTTTGCCAACTGCATGCTTGGGTAGTGAAGGAGGGTAATCAGGAGGCGGTTGTCAAGTCTGTTGCCTCACTGCTCAGGCTGTCGCCTCGCCCTGGCATGGCGGCGCCGCGGCTGGGAGCCTCGCCAGGTGAACGCTCGCCACTGCGACAAGCGGCATCCACAGCTTGCCAGCCTGCATCGGGAGGTGGAGAGGCTGGCTGTTCTGGATGCGTTTGAGGTGCCTGCTTGCGCCACCCAGCAGAAAGCACAGGGCACAAGGCTTGCCTCACCTCGAGCACTTTCATCTGCGCCAGTTGATCCCGGGTGAGGCTGCTCTTCATGAAGTGTAGAAAGTCGCGGCGGCGCTGTTGCACAGCAGTCCCGCCACGGCGTGCGGCGTCTACCCTGGCAGCTGCGACTTGGTTGGGGTTGGGGGCTGCACTGTACCGGCTGGTCCGCCAGCTGCCAGGCCAGGTGGCGGCCGCCGCGGCATAGTTCCCAGCTGCATCGATGTATGCCTGGGCTACTGCTGCCAACATATGGGAATCATCAGGCACAGACCTGCCACAGGTGCTGAGCAGCAGCGGAGTGGTGCACGCCCCCGCGGGCTGCAGCAGCAGGCTGTGCGCCCCGCTTGCTAGGAACACCTGGGCCAGCTGCCGGCAGCACGCCTGCCAGTCGGGAAGGGTCGCTGCATCAGTGGGCTGCTCGGTTGTCAGCGGGAGCCCAGGGATGGCCAGGCTCAGCCCCATTCCCGAAACCTCCACAGTTGCCGCGCAGGAGCACAGTCGCTCCACATCCAGCAGTAGCACTGCAACAGGCACCAGGGGAGCAGCGAGGTCCAGCGTGGCTGTATGCGACTCGAATGCCACAGTTGGGTGCCGCTCCACCAATTTAGAACAGCACTGACATATGTGTCTTGCTGTCGGCAAGCTGCGGCCTACCCGTGTCAGGGGTGTAGTAGCAGCCACAATCGCCCGCCGTGCCACTGTGGATGCACAGGCTGGACAGTCGGTGCATGGGCAGCGACCCCAGGGGCGCCAGCAGGCTGCCGGCGAGGTGCGACTTGTACCGCCTGCCCAGCTGCAGCAGCGGGTTCCCAGCTGGCACCAAGGACACGTCTTGCACGCTGCGTGGCAGGCCTGCGGTGCATCGGCATAGCCCATGTGTCTCACAGCTGTAATGAGCTGGCGGGGCAAGGTGGGGAGATGGGCGGGCACCTATGCCGTCCACGACACCACTTGCCTGCGAGCTCCATGCGTGAGTAGTGGAGGAGGTGGAGGGCCCTCAGGCTTGGGAGCACGGGCAGCTGGGAGGCTGCAGAAGGTGCAGAAGGGAGAAGGGGTTTCCAGCGTTTTTGAGCTTTGGAGGAGGTGAGGTGAGGCATTGCTTCTGGAGCGGCGGTGCTCCAAGCCCAGCCCTGACTCGCCTTCAAAGGCGTTTGGGTAGCCGCCCTGCTGGGATGCCATCGTCAGGACCTCGACCCGCCGCAGCATCCGCTCCCGGACACCGAGTTGCAGCTGGCGGTGCCAGCGCAGGAAGGCACCGCCACAGACTGGGGCCTCGATGCCCACGAGCTGAGCTCCCACTGCGGCAAAGCAGGAAGCGAGGGCTCATCCACCTGGGGCGAGTGCTTTCTGTCTGACCTGCCCTATGCCTCAATACCGCCGCAGAGCCCACCTTTCTGCGCCCAGGCCAGGGCATCCAGCGGGTTGTAATCCCTCTGGCTGCTGCTATCAGCGACGTACAGCTGTGCCGGCCAATCCAGCCGCACCGCCAGCGGCGGCAAGAGCGCCAGAACTGCCTGCCGGTGCGCGCGGCTCAGGAGAGACGCGAGGCGGTGGCACCGCGCTGCTAGCCGCACCGGGAGGACCTCAGCCTCCCTGGGCAGCAGGACGTGCAGTGCATCCTGCGGAGACCAGCGCAAGCAACGTTCCTGTGAGCAGCGATGGGTGGGTTGAGCGACGATGGGTGGGTTGTCGGCACACGCCCATGCCTGCTCTGGCCTTGCGCGAATCAGCTCACCGCGAGCACCAAGATGTGATGCTGCAGGTCTGCAGGCAGCTGCGTCAAGAGCCGCCAGGTCTGCGCGTCAGGCTTGCGCTCCTCCCGCCGCAGCGTCGGCAGCCAAGTTGCTGGTGGTGCCACCTCCACCGCCGACTCGGCCTGCACCCTGCCCTCCTGCTCGTTGGCTGGGCCTGCCATGCACGTGCAAATCACGTTGGAGGCGCTGAGAGGGTGGGCCTGCTCCAGAATTGATGAGCTCCGTCCCAGGAAACGAGCGGGCACCCTAAAGGGAGAGGAGTGTGGCTGTCCTTTGCCTGGGATCAAGTTACAGAAAACGATCCAGCAGGCTCGAGGGAAACAGAGCTTTCTGGCGGCCATAGCCATCGCCAGCTGGAATTTCTTCCTCGCCATGCAATGGCGGCGGAGCGAAAAGAACCAAGAGCAAATCACAGACAAGCAAGCAATAAAATAGCAGGAGTGCATGAACAGCCCAAGCTGCACTCCTGGGTGCTGGCTGCATGGGGCGAGTGCAGCTTGGCGCACGTCGAACGCCGCCCGCTACTCCTGCTCCGAGTCCTCCTCGCCGCCCTCCTCCTCCTCCTCCTCTCCCTCTGCTGCCGCAGCGGTGGGCGCCGAGAAGCCATCCAGGGTGGCTGCTGCCGTGGACGCCACCCGCACTCTGCCGTCCTTTTGGAGTGTGATGATGGCTGATGCGCCGACATACTCGGCTAGCGCCATGCCTGTTGTCTCGTCGCATAGCCTCCAAGCATGCCCCGTGTAGGTGGCTGCGGTCAAGGGAGATACCGGCACACGCAGCAAGCATGCGTCAGAAGTAGGCTTGCCAGCGCCAGCCTGCTGAGGATGCGCATCCGAGGCACAGCTGGCATGGCGGCAGCAAGCATGCGGCAGGTCCCATCCCGCGGGCATCGCTCACATTGATCCACGCTTGAACCGGCATCGATAGAGCCGTAGCCTATCTGCAGTAGGAAGCAAACACTAAAGCAGGCTGGGCAAGGGTGGCAAGGCGCCAGCGGCGGCGGGATGGGCGGCAAGGCTCTGCACCTACCGCGCGGCCCTCGTAGTCTATCCAGAACACCAACACTGCGTCATCGCGTTCGTTTTGAAAACGGAGAACACAGGCATCGCTTCCACCCCCCTGCGACCTGAGCTCTGCCATTGTCTGTGCCTTAGGGTGAATGGATTAAAATAGGGTAGGAACAGAGGCGAAAAGGGGCAGCGAGCCGGGAGAATCGAAGCCCTGCAAACCCCGGGGGGAGGTCCAGCCCACCGCCCTGTCCCCGCCGCCCCTTGCAGTGGCGGTTGCACCGGCTGATTATTATTCCCCGCCAGACAGGCTGGCCACCACCAGCGCATTGGAGGGGTAGGGGTTGCCCTGGGCGTGTGCCGGGAAGAGGCGCTGCTTGTCCTCCACCTCCAGCCCGCCCAGTGCCACCACGCGGTTGTGCGCCATCCAGGCGGCGGCGCAGGGCAGCCAGTGCAGCGGGGCGGCCTCGCCGTCCTCAGACGTGCACCAGGCCTCGTACGGAGCGCCGATGCAGCCCAGGGGCAGCGGGCCCCGGTCAAAATTATGCTCGTTCATATGGCCCTGCAGGGCGGCACCCAAGGACTCTTGTCGAGCAGAGAACAAAGAGCCACAACCTCAGCATGTAATATACTGATGATCCCCAGGGCACCTGCCCCAAAGCTTCCCCTCGCCTCACCTCATGGTCGCCGCCTGCAGGCCCCTCGGACATCTCCACATCGGCGCCACCTGGCGCCGCCTCGCCTGCTGCCCCGCCAGCCTGCTGCGCACTTGCCACACCGCCGTGGCTGCTTGCCGGCCGCTGCACCTGCTGTCTGTTGCGCAGCCAGCTGCCGGCATGGCTGCCGTCTGCCCAGCCCATGCACTCTGAGAGATCCCACAGCCAGCACATCCCATTATCTGCTCGCCCAAGGAGCAGGTCTGCATAGCACAGCGGCAAAGCAGCAGACAGAAGCCAGCGCAGGCAGGCTGGATCCAAGCTAGAAACAGGCAAGCAATATTGGGCAAGCAATGAATGAATAAGATGCGCTGCGGCACCGGCCCACCTGACGTGGCGGACAGGTGGAGGCCTTGGCTGGTTGGCTGCTCATGCAGCTCCGGGTGCTCCAGCGGCAGCCAGCCGGAGGCAGCCAGCCGCGGATCCAGCTCACGGGGCAGCGGCGGTGCCTCATACACCGGCCCATTCATCTGCCTGCAGGCAGAAACATCAGCCAGCACACAAACTGGCGGTGGCTGGCTGGGCCGCCTGAAGGGCAGCTGAGTGGGGGAATCCCAACCTCTACAGGCATGGGCATGGCATGGCATGGCATGGCATGGCATGGCACGACCGAACAGCAGGCAGCCCGGTGCCGTCCCCGTCCTCCTACCTGCGGTCCCATACAGCGAGGGGCACGCCGGCGTGGCTGGTGAGGCAGAAGTGCCCCCTCGTCAGCTCCAGGTGCGGGTGCAGGCTGCGGTGGTGGGTGGAGTAGCGGGCGACCATGGGCTGCGAGGCACGCAGGTCAAACACGCACAGCGCGGCGGACGAGGCGGCGGCTTTGTGGAAGCAGAGGGCGGCAGGCGTGACGGAGTAGCACCGCTGGCAGGGCCAGCCGGCGGCCTGGTCATCTGCAGAGTTCAGGAGAGGTGGCAAGGAGGGGCTATGGACCAGAGAACGACACAGGTGTGGGAGAGGCACACGCAAGCGGGCAAGGAGCGGAAGCCCCAGGCAGTCACACACACCAGCCAGTGCTGCAGCCCGCACTGCCTCCGGCACCCACCGGACAGCCGCACGGAGCTGGCCAGCAGCTCGCTACCACTGGGCCCCGCCGGGGCCACCGCCGCCAGCTCGTACCCAGCCAGCACGTCTGCCATGCCGGGTGCCACCTCGCGCCAGCTGGCGACATCCACCACGCTGAGCCTGCTGTGCTGCGGCGTGGCGCGCAGCGCCGCTAGCGAGTCGTGCAGCACTGCGACGCGCTGCTGCGAGGGCAGGTAGTGAAGCTGGCTGATGATGCAGCTGCAAGCACGGGGAACAGGAGGGGGGGTTAGCACGGAGTCGCCACTGCTGCCATCAGTTGCCTTGCACAGCGCACGCTGCACACGCGCCTGTTGCCAGGAAACACCAAAGAGGAGGCCGGCTCCATGACGTCTGCGCTGGGCGCGCTGCCGTGCGCCTCTGGCAGCCGAAACAGGGCCAGGCGGCCGTGGCAGCCCCCTGCCGCCACCAGGCCTTCTGCACCAGCCACCGTAGCGGGCAGGGCTGCCACGCTGCTCCACAGCTCGCGACCAGAGCGGAGCGCGACGTTGGCAGCCCGCCGAATCTGCACCTGGTCCTCTGGCGAGGGGCCCGCCTCCAAAATGCGAAGTTCTTTGCACGAAGAAACGACGATTGTGGTGGTGCCATCCGGGGCAGTGCTGGGGTGCAGGGCCACCAGCTCATCTGACCAGGAGCTGCCGGCATAGCGCTGGGTGGCCAGCCGCGGCGCCGACCAGCCATTGTCGCTCGCAAAGACTGCTCTGTAATCAGCTCGCGGTTGCTGTTGTTGCGGCTGCTGCTGCGGCTGCTGCGGCGGCGCTGATGGGCGCAGCGGCCAGAGCGCCGTGTTCAAGGTGCCGTGCCAGCGGCGGGTGCAGAGGGCGCGCCACAGTGCAGAGTCGGCGGTAGCCGCCGCACGCATCTGGCGGCATGCAGAGCTGGCTGCCAGCAGATCAATATGGTCGAGTTTGGCCAGCACAGCGTTCAAGGCATCCGCCGGGAGGGTCTCCATTTGGAACTGACGTGCACCAGCTGCGGGTAGTGCACAGGGGAGAGTGGGCCTCGAATGGTGGCGGCGGCGGCAGCAAGCACTGGCGGCGGCGGCAGTGCACAAGGCGGCGGCGGCCCACCCTGTGTGCTCCTGCCAGCGCCTATCAAAGACGAGACTGCCAGCCAGAGAGCTTGCTCCCAAGGGCCCTTCACACATGTGCCTCGCCAACCACTGCCCCTGCAGCTGCTTGAGCTCGGCAAACTGATGCAGCAACTTACCGCCAATTCTGGAGGGCCTGCCGAGACTGCGACAGTGCTGTGAGCGCACTTCAAACTTTCCACTGCCTCTGGCCCGAACAGGCCGCTCACCAGTCAATTGTTTGTGCAATGGACGAACATGGAGGAGCTGGCGGCAGCTGAGCTCGACGTGCAGGTGCTGCTGAGGAGGCTGTGCCGCAGCATCTCCACCGCCGAAGTGATCTCGGCAAGAGCGGACCCAGACATCATCAATCAGCTGCAGCCGCAGCTCAAGGACATTGCACTCAGCGTCCTGCTCGGCCTGCACCCGGTGCGCAAGTGCTGGGGGAGTCGCCAGTGGCCCAGCATCTGCTGCAAGGGCCTGTGAAAGCGATGGGGAGCGGTGCCATGACCGTTGCGCCGGCCGCTGCCTGCAGGAGGCGGCGCCGCGGTATGTGCCGCCAGACGGGCGGGAGCAGCAGGCAGTGGCGGGAATAGCTGCTGCAGCCCAGCAGCTGCGGCAGAGCGGCTATGCTGGCCTGGCCTACAGTTTACAGGCCGCCACAGCGAGCCTACAAAGGTGGGTAAAGCGGCAGTAGCGCTACCCGGCTAGTCTTGCTGCCGCTGCGCTCTCGCTGTTGACCAGCATGCCAGGCAGCAGCAGACTTCTCACCCATTCCGTGCCGTGCCTGTGCAGCTGCGGCACCTTTCGGCTGCTGGGCAGCCTGACAGAGGCGGAGACGGGGGCGGCGGCGGTGCTGCCGCTCACCGAGCACGCGTCGCTGCTGGGGCTGTTGCTGGCCCTGGCCGGCACGTGCCCCTCCCTCCGCCAGCAGCGCTTCACCTTCCAAGTCGAGGAGGCTGCCGCTCCTGCCACAGCACCCCACCAGCAGCCAGGGGATGACCCCACATTAGCGGCAGTTCCAGCAGCAGCAGCGGCAGCAGCAGCGACGCTGTCTACCAGTGTGTTCTCCGAGGCGCCAGATCCCTTTGCCCTCACAGACGGCTCGGCGGCGGTGGCGGTGCTGCTGCCTCAGGAGCTGGGCCTGCCCAGCGAGGCGTTTGCGGGCGCCGAGGATGTGCAGGTGGCGCAGGGTCTGGGTCACTGGCGCCGCCGCCGCTGCTGTGCTGCCTTCCATGCTGCTGGCATGCTGCTGCCTTGCATGTCTTGTGCTGTGATGGTGTACGCAGCCGGTTTCAGCCGAGGTGCCCTGCTAATTTAGGACGCCTCCTCCGCGGCTGCCTCGCAGGACCTTTGCTCAGGCCTGGACAGCCGGCCGGTGTGGAGCCCCGCTGCGGCTTCCTCGCTGCCGCCGCCCCGCGCCGCGGTGTGGCTGCCGGTGCCCGCCTCGCTGCTGGAGCTGCAGAGGGATGGCCGTCGGGGAGCGCCGCCGGGGCCGCTGGGCCTGCCGCTGAGCCTGCTGTGCATGGATGATGAGCCTGGCAGCTGCACGCTGTTCTCGCCAGACGCGGCAGCGGGCTGGGATGCCGCCTCCGACTGCGGCGACGCGGCTTCTGCAGACTCTGTGCAGCCGCACTGCCCGGCCGGCGGCGGCGGCGCTGGCGAGAGCGGCGCCGCCGCGCCAGGCGGCACGCCCGAGCGCCACCTGGGCCTGTCCTGCCAGCTTTGGAGCCTTGGCGAGGTGGAGCTGGCGCATCAGGCGCTGCTGGCGCTGCAGGGGGTCGGCACCTCGCTGCTGCGCCTGCAGGCGCTGCTGCGGGAGCCGGGTGCGCTTCCGCGGCGAGCCATCACAGGCCTGCTGCGCTCGCTGGCGGCGGCGGGTGAGCTGCGCCAGCGCCTGCACGAGTTTGTCGCAGCGTTCAGCTGCGGCGGCGGCCCCTGCAGCCCTGCGCGCGGCCCCACCGGCAGCGGCGGCGGCGGCGGAACCCGCTGTAGCGAGGAGGACCCGGTGCAGCAGGCCTTTGCCGCAGCCGTGGCCCAGGTGTTGCAGCGCCAGTCTGCGGCGCTGCAGCAGCTGGAGCAGCAGCAGGCGTGCAGCTGGGTGCAGACGGTGGCTGTGGGCGGCACGCCGGGGCGGCGCTTCCACGGGCGGGGGCCCAGCCTCCTGCAAGTGGCGCTGCACACCCGCCGCCTCCAGCTGCAGCTGCGCAGCCTGGCGGACCTGTGCTGGTGCTCCCTGGCAGCCGGCGCTGACGGCAGCGGGAACGCAGGCATCGCCTCGGCAGCGTCAGGGCCTGGCCTCGATCCCCAACCAGCCCAGCCTGAGCTGGGCGGCAGCTGGCTGTGGCAGCAAGGCTTCCCAGCTGGCACCGAGCTGCTCGACTACCTGTACCGGCGAGCCAACGAAGCAGGTACCGCCCCACTGCCCCGTCGTGGCAGGCAGGCAGCGCAGGAGCAACACGGGGCCGCTTTCTTGGCTGCCGGCCCTTTGCTGCGCTCAGCGGCGCTTTGCTGGACGCAGCATCCCCGTCTTGTGTTTCTGATGAACTGATGGAGACACCTTTGCTGCCTGTGCTGCAGACGATGCCGACTCCCCTATGCTGCGCTTCCTGTTTGTGCAAGCCATCCAGCCCTACCTGCGCCACATGCACGCCTGGGCCTTCACGCCCCACGTGCGCCCGCCACGCCCTGCCGCGCCTGCGCTCTCTGTTTTCCTGCTTGGCTGCGATGCTTCTTGATGTTGGCGGGCACCGATACCGTCAGCCCTCCACAACAGCCAACATGCTTCTTTTCCTTCCCTGGGCCCCCAAACACAGGTGGTGAGCCGTGAATTTGGCATGGCTGGAGACAAGGAGCTGCTTACCCTCGACTTCCTGCCGCCCGCCGAGCGCCAGGCCACAGCGGTGAGCAGCCCACCGGGCAGCCGACCAGCGCCTTGCTGGTATCAACTGGAACTTCAACTGGCTTGGCTGCCGGCTGTTGTGTATCGCTCGTCAGCAGCACTCTGACTATGCGCCTCTCTTGCGCATGCTGCTGTTGCTGCCTGCAGCTTGTGCCGGCAGACCCTCCCGCCTTCTTTGCGCCCCTGCACGCCGCCTTCATGCGCGCCGGCTCCCAGCTTCGCCTGCTGCACTCTCTGGAGCACCATGGTCGCCACCTGGCGCACCGGCTGGCCGGCATTGCAGAGCAGGAGGTGTTGCAGCGGCAGCACAGCGGGGCGGGGCCGGCAGGCGCGGCGGGAGCGGCGGTGCAGGCGCCGGGCACGGCGCACTCCTTCACCAGCTTCTCTGCGCTCCTGCCAGGGCCAGCGGCGTCAGCAGGGCCATTCGATGCAGCTGCAGCAGCAGGGGCTGAGCTGCTGGCAGAGCCGCGGGAGCCTTGGATCAGCCTGGCCTGCGGTTCGGCCTCAGCCGAAGCTGACACTGCCGACGGCAGCCAGGACCTGCAGCTGAGCAGCAGCAGCCTGCGCCGGGCGGTAGAGATCAGCCAGGAGCAGGACAGCACCCGTGCCGCAGCTGTCGACGCCTGGCTGGGCACGCTGGCGCTGCAGCGGCGCCTGGCGGAGCATGCCGCGGCCTCGGAGCAGCTTGGCAGGGCGGCAGCCCAGCGTGAGCGCACCGCAGAGCGCGCAGCTCTCCAGGCGGCGGCGCTGTCGCGTCAGCAGAGCAGCAAGGCGGCGCTGCTGCAGGAGCAGCAGGCTGCGGTGGCGGAGCGGCGGGCCAGGCGGGCGTCGGAGCAGGCGCAGCAGGAAGCAGCGGATAGGCAGCTGCAGGCGCAGGCTGCGCGGCAGCAGCACTCGGCTGCACTGGCCGAGCTGGAGCAGGCCCTTGGCAGGGCAGGCCTGGGCGGCACACACCCGCCGGCAGCAGCAGCAGGCGGGCGTGAGACGCAGGCGGGAGAGGCGCAGCCTGCAGCAGCGCCAGCCCAGGGCCATCTGGCACAGCCTGCCGGCAGCAGCGAAGCCCAGCAGCAGCCCGCTGCAGGTGACCCACCTGCACCTGCTCATCCGGCGCTGCCCGCTGGCCTGCCGACGCTCAAGACTCGCAGCCGCCAGCGCTTTGCAGACGAGCAGCAGCAGCAGCAGCAGCAGGAGAACGCCGTTCCGCCAGCCGCCCAGGCGCAGGGTGGTGCAGGGGCCGCTGGCGCCGCGGGCAGCCGGCAGCCTCTGGCTCCGGGGCAGGCTGGCCTGCAGGCGGCGGCACCGCTGCTGCCTGGGCTGCCGTATGCAGCCAGTGCCGAGCTGCAGCACCAGATGGCGCTTTCGTCACTTGCAGACCTGGAGGGCGGCGGCGGCGGCGAGGCCGAGGATGCGCTGGCGCCCCTGCCTGCGGTCCTGGAAACCAGCATCACACACAGCGTGCTGTCGCAGTACCGAGCCGTCAGCCGTGCATGCGTCAGGTAGGGCCGCGGCTGCCGCAGTGGGCTTCCAGCAGCTGGCGCGTTTGATGTGATTTATTGGGCTGCTGCTGCTTGGTTTGGGGTCCGGTGCGTGTTTGTTGCCTGCGAGCAGGAGCCCACGACACGCGCGCTGCCGCTTTCCTCCCTGCCCAGGCTGTTCTTGGATGAGTTCAAGGTTCTGGAGCACCTGGAGGCTCTGCGCAGGTGGGAAGCAGCTGGGCCACCGCATCGAGCGGCACTGTGGCGGCGGCACCGGCCAAGTCGCCGCCAGGAGTAGTGCACGCTCCCTGGCCTGTTGCACCCGAGCTTCTTCACATCATGTCCATGGACACCACCTGCCCCACCCCGCGCCGCCGCAGATTCTTCTTCCAAGGAGCCGGCGACTGGGCCGAGGCGCTGGTGCAGCGCCTGGGCGCGCACGCCGACTCGCTGCTGCCACTGGCCTCGCACCAGGCGGACGCCATGCTGGAAGATGCGGCGCGGGTGAGGCCGGGCCGGGCCGGCGGAAGGGTGGCGGCAGGCGCAGGCCCATTGCGGACAGGCCGGAAGCAGGCGGCTGCTCGGTGCTGCGCCGCGCGCAGCCCTGGTGGCTTGCTGGTAGCCTGGCCTGGTAGCCTGCCCACACGTTCTCGGGGCTGCCTGCCTTTCTGTTGTGTGCGCAGCGCACGTCAGCAGATGGCGACCCATATGCCTCCCATCTGCGCATCAAGATGCTGCCCGGAGGCACCTCAGCCATCCAGGCGCAGGCGCGCCGCCGCCCGCTGCGCTGCCCTGCCCCGCCACGCTGCTGTCGCTGCCGCCGCCGCTGCCGCTGCACATTGCGCTTGCCATTGTTTTTGAGGAGGGGCAGGGACGGGCCCGCGATTGTCTTCAACGTATGGCAGCCTGCCCGCTCCCGGGTGCTGTTGCAGGTCGGCGCAATCAACGTCGGCGCCACGCCGCAGCGCCGAGCCCGCTCCTTTTGGAGCAGCCAGCACACGGGGGAGCGCAGGGCTGCAATTTGCACCGGCGCCGATGCTGCCTGTGGCTGGGACGCAGCCCGTGGCAGGGAACCTCCCAGCGTGGGGCCAAGCCGCTCACACCATGCTGCGCTGCGCTGTGCTGCGCTGTGCGGCGCTGTATGTGCAGTCACGCTGGCTCCCACCCAGCTGGATGCCCTCGACTGCCTCGCGCTCGACTACCAAGTCGGCTGGCCGCTCTCCGCCGTCCTCACAGAGGCAAGCATGGGTGCATGGGCAGCCCACGGCCTGTGTCGGTTGTCGCTAGATGCCGCCAGCGGGCCTGTTGCTCCGCTTGCCCCTTTGTCTCCCATGCCTCCCCAGCCAGGCCCAAGGCCCTCGCCCACCTGCCGCCCTTTTGTTGGCACCTCCCCCGGCCTGCAGGACACGCTCCAGGGCTACGCCGCCGTGTTCAGCTGGATGGTGCGCCTGCGGCGGGCGGAGCAGCTGCTGCGCGCGGCGGCGCCGCCGCTGGCGGCCCAGCCCAAGTCGAGCGCCGACCTGCTGTTGAGCGAGGAGGAGGCGGATAAGGCGCACCGCCGCGTGCAGGCGCTGCGCGCCTTCCGCTTTGGGGCCGCGCAGTTTGTCACGGCCCTGCAGGCCTTCCTGCAGTCGAGGACCACAGGTGGGGAGGCTGGGCTCGGTGTGCTCTGCTGGGGCCGGTGGCGCTGGCAGTGTCTGCTGCCACCCTGGAACCTGCAGCCTTTTGTGTGTGTGTGTGTGTGTGTCCGTCCGAGCCCCCAGACACACAGCCCATTCGCTCGCCGGCTGCTGTGCAGGGGATGCCTGGGCGCACCTGCTGGCAAAGCTGATGGTCAGCTCCGAGGAGGTGGCGGCCACGCTCATCAGCCGGCAGCCCAGCGGTGAGTGTGACGGAGTGCTGGGGCGCGGGGTGCTGGAGTGAGGGGGCAGGTTCAGGCATGTGGGAGTTCAGTCATGTGGGAGTCATGTGGGAGGTTTCCCCCCAGCCTGGGCGGGGGCCATCAGAGAGCGTGCTGCACTAGCTAGGGTCGCTGTTGAAAGGCGGCATGCCATGCCTGCCTGTGGGCCTGGCCTGCCCTGCAGCCCTCATGACGGGCCTGCTGAGCCGCATGAACAGCCTGGGCCCGACCGGCAAGGCGGCGCACAAGCTGGCGCAGCAGATGAGCCGCGCCCTGAGCGCCAGCCTGCCCGGCAGCCCCACAGCGGCGGCCGGCGCGGGCAACGGCCAGCTGGCCCGGTTCAACAGCCTGCTGGCTGCCGCTGGCGCTGGCTCCGCGCCCACCTCGGCAGCCGGCACACCCAGGGCAGGAGCGGCTGCGGAAGCAGCAGCTGCAGCAAGCGCGCGGCAGCTGTCGCGCTTTGCCGGCAAGCCCGCAACCGGCACCGGCGGCCCATTTGCCGCGGCGGCCGACCAGGACGGCAGCACCGCGCAGCGCTGGGATCCCTCTGCGACCAGCACCCCCACGGCCGCCGCCACTGCTGGCGGCGGCGGCGGCCTGCCGCTGTCAGCCCAAACCAGCTTCACGTCAGCTATGCTGGGGCAGGCTGCAGCAGAGGCGAGCTCGGCGGGCGGCGTGGCAGACCTGGATGCCGCCGCCTGGGCGCACCACTTCCAGCGCTCGCAGCAGGTGGGCACGCGGTGGCGGTGGGGGTGGTGGCAAGCCTGCCTGCTTTCCTTGTAGCAGCGCCTCAGGCAGGGGCAGGCTGACTCGTTTGTCATCGTCGCCCTCGCCCTGTCTGTCCTGCCCCCTGGCCTGACAAGCCTGCCCCCTTCATCCCACCTGCCTGCCCCCTCCCTCTCTCCTCCCTCTCCTACACTGCCCCGCCCCGCAGGGCATTGCCGACCTCCAAGAGCTGCTGGACCTGCACCGCCGCTACGTGCGGCAGGCCTCGGGTGCGCCCTGCCAGCTGCTCGGCCGTGGGCGCGCGGTTCACTGCGCGAGTTGATCCTCCCACCAGCCTACCTGGCAGCGGCCGCCGTTGTGTGCCCTTGCCGCTTCGGCGCTTGATCCCAGCAGCCATGGCGCCTGTCCCTGCACCCCCTGCGTGGCCTGGCTGCAGAGGAGTGCCTTACCTTTGGCGGCAGCCTGGCGGTGCGTGAGGCGGTGGAGGGCTGCCTGCAGTGCCTGGTCACCTTTGCCTACAAGCTGCTGGGCACGGTGCGCAGCGGGGCGGGCAGGCGGCTGGAGGAGACGTGGACGCAGGTGGGGGCGCTTGGCCGCCGCCGCTGCCGCCGGGCTGCTCTTGCTGGCGCGGTTGTGCTGTCGTGGTTTCTTCCCGAGCGTGTGCAGGCAAGAGCGCAGGGCGTCAGCAGCGGCAGCTGGTTTAGGGGCAGGCCCATCCCATCCACCTGCTGCCTGTGCTGCCTGGCTGGCCCCGCAATGCGTCGCGCACCTCCCCTCCCCGCCCGCCCCGCAGGCGCTGCGCCTGGATGCCGCCTGGGCCCCGTTGGCGGCTTCCATGGCTGATTTTGAGGCGAGGGCGCAGCAGCTGCAGGAGCTGCTGGCGGACGCGAGCAGCAGGAGCGTGCTTGCCGAGCTGCAGCTGGACTTCAACGGCTTCTACGCCAGGCGGCGGCAGCAGCGGCAGCGGCAGCAGGAGCGGCAGGAAGCGGGGCAGCAGCAGGGAGAAGCCTGAGGCTGGGGTGTGCATGTGGGGGAGCCACCGCTTCTTGTGTGCGTTGCGTGAGCCTGCCCGTGTGAGCACCTGTGACCACGGGTTACACCCTGCGGGACACCCAGTGGTGCAGACGGTACATGGTTCTGTGAGAACCGACAATCAGCCGTGGCCAAGTATCCGGGGTGACCTGGGATGAGTAAAAGTATTCGAGGGTCAGGCCGACTGCAGCAGCGGCAGCAGCAGGCGGCGCCCTGCTGTGCCAGCTGCGAGACAGCAACTGAGTCTTACACTCCCGCTACTTCATTCTACTCACAACTGCATGATTGATTGCGCTTATCATGCCTTGATCGATCGACTAGTCACCAGCCTTGCCTGGCTGGCAGCACTACAGCACTACCTTTGTGCGACTATATAACCGGAATGCGGGTCATTCCGGGGCCTTTCTCTCTTCTTTGTAACTGACTTGACTTGACTGGCCGCAGCCGGGCTCCGGCTGTTACTAGACTTCGACTAGACACGCTGCCTGCTCTTACACCGACGAGAGCAAAGATGTGTGTCGCCGCGCCGGGGTGCTTCCTGACGAAGCGCTTCACAAGCCTCTTGTCCACCAGCTTGTCTCGAGTGTTTGTCAACCAATGTCTGCCTTCACTTTGCATTTTGTAGTTGCACAAGAGCGCGTATCCAATCAGCCCATGGGCCTCGTAGCGTGCGAAGTCGTCCCAACTCTCATGGGTACTGAGCAGCATGTGCACCATCGCGTGTATGCAGCTGTCCAGCTCCGTGGTGGTTATTTCGGTGGTAAGGATGAATCTAAGAAGTTTCTTGGGCGTCTACATGGAATTAGAGTGAATAAAAGAGGTGGGTCCTCGAATATATATAGGTCTGCGTGTCACTGCCTCGCCACGCTGGCGGCCAGCCTTGCAACGCGTTACCAGTCCCCCGTGGCAGCGCTTTACCGCTCAGCCACGCTGGCAACGTGCCCAAAAGTCCCACGATGCGGATCTGCCTCGGCCGCAGGCCCCCCCGCCTGGGACCAGGCAGGCACAGTGCCCCGCTGCCGCCCTGCGGTTATGCCATGGCTGCCACCCACCCAACAACAACACCCCGACACTATGTCCTAGAAGTATGCGTTGCCAGCACGGTGCTTTTGATCTCATTGGGATACCGCAACTCAGGAAGCGCAGAGGGAGCACTGCCGCACGGGCAGGCGGCCCTCGCCGCTACTGCCGCCGGCACGATCTGCCTGTGTGCAGCCACTGCTGTGAGAGGCAAGCTGCCGCCCTGCCATCTGCTGCAGCGCATAAGAAGCACAAGTGCAGCACCTGCCAGTGCTGGCAGCTGCTGCTGGGAGCAGACCGCTCGTTGCCCCTGGAGATCCCCCCCAGTCGCCATGAATCACACGCGGCAGCAGTTACACGAGCGCATCCAGTTTTGCCTTGAGCGTGGCGCGCTCCGCATCGGTGAGCTGCGCTTTGGGCTGCACACCATCCGCCGCCTCGCCCAGCAGGTCGCCGGTGGCGCCGACGATGACTGGGAGCTTGGGCTTGGAGCTGCGGCCGGCGGTCATGGTGGCGACCGCCTCGTCCAGGCTCTGCCCTGCCAGCCAGTAGAGGAAAGCGACCACGATGGTCGGGGCCCTGCCGCGCCCTCCGTTGCAGTGGATGTAGGCAGAGCCATCCCCGGCACCCTGCACCTCGCGGGCAAAGGCAGCCACTGCTGCGGGCAGCCGCTGGCGCAGCTCCGCCTCATCTGCAGGGGACATGCGCATGGCCAGCGCAGCACGGCTGGGTTGGCGGGCCGGCAGCCGGTTTTGGCGTGCTGCGGTGGGAATGCACATGCGATGCACATGTGTGCCTGTACAGACAGGCGCTCAAGCACGGCGCTGTCACGTGGCTGCCCCCTGACGCCGCCGCTTGCCTATGTCGCTGGTTCCGAGCCGCACATACTTGATGCCTGCTGCCTCGCAGGCGGCAGCCACCGCGGCAGCGTCGATCTTCTGGTCAGACAGGTCGGTCTCGTCCTGCAGAGAAAACACCACGGCAGTCCCTCCCTGGCGTGCCCTGCAGCAATCGATGAAGATCCAGGATTAGGAGCGTGTGGCTTGAATGCGGGCCAGCCCGCCGGCGGGCAATGGCGGCAATGGGGGCAGCCTCCTCACGTCTCGGCATCCGCCGCGTTGCGCAGGCATGAACCCACAATGATGCTATCCGTCACTTTGTCAAAGTTGATGGTGGCCTCCAGCCCTGCGATCACCCCAGACACATGTTGAATGCAGCATGCTGATGCACGCAGCCGTGCAAGCATGCAGCAGTGCTCTCCATCACCCGCGGATGATGCCATGACTGTTAGATTGCGCCTGGGCGTTGAGGACGCTGTATGCAGAACGGCAGACCGGCGGCAAGAGGCAACAAAAGCCCTAGCAATAAAAGCCCTTGCGATCATTGAGGCCACAAACTGGTGACAGCGGCCAAACAAGCCGGGCGATGGCTCGGTGTTTCTTAAGGGCTGGGAAGAATATGCCTTTGCGTACCGCCGTTGCCGTTGACTGTACTTGTATGCCAATTTGGTGACGCCCCAAGAGCAGTAGCTGCACAGTCCATTGATATTAGCCGCTGGACACAGAATAAGACGAGCACCGAGGTGCACCAGCAGCGACGGTCAAAGTCCGTCGGCCCGAAAGTGGCACACACAGCCATCGCCCAGTCGCATCCTCTCTGCGGGTGGTCTGGGGCGGCAGGCAAGCGGGCTGTGGCGCAGGCAGGCTGCCGCCCCGCCCGCTTTATACCAGGCCGCTGTGGGCCCTGCCCCCACCCGCCAAGAACAACGAGGGGACAGGCAGTGAAACAGGCGGTCGCGGCGGTGGCACGGCAAGCACGCTGTGCTCCGTTTCCTCCCTAAATGAAACCGCACGCCGCAACCGTGCCTGCCCCTCAGGCATCTGGAGCGTGTGCGCTGGGGTGAGTAAGCAATACCGTTGGTTCGGGGCGGGCGTGTTGGTCTGGCTTCAGCGTGGCGGCGGCAGCAGAGCGGTGAGCAGGGTTACGGCGCCCTGCTGGCTGGTGATTTTCTGCATGGCCAGGGCCGGCCACAAACGCCATCCACTCGTCATCAACACGTTGTGCGAGGCCTTTGCAGCGCAATGCGCGCGGTTTTCGTTGGTGGCTTGCCCCTCGTGGCGACCCTGCCTTCGAGACCCTCTGTTGCTGGGCATGTAATGGAAACACCCTCAGCAAGACAGCAGCAGCACACGCGTGTGCAGCAGCAGCGTGTGCAGCTTAGGCGCAGGACGGTGGCGGTGGCGGCGGGCGGGAGCAGCGGCGGAGTGGCCCTGCAGGGGGATGCTTTCGAGGCGCTGCGCGGCTGCGAGGTGTATGTGGCCAGCACCGGGGAAAAGGTGGACATCACCAACCTGTGGGGCGACAGCGACCGGGTGATGCTGGCCTTTGGGCGCTCCATGGGGTAGGTTGACCTTGGCAAGAGCAGCTCGCAGGCATGAGCAGACGAGGCAGCGCACCCATCGTGCACTGAGCAGCAACTCTCCGCCGCTGCTGCATGCAGGTGACCGTTTTGCTGGTGAGTGCCGACCAGCTGGCGAGTCCTCAGCGCTGAAGGCCTGCCCGCATGGTCCCGCCAGCTCCTCCTGCCCACAGCGCCGCCTGCTGCCGCCTGCAGGGAGCTGGCAGTGCAGCTGAGGCGTGACTTGCTGCCAGCTCTCAGGGAGAAGGGAGTGAAGCTGTACCTGGTCAGCATAGGCACGCCCGAGCGCGGCCTGGAGTTTGTGGAGAAGACTGGTGCGTCACAAGCGACCTGGGCAGTTGCCCCGAGCATACTGTGGCCCAGGTTGCTTGTAGCCATGCTGCCGCAGCACCGCGTCGTTACAGGATGTCTGGCCGCTTGGGCCGCACAGGTTCCAGCAGCAGCGGCGGCAGCACGGACTAATGCAGTTCCTGACAACCCCCACTTTGCTCCTTGCTTGCTGCGCCCCACCACAGGCTTCCCTGCCGACCTCTTGTTGTGCGACCCAGACAACGTGACGTACACCTCGCTGGGGCTCAAGAAGGGGGTTCGGCAGACCTTCTTTTCGTACGAGGTGCGCGGGCAGCTGGCACAGGTTGACTTCCGTGGCGGCAGGCGCCCACCTTCCACAGGCAGGGGGCCTGCCTGCCTGCCCACCTGTCTACCTACACACCCTGCCCACCTGCCTGCAAGCTGACACAACTGGCCCACACTGCCTGCCTGCCTGCACAGACTCCGCTGGCCATGTGGGAGCGCATCAAGTCTGGCGCCACCAAGGACATACAGGAGGTGCTGTCGGTGTGGACCAAGACGCCGCTGTGGATCCCTCCCAAGCAAGACCAAGCCTTCCAGCAGGGCGGCGCCATCGTGCTCCAGGGCCGCCGCCTGCTGTTTGCCCACTATGACCAGGCCACCTCGGCCCATGTGGACCTGCAGCTGCTGCTGGCAGAGGCCGCCAGGGGCCTGTGAGGCCACCTGGACCCAGCTGCGCCGCTCATACTACAGGCAGTACAGGAGTGTGCGAGCAGCGGCGGAGCTGGCCAGGGGCGGGCGCCCATGACGCCGGCGCTGCAACGGCCCATCGTGCCCGAGCGCCGGTCGACCCCCGCCGCCCGACGCCGCTAGGCTCGCCAGCCGCTGCTGCCTCCTCCATTGAAATCAAGACATGTGTTTTCTGCTCCATGCCTGTGTGATTTAATAAGGAGGAGCAGGCAGTGTTGCGTGCCTGCCCAGCGGAGGTGCAGGGCCAGTGAGTGAGCGGGTGGCGGCGGCCCACTTGGGGTGTCTACACAAGTCCAAGGGGTCGACAAACGGTCCGCAAAGTCAGCCGCTGCATTCCATGCTTGTGACAGTTACCAGCACTCAAGCGTCCACTAGCGGATGGTACCGAATACGAATACATACGAAATTGGGCAGCAGGCGGACATGATACAACGAATCGGAGAGCATAGGGCGGTGATGGGGGAAGAACACAAACTCCGCCCAGAAACAGATCACGCATCCAGCCAAACAAGCCCCGCACAGGGCGGCAGCGCCTGGCTGCTCACTGCTCTCCGCCGGATGCCTCGTCGCTGCTGCTGAGCGGCCGCCCGCGCAGCTGCGACAGCTGCACGTAGTGCCTACGGCACACGGGCGCATACACGTCCGCGCCGCCCACCACCTCCTGCCGGCTGTCTGCCGTGATCCGCAGAGAGAAGACTGCAGCCACACGCCGCTTCTCCTGCATCGCATGTGTGTTCCAGGCCGGGCCAATTGAGATGCAGGTAAACATCAGCCAGCAGGAGCGGGGCACAGGTGGAGACGCCTCCCCCTGGCAGCAGGAACTCCTACAAGAGGCGGGCTGGCGATCTGTTTGTGCCTGTTTCTTTTTGAAGGAGGTCGCCGCGGCCTCACCTGGTCACAAAACTTGCAGTGCGCAGTCAGTTTGGTCACACTGTCAGCCATGGGAAGCAGGTCCAGCACCTGCAGGGGGGCAGCAGAGCAGCAGGGAAGCGGCAGGGCGGCAGCCAGCTGGATGCCAGGCAAAGAGTGATCCTGCAAACCAGCAGCTGCAGTAGCAGCCCAGCAGCAGCAGCAGCGCAACGAGCACCGGCAGCAGCAGCAGAGCGGCCAACAGCGGCAGCCGAAGGGCCGCACCTGCCCAAAGCGCTGGCGCTGGAAGTCGCCATCCAGCCCCGCCAGCAGCAGCCGCTTGTGCTCGTGGTCGGCGGCATGGGCACAGAACTCTTTTAGGTCTGCAGAGGGAGAGTGGCAGGCGGCTGGCTGACACTCTGGCGAGCAAGTCGATTGGCGGGCTGGAAGGGCAAGCCATATCCACAAAAAGTGGGAGCTGATTGCACCTACCCACCTGGGAAGAACTGCGCCTCGTCCACCGCAATGACTTGAAAAGCATCGTATGCCGCCCCTGCCGCTTCCTTGAACGCCGCCAGGCTGGGAGTCGCAAAGCAGGGCTGTGGCGCAGGAGGCAGGTAGGAGAGAGGGTCAGCACAAGGTGCTGGGGGTGGGCGGGCTCTTCACTGCTGCATATTTTCCAACGGATCTGAACCTCCCCAGACCACACACCCGCTTCAGTCCATTGTGCGTGACCACATGGGCGGCGCAGTAGCGGTCATCCTTGTTGCTCTTGACGACCGCCACGCTGAGCCCGGCTGCCTCGTAGCGAGCCACCCGCCGCAGGAGCTCAGTCGTCTTCCCCGCGAACATGGGCCCCACCACTATCTCTATCGCGCCATTATGCTGCTGCTCCCGCTGCTGCTGCTGCTGCTGCTGCCAGTCGGTGGCCGGCGCTCCCGTGTCGCTGCCGCCCAGCGCCATGGCGGGCTCTGCCGCGGCGCTGCTGGCGGCGCAGCGGCGCTGCGTGTGTGCTGGTGTCGCCAGTGCCTTGATGCCGCCGCCTGTCCAGCTGCTGCTGAGCGAGAGCATGCGGCGCAGGGGCAGCCAGGCTGCTGCCCGAAAGGGGGCGGCTGCTTTGCACATGCGCAGCGTGCTGCTGCCTCCAGCAGCGATGCAAAGCGACATGGCAAAGCCTATTGCGCCAGTTTGGGCGGAAGATGGCAAAGTCGCGGCAGACAACGGCTATTGGCTCTAAATCAACGAAACGTCGATCAAAGCAAGGCCTGGCAGCTTGGATATGTTATTTTGAGCCCCTCGATGTGCAGTCCTTGTTGGCACGCCACCCCTGCAAAGAGGCTGTGAACCAGGGCACTGTGCGTCACATTGGCAATGCTTGCGGACTTCATGCCGCCAATGGAGCAGCTTGCAGCGGCTCCCCGATATGTCTTGTCGCTCGTGGAGGAGGCAGCGGCGCTGCAGGTGAGGCAGGAAGGGGATCAACGTGAGGCATCGTAGCATTGCGGTTTGACGAGCGCTGCTCCCAGCTGCAGGCCTGTGCCGGCTGCTGCCTGCGGCTGGCGGCGGTTCGGGAGGTAGCCGCCTACAGCAGCAGCGACCTGCCTCACTCAGCGGCAGAGGTCCTGAGCGCATTGGGGGAGGGGCAGCAGCACTCCACAGACCAGAATGGACCTGAAGCTGGAGACGAGACCAGCACGCATCAGAGCTCGGCTGCGGCAGGTGATGAGGGCAGCAAGCGGCGGCGGCTAGACGGAACAGGCGACAATGCAGATTTGCAAAAGGTGGCCGCCGTCTGCCCCCTATGCCTCGGGGTGCTGCAAACCTGGCATCCTGCCTCCTGTGGGCTGCAAGGCGAGGCCGCTGTTGCCCCTTCGCTCAGCAGGCAGGCTTGCTGCACCTTCCAACTGGTGACTACTGTGTCCAGCCTGAACGATCTCAGCCATCATGCAGCACCAGCAGCAGGAGCAGCAGCAGCAGGAGCGGAGGGAGCGGCGTCGCCGCTGGCCGCATCCCAGGCAGAAGTGAGCGGCAACCACGGGGCGCCCGTCGCGGAGCAGAGGCGTGCGACGGTGCCCAGCCTGGCAGCAGCAGCCGCAGCCATAGCAGAGGAGTTTGAGTTTGAGAGTTTTGCGCTGGAGGTCAGTCTGCCCGCCTCGCTGGCCGTGCGGCAGCAGGCACTGAGCTGGCGGCTGCGCCAGCGGCAGCAGCAGGGACAGCGGGAGGACGTTGCGGCGGCGCTCGGAGCGGCAATGGAGTCTACAGTAGGTGAGCCGGCAGCCGGTTGTTGTGGCGTCTACTGAACTCGCTGTCAGAGGTCTCAGGAGCATTGATCATATACATGCCTCCTCCCGTGCAGACATTAAGGAGGCAGTGAGGCTGTTGTACAGCTGCCAGCTGGCTGCAGCGCTGGGCAGGCCTCACAACCCTCAAGCGGAGCTGCGTATCGCGCTAACCGTGACGCACCCCAACGCAGCGGCAGAGTGCGACTGGCTGGCTCCCAGCAGTGGTAAGCAGCGGCGTGGCCGGCACGGCCACGGCCGGCAGCTGCAGCAGCAGCAGCAGCAGCAGCCAGAGCTGCCGGCGGCGACCGAGGCGGTGGCGCAGCGGCTGGGGGCCATGCCAGAGGCAGCGTTCCTGGCCAGCTGCCCTGCCTCCGCAGCGCAGCTGGCGCCGCCCCTGTCGCCGGCCACGGTGCTGCTGCAGGCGCGGCGAAGGCCGCTGCACGTGGGCGGCAGGTACCTCAAGCTGCGCCGAGGCATCCCACAGTCTCCGTGGTTCATCGATGGCCAGCGCAAGGGCGAGGGCTCGGTTCAGGTGAGCCCGGCGGGGCAGCATAGCACAGAGCAGTAATGTGTGGCCACAGAAGCTCTGGTTTGCTGAGGTCGGTCTGGCTGGCGCTGACAAGTGCAGCCCACCTGCCTGCTGGCTGGCTGCAGGAGGCGATTGAGCGGGCAGTGCTGCCCGCCTTCCGCGCAGACTCGTACAAAATGGTGTCGGCAGGTGGGCCAGCACAGCTCGCGATCTCCCGCCATGCCCTGCCCCACCCTTGGCATTCTCTCACATTGCAGCCGGGCATCGTGCATGTTCCACGAGTTCTGAGACTGTTTCGGGACCCTGGAAGGTGACAGAATGGCATCCCCACCACCGCTGCTGGCTTTGCCGCAGGGCGGGAGGACATCGATGTGCGGATGCTGGGCAGCGGCCGGCCTTTCATCCTGGAGATCCAAAATGCCAGGCGCGCGGTGCCAGCGCCCGACCAGCTGCAGCGCATGGAGGCTGCGGTGCTGGAGGTAGGCAGCTGCCTGGCCCTGTTGCGTGCCCGGGGTTGGAAGGCACAGGCCTTTCTGCCAGAGCAGGCAGTGTGCATCAGTGAGCCGACAGCTGCCTGCAGTGAGCCGACCACTGCCTGCAGTGAGCCGACAGCTGCCTGCTGCCCATCTGCCTGCCATGTTGCTCCCGCAGGCCACCGCTGGCGGCGTAGCGGCGCGGGGGCTGCACTGCGCGTCTGCCAGCCAGCTGGCGGCGCTCAAGGAGGGTGAGCAGGACAAGCAAAAGTCGTACATGGCGGTGTGCTGGCTGCCGCGGCCGCTGACGGAGGCTGACGCGGCACTGCTGGAAAGCACGCGGGAGCTGGAGATTTTGCAGCAAACGCCCGTGCGGGTGCTGCACCGGCGCGCCAACCTGGAGAGGCCGCGGACCGTGCATGAGATGCACGCTATGCGGCTGGCTGGGCAGCCGGCGGGCTATTTTGCGTTGCGGCTGCGCGCGCAGGCGGGAACCTACATCAAAGAGTTTGTGCACGGTGAGCGTGCTGTGTCTTTGCAAGCTGGCGCATCTTCACATTCATGCATCTCGTGCACCCCGTGCCGTGCCGAACTGCCGTCCATCTTCGCCCGCCTGCCTGCAGGCGACCTGTCCCGCTCGCGGCCCAGCCTGGGCGATCTGCTGGGCTGCAAGGCGCAGATACTGACTCTGGATGTGCTGAAGATTCACATGGAGTTTGGGTGCCCGCAGCAGCAGGAGCAGTAGGAATCCGCCTCGACAGCGAGACCGCCGCCGCAGGCAGGGGTCCAGCATTGCTAGCATGGGTATTTGCGCATTGCCCTTCATGTTTCCTGTACCTAGCTAGCACGTCAGAAAGCCTCCAGTGCGGTCAGAACGTCCTGGGGCCCAGGACTCCTGGCTTGCGGGACAGCCAGGCTCGAGACCCAGACGGCACTGTCGCCTCCTCTGCCCTTGGGTTGTGTGTCGACACGGTCCATGGAATTCGAGGGGTGTGGCCAGCGAGCCGCGCCATGAGAGTGCCGCTCGCTGCGGCGCTGCTGCCGCTGCTCCTGCTCCTGCTCCCGTCCCCAGCGACATGCCAGAGCAGCCTAGGAATAGGTGAGACGGTTCCCTCGACCAAACATGGTGGTCCACACTGCCGCCGCCAATACCGCCACCGCTCTGCCTGCCATCCAACTGCAGACGGGACAGAGAATGAATTCCTGGCCCGCGAAGGTCTGCTGGCACAACGTGATTCTATTTCAAACTGGGCAGATTTTGCGGCGGCCACCAACCTCACGGGCTGGGACGAGGCCACCCCCGTCTGCAGCTGGGCGGGCGTGTTCTGTGGCACAAACGCCACCACTGCCAGCGGCTTCTCAGTGTGAGCAAGGAGTCGGTGTCGCAAGTTCCTTTGCGGATATGCAGATTGTAAACACACAAAGCAAAATGCATGGCCCCATGCCACAGCCTTGGGATGCAGCGTGCCTGACTGGCTGCGCTGCTGCGTGCTGCACCTGCAGGTCGTTGGCTTGCGACATTGAGGGCGAAACCAAGTACGGCAGATGTGCGCCGACCCCTGCCACCGGCACCTTGGCTGCCCGGCTCGGGGAGATACCGTAAGCGAGCAGCCCGGTAGCAGTGCCCATCCTCAGGCCCCAGCCTCCACCTTTTCGCCCACTGCTTGTGTGCTGCCTCCTCAGTGGCGGCACCTTGCCCTTGCTCTTCTGCGCAGGTCGCTGATCGACTTTGACATCAGCGGGCAGCGCCTCAGAGGTGGGCCCATGGGCCCAACGCTGGTCGGCGCGAGCGGCTCAGGGCGGCGTCATGTCCTGCTGTGCGCTGCATGTGCTGTACCAGCACCACACATGCTCCAGCGCTGCGCTGAACCGGGCAACCCCTGTTTGCCCTCCATCGTGGTGCAGGCACGCTGCCAGTCGCCTGGGGGGAGAATGGCACCTTCCCTTCGCTGAAGATCCTGTGAGTCTGTTTCAGCCGCACCACACCCTGCCTCGCTGCCGTCTGCTGCTAAGCTTTGCGCCTCCTGGCCTCGCCAACCAAGTGCTTTCTGCCGCTTCCTTTTGGGTCCAGGGATGTGTCGAGGAACGATCTGAGTGGTAGGGGGCAACAGCGGGCGTGCCTGCCCGTGTCGCGGCCGTGCGAGCAGCGTGCATGGATACACCTGTTGTGGCCTGTTTTTGCGCTGTCCTGCAGGCACGCTGCCAGAGGCGTGGGCTGGCACCTTTCCACAGCTGGGCATAGTGAATGCCAGCCACAACGCCTTCACAGGTACGGCCGTTGCCGCCTTGCGTAGCAACTGCCGCAGCGCATGCAACCCCAGCTGTGTGCCTGCGAGCTCTGGCCTGCATCATGGGCTCGCCCCACCGCCCTCGGTGCCTGAACTGACTTTTATCGGCAACCTGCGGTCTGCATGTGAGGCTCTTCCTCATGGTGTGGCCCCCGCCCCCACTTGAGGTGCAGGCGCACTGCCTGAGCTCTGGGGTGTGCCCGGCGCGTTCCCGCGGCTGGGCTCCATGTGAGTACTGCCATGCCGTGCACTAGTTAACCGACAGACAACCTTTTTACTCGCCACGTGCGTCGCAGTCCCAGTGTGGCTGGCCGCTTGCTGACATGCCGCCGTTCTGGCACTGCTTGCATTCACGCAGTGATGTGGGATACAACCAGCTCTCAGGTAAGCGTGTGCGTAAACCCAAACTCCTGTGCATGTTTGGCTGGCACAGCTAAAGCTGGCATCAGGGCTCAGCATGCGGCACGGCTGGCTGCAGGCAGTGTGCCGCCCAGCTGGACGGGTGTGGTGGGGGGGTTTCAGGGCGTATACTTGATCGACATGAGCGACAACCGACTGACCGGTGGGTGTGTGCGAAGCTTGCATGCCTGTTCCACCAGCAAGTCTGCATATGTTTGTGTGTGTGTGTGTGTCGCACTGTTCCTGCCACACTTTGATGTGCTTGGCCCTGGCAGTGACAGCAGTTGTAGAGCTGAGGTTGCCTTGCTCTGTGCACCGCTGAGCAGCGCATGCGCGCATGTGCATGGCTGGAAATTTACCATGCAGGAACTTTACCCGACTTGTTCAAGCTGCCCGGGCTTAGCCTTCTGTGAGTGGTCTCGCTTGCTTTACAGAGCACTGCTGTGGATTGCTTGAGTGCACTGGTGGAAGGGGGGAGCCAGCCTTGTGTCTCACTTGAGTGTTTTCACCTGACGCTGCTTGCTGCAGAGACATCAGTGGCAACCTGCTCACAGGTAGGCTTCAAAGGCAGCAGTACCGCTGTGGGAATGCTCAGCAACAGGCAGATGGCAGCATTCCATGCCTGCGTCCAGCAGACGCCACTGCATTATCCTTGCCGCCGCAGTTCTGCCACCCTGGCCTGAGTTGCTGGTTCCAGCTGCAATGTTTGGGCGCTGCTGTGGGGCGCGTGCTGCTGCAGGCCGCCTGCCAGAATATGTGAAGTCCAAGGCTGGCGATGAGCATGGCGACCCGCTGCCATTGCTGCAAGTCATGTGAGTCACCTTGCCGTGCTGCCGGTGCCGGTGCTGCTTTGGGTCCAAATCGCCAGGCAGCTGGAAACCTCATGCTGCATGTTGATGCAGGCATTTGCAGAACAACTCGATCACCGGAACGGTTCCGCAGTCCTGGGGCTTGCCGGAAGTGTTGTCCCAGCTGAGGGAGTTAGATCTCGGCAGCAACAACCTGACAGGTGCCCAGCTCTGCCTTCTCAGATGGCGGCGTGCTGCTGCCGCGACTTAGCACTGCTGCCTGGCGTGCTGCTGGGCACATCTGCTCCCTGAAAACCCTACTTTCCTGTTCATCACTCGAAGCAGGCCCTCTCCCACAACGATGGTCGTTTCAGTTTCTAAACAACTTGTGAGTGCAGTCGTTGTGGGCTGGCCCATGGTGCACCCAGCCCGCCAAGTGGCTGCTGCCTGCTGCCCGCCACGTGCACCCTCATGCCCCCTTATTTACAGTCCATGTGCCTTCTGCTTGCAGGTCTTTTGCATACAACCAGCTGACAGGTATGGTCAGGCCCCGAGCTGCAGCTTCAGGCTCCTAGGAGCATTCTGCATCTATTGGTAGCAATACCGCACCCCGTGCCAACCTCCTGCCAACCTGGTGTCTGCCGCCCTGTTCTCAATCTACTGCCGCAGGGACCATTCCCGCTTCATGGGGTTTCCGCACCTCCTTTCCTGATATTCAATCCTTGTGAGTGGCATGGTGTCGCAGTTGCAACTGATTTTGGCCTTCTCCAATTCGCCTCCTGCGCGCCGCTGCAGGGACGTGACTGGCAACTTGCTGTGCGGCACTGTGCCAGCAGGACTTCCCCGTCCTGTGAGCCAGCGTTGGCGCCGCTCTCACTCCTTAGTGCTGCCCCAGGCGTTCATGCGGCGCTTGTGCTGCTTCTCATCAGCGCTGCCAAATGAAGCCAGCACGCTCAGCTGTGACTGAAACCCTGTCGCTGCATTGCAGGTTTGCGCCGATGGTACCGACAACTGCGTCACAGGGAGGGTGTGTGCGCCGGCACCTCCTCCGTTCCCTGTCCCTGCTCCGGCCCCACGTGCGAAATGCTGGGGCTCGGTCTGCGTGACTGGCACAGAGTTCTGCCTGCATGCTGCTGCCGGATTGGATGGGTGCCTGGGGCGGTGGCAGAAGGCTGTGCTCCTGCTCCTGCCCACACTTCATGCTGCGCTGGTCGTGCTTGGGCACCTGCAGCCTTGGCGCCCATCCTACCTGCGCCGGCACCGCCATCCCCACCACCCCCATCCAACGAAGAAGCAGCTGCATCATCTGCAAATATCGGTGCCATTGTGGGCGGCGTGGCTGGAGGCTTGGGTGAGCTGGTCGCTCTGGCCCTTCTTAGAGATGCTTGCGACTGCAGCAGACCAGCACCCCAACTGCATTCGCGCTGCTGTGGCCCTTGCCGCAGTGGTGGTGGTCATCCTGGCCTTCCTGGCCCTCAGGCCGGTCAAGGGATGGTTGCGCCGCAAGCCGCCAGCTGAAGGCCTGGCAGGGGGTGGGAGCAGCAAGGTTTCTTCAAAGTCGGGTGTACCAGGCGCCACCTGGTCAGAGGACTCCACAACTGCCCTGGCCGCCTTCTCTGGTTCTTTGAAGTGAGGCCTGCTGCCTGCCAGCCCTGGCGAACCCAATGCAATCTTTCTGGCACGTGTGCAACCACTGCAGCTGTCTGCAGAAAACAGAGGCATGCTCGTTCATAGAATGCTGCCCAAATTGCTGCTGATCCTCCCCGGAATGCTGCCCCTGCCTGCAGCTCTGTCTCTCTGGAAAGCGACCCTGTGTTCTTGTACATCCAGAGCCATCTGGCTTCTATTCGCCTGCTCTCCATGGCACATCACCCCAGCCTGGCCAGGCAAGGCTCCGCGCCAGCTGCAGCGGATGTCCACCCCAGCACCACCAGCGGCAGCAACTCGCTGGCGCCAGATGTGCAGCAGTGGGAGGTGCAGTGGGAGGACATCCGTGTCGTGCGGCCCATCGGCAGAGGATCCTTTGGCAGGGCAAGCGTTGCTGCTGCTAGTCATGCTGGTGGCTGCTTCTTGCTGCTACTGCTGCTGCTCCTTGTTGCTGCAACTGCTGCCGTGTTGCACTGCCAGCACAGCTAGAGAGCTGGCGGTATCTCCTTGCTGCAGGTGTACCTGGCCAGCTGGAGGCAAACACCTGTCGCGGTCAAAGTGCTAACGAATGCAGGCAAGCCGGGCTGCTGCTGAAATGTTTTAGTGACCCAGCGCTCGCCCTGCTGACTTCTATGTGCGTGGTGCAGATGACATGAAGGAAGAAAACTTCATCCTGCCAGAGTCGGTGTTGAAAGAGCTGCAGGAGGTGGGCCGCTAAATGTGGGCTGCTGGAAGGATAGAAAGCCAGCCAGCCCTCCCCGCTGATAGCGACTCCCCTGCATATCTGGCGCAGGAGGCGTCGGTGATGACGCGCATGAGGCATCCCAATGTGGTTTCTTTCATGGGACTCTCTCTCATTCCACCGCTCATTGTGACAGGTGGATCCCCTGTGGCAAAACTGCGGTGCTGTTGCGCGTCCACCACCTCTGGGCCTTCCGCTGCCTGCGTCCCATCTGCAGACCGCGTGGAGCTCAATAACTTGCGTCACACTGCCCCTCCTGGCCCAATGCAGAGTTTTGCGACAAGGGCTCTCTGTACGACGTGCTGCGGCGTGCCTCACGGCATGCAGACAAGGCGGCTGAGCTGACGTGGCAGCTGCGCATCCAAATGGTGCGCCAGCCCCGCCTACACACTGCTGGGCAATTGCGCAGTGCTGATCTCAGGCGTTTGCTGCCGCTGCAGGCGCTTGATGCGGCTCGTGGCCTGCTCTACCTGCACCGCCGCTCACCACCCATCATCCACCGAGACGTGAAGAGCCCCAACATTCTGGTGCGCCTGCCGTCCTGCTTGCCTGCTCAACGCAGTTATCCATCGTTGTGTGTGTGGAGCTTTCGTTCTGCTCTTCACTTTTACCTGCTCGGCATGCAGGTGGACCAGCACTGGCGGGCCAAAATAGCAGACTTTAACCTCAGGTAAGGGCTTCAACCAACTAATCGTTGCCTGCCGGCTATTCTTACTGTGGTCAGTTTTGGGGACCTGCTCGGCTGCTCCAGAAGCCTGCCCACCCAGCGCGCCTTGTTTGCAGCAAGATCCTGGGCGCGGCGGGCGACACCGAGGGCCCCACAAACCCCATCTGGCTGGCGCCAGAGATAGCGCTGAATGATGCGGAGGCGACGGCTGCGTCAGATGTCTACTCATTTGGCATGGTGCTGTACGAGCTGCTGACCTGGAAGCTGCCCTGGGAGGGCTACAACGCGTTCCAGGTGCGGCCAGGCCTGAGGCATCAGGGATGCAGTGAGCCAGGGCTATCACTGTTATTCAGTAATCTTCCGTAATGCTGGCCTGCATTTGCCAGCAGATCATGTACTCTCTCATGCAAGGGCAGCGGCCAGAGGTGCCTCCCCGCCTTGCCATGCCGGGGCCCGACACGCTTGGTTTCTCTGGCCTGGATGCCCTCTGCCACCTGATGAGGTGGGAGGCCTGCACTGCATGGATTGACCTCTGCTCGACGGCACTGGCATCTTGCCCGCGGCTGTTGTGTGTTGCGGCCTGCCTGCATTTGCCCGCAGCCCAGCCTGGCTCAAGGTGCTGTTGTGCAGGGAGTGCTGGGCCGAGGAGCCTGGCAACCGACCCACATTTGATGACATTGTGCCGCGCCTCAACGACATGCTGAAACGCATGAATCATGTCAGCAGCGGCGCATCCCAGGACAAGCAGCGCAGCGGCAGCCAGAGGATGGATGAGGGGGAGGAGAGCGGGTCGCCAATCAAGCGCTGGGGCACGGCGCCCGTTTTCTGACCGCCCACAGATTCAACTGCTCTTTCTCCTGCTTTCATGATCGTGCATTCATTTCCAATACATTTTTATCTTTCCCTTGTCCCCATTTGAGAGCTGTGAGCAAGCGCCGTCTCCTGCTGCTGCGCGCCCGCGGCTTCCAAAGCGGCCAGAGGGCGCATGCTCAACTGATGTCAATATCTGGATGGCGATTGCAAAATAAGGCAATGCGGCTGCTTCCCTTCCCAGTCATTCCCCTACTGTCTGGCGGTACACGTGTGGTACGTCTGAGTGAAACCACGGCGGCCTGGGGCCCTGATCGCGCGTTGTGGGGCTGCCGCTTCAAGCGGTGTAGGCTTGGTGGGCGGGGCAGCCCAAGATGGGCGTCCCCAGGTCCGCGGTGCTCCTGCCGCTGCTGCTCCTCCTCCTGCTGATGCCAACTGAGTGCCAGGATGACCAACAGACAGGTGAGCGCCGTCTGCGCATGGCCGGTTGAGGCGGTCTGGACTGCCTGCCGTCACCGGTTGTTTTGCCGCGGCCGCCCCGCCTGAAGCTGACCTGGCCCGCCCAACCCTGGCCCGCAGAGGAGTTGGAAGACGAGTCGCTGGCCCGCTTGGGCCTGTTGAAACAGCGGGACGCGATAGACAACTGGGCAGATTTTGCGGCCGCCACAAACATCCGCGGGTGGGACCAGGCCACTCCCATCTGCAGCTGGACGGGCGTGTTCTGCATCAGCACGTCCACAGTTGATGGCTTCTCAGTGTGCGCAGGCCTTGCGCACGTCATGCAGCCCTTGCTGGCCTGCGCGTCTGGGATGCAGCCCTGGACTCGCCCCTCCGGTAGACAGCAGCATCTCGTGGGCAGCGGGCAGCAGCATGCATGCCGATATGATGCTCCCGCCGACTGGCATGTGCAGATCGCTGGCTTGCGACAAGGAGATGTCGGGAGCCAGCCTGTGCGCTCCCACGCCGGCCACCGGCACCCTTGTGCCATTACTAGCCACCACACCGTGCGTATTGGCGGCCTGCTGCTGCTGCCGCCATGCGACACGCGGGCAGCCCATTGACCTGCATTGGCAAATGCGGCAATGACACTGCCTCTTGAAAGCCTCCCTGTGCGCACTACCCACCTACCTTTGCTGCAGATCCTTGACGTCCCTTGACTTCAGCGGGCAGAATTTTTTCGGTGCGCTGCGTGCTGCTGTGGCAGGGCAAAGGCGGCGTGCTTGCTCGGTGGGAGTCATGCGCCGCCAACTGGTTGCTTGGCCTGATCCTTATGCAGGCACGCTGCCTGACAGCTGGGGGGCAAGCGGGACCTTCACAGAGCTCATCTCCTTGTAAGCTTGGGCAGGCTCTGCTCCAAAATCACTACTCTCTGTTTGCGTTTACATGGATCGGGCCTTATGTTGCTTCTGAGCCATTCTCTTCCTGGCCTGGCCGGCTCTGTGTCTGTGTGCAGGAATTTGTCCAGGAACCAGCTGGCTGGTGGGAACCAGCACCAGCGGCCTGCCCTTGTCCGTGTCATGTTTGGTTGCTCGCATGTGGCATATACGGCTCTGCCGGGCAGCGGCCATCTGTCAGCTGGCCCGCTCGCCCATGCCGCAACACTTGCTCTGCCCTGTTGCGTGCAGGCGCCCTGCCAGACGAATGGAGCAATGTCGAAGCATTTCCTCAGCTGAATCTCATGAACATGAGCCAGAACAACATTTCGGGTGAGGACGCTGCTGTGGGCCTGCTGCCTTCACTGCTCCTCCTGGCCTGCTTGTCTACGTTAGTTTGTACTCTGCTTCCTGTCCACTTACATTCCATGCGCGGGCCTACATGCTGATCTTGTGCGTTGCATGGCATGTTTCAGGGTTCCTTCCTGACAGCTGGGGAGATCCTGAGGCCCTGCCCTGGATGAAAACAATGTGAGTGCTGCCTGTGGCTACACTTAGTACTCAGGCCCTGGGTTGTGAGATGGTCCGCCGCTATGGGGCATGTGTGCTGCACAGCTCCCAAGTTGGCATGGCTGCTGACGCACATCGCATTGCCAATGCTCCGACGATACTGCTGCTGCAGAGATCTGACTGGCAACCAGCTGTCTGGTGAGGCATGACAGGGGCAATGTGTTCTGTGGCTGACACCGCGCTTCACTGGGGCTGCAACACCAATAGGGGCATTGAGTGAATCGCCCTGAGCACCTGCGCTGGGCTACAGGAACGTTGCGGGCATCCTGGACAGGCACGACAGGCGGGTTTCAAAACATCAGCAACATGCATCTAGGAGGCAACCTTCTGACAGGTAAGGGACAGGGCATTATTTGCACCACTTTTACCAAACCAATGACATGTCAGTCGGTGCCAAGTTCCGTGGTGGCTTCTGTGCTTTGTTCGCACTGGCTGCTGGTGCCCGTGCCGCCTACGGATTGCTTCGCTGCTTTTCGACGCAGGCACTATGCCAGGCCTTTGGATGCTGCCTGACATTACTGAACTGTAAGTCACCTCGTCCCTTTCACATGCCGCTATGTGTATGTTCATGTGAAGCAGGAAGCTGGTGTCGCTATGTGTTTTGGGAAAGCATGTGGGCTGCGGCAGACCTGCTTGCACACAGTTTCAATGAACTCTGCACCTCTGCGCTGGTGCAGGTTCCTCAACGACAACTTGATGACAGGTGGGGCTGGTTGCAGCTGTGGCAGCGCCCCGGATTCTGCCAGCTGAGCATCACCCTGCAGCAGCTTCACCTTCAATCCCTGTTTCTGTGCAGGCTCTCTTCCAACGGGCACCACTACCATACCCGATGGCAAACTGGAGGGGTATGATCCAGCTGGGGCCTCTATACGGGTCATGTAAGTGAGGGAGTGGGAGGGGCGCCGCGGTGCGCGGCGCACATGCAGGCCCTGCTGAGGCACGTGCAGTTGGCCATGAGCCCCCGCCCTGCGTTCCTGCCGGCGCTGTTGCAGAAATTTGAGCAACAACAAGTTCTCAGGTGAGGATTGCTTGGTCGCTGCCATAAACAATAATTAAACAAAAAACAATCCAGCCCCCACCATCCTGGCTTCACTCTCGGGGTGGCTGCCATGCACTGTCAGCACACAGGCACCTGCTGCGACCCATGCACCTCCACTGCCCCTTATGGAAGCTTCCTCATGCCCATGCATGATCAATGCAGGAGAGTTGCCTCGCGAGTGGGGCTTCCCACAGGTGTTCTCCACGTTGTTCGTAATGGACTTGTCCGGCAACAATTTGACGGGTGGGTGCTTGCGTGCATGTGGGGCTGGCAGGGGACTGGGGCATAGGCGCTGTGCTCATCCTTTTTCTCGCTTGGACTGCAGGCAATCTCCCAGCGGAGTGGGCTTTCCAGGCCCTTCGTGACTTGTGAGTAGTGTGGGGTCTCATGCTCATGCTCAAGTTGAGTTGCTGCACTGCTGCCAGCTGCTGCCAGGGCTTGTGTTTGTGAATTTCCTTGGTGAGACTGTTGTGTTGATGCCCTGTGGTCGTTCCCATGGTGCACACGCAGATCGCTTGCTTACAATGAGCTTTCAGGTGTGGAGCGGGCCAGTGCTGAGCATCACAGGCCCCTTGTTCATGCGCCTGCTACATTTAGAAGCTTACCAAATGGAGCAGTCTAACAAGCTGGCAGCCAGGAGCCTGACCCCACCAACCCATGTTCTTCTGCAGGAGCCATTCCAACTTCGTGGGGCTACCGCACTTCCTTTCCAGAAATCAGAACCATGTGGGTGCGATGTTGCGCCATGCCAGGCCTCCTCGCAGCTCCCGTGCATGCAGCGGCAGCCTAATGGCTCGCTCAACCGCACCTGGCCGCTGCCGCCCCGCTGCAGTGACCTGAGCGGCAACGCGCTGTGTGGGCAGGTGCCAGCAGGGCTCCCCTCCCCGGTGAGTCGGCACATGTTCGTTTCCTCCTGCTGCTGCAAGCGCTCCCACTGAAGTTGTGTATTACCCATCACCTGGCTTGCCTGGGCTGCTGCCTGCAGCTCTGCGATGATGGCACCGACAACTGCATCACATCGAATGTGTGCGCGCCGCCACCTCCCTCTGCCCCGCCGCCCCCCACCCCACGTGCGAACCGCTGCAGCTCTCTGCTTGCCAGCCAGTGTGCCACCACGGCTGGTCCCATGCTGCTACTACTTGCCGGCAGGCCTGCCACATCGTACGATGCAGCCTTGACCAGTTCCAGAGCCGTGTTGTGCCACAGTTGCCGTGCTGATACCTGGGAAGCTCGTCTGCCTGCAGCCCCATGCGACCTTTGCTCAGGAGCACGTCCGCCCCCTCCTTCCTCGTCCTCGGCATCATCTGTGAACGTCGGCGCCATTGTGGGCGGCGTGGTTGGAGGCTCGGGTAAGTTGGTCGATCTGGCCCTTCTCGGCAATGCTTGCGACTGCAGGGGACCAGCACGTCAGCTACCCGTGCTGCTGCTGCCCTGGCTGCAGTGGTAATTGGCATCCTGGCCTTCCTGGCTCTCAGGCCGGGCAAGGCGTGGTTGCATCGCCGGCAGTCGCCAGCTGAAGGCCCGGCAGGCGGTGGCAGCGGCAAGCCTTCCTCATGCTCAGCTGCAGCAGGTGGTGGCGGCTGGAGGCCAGAGGACTCCAGCTCCGCCTTAGCAGCCTACTCTGGTTTGCTAGGGTGAGAGGACCTGCTGCTTGCCACGCCCGGGCGAAAAAAATGCGTTGGCTGCGCTGGCCTTCCAGGAAGGAGCGCCTTCCCACGATGCCCCTCCGCTGCCTCTGATTGCGGCTCATGAAATCCTTGTCTGCCCGCAGCAATGATGGATCTATCGAGAACGACCCATTGATTAGCTACATTGCGAGCAACCTGGCTGCCTTGCGGCGCGTTTCAGTCGTCCCGCTGGCAAGGCGCAGCTCGGCGCACTCCTTGGTAGAAACGCCTGCCAGCGGGGCCAGCGCCACCAGTGGCAGCAACACCCTGCCGCTCGAGGTGCAGCAGTGGGAGGTGCAGTGGGAGGACATACGTGTGATGCGGCTCGTCGGCAGAGGCGCCTTTGGCAGGGTAAGTGCTGCTGCTGTGGCTGCTGCTGCTGCTCTTGCAGCTTCTACCTGCTGCTGCCACGGCTGCTGTTCTCTGCTGCTGCTGCTGCTACTGCCGACCAGTCAAGGACATGTGATGTTGCTCACTGCAGGTGTACCTGGCCAGCTGGAGGCAAACGCCGGTTGCGGTCAAAGTGCTCACTCCTGCAGGCAAGCCCGACTGCTGTTGAAATGCTGCCCAGAGCCTGCACATGCCCTCTTACTGGCATCCAGGATGCAGCAGCTCGCCCGGTTCACCGCATGCCGCGCTGCGTGCGCTATGGTGCAGATAATATAAAGGAGGAAAACTTCATCCTGCCAGAGTCGGTGCTGAAAGAGCTGCAAGAGGTGGGCCGCTGCACTTGTTTGGCGCTGCACGGCACGCTATCCTGCATTGGCCATGGACCCATGCCACGCTGCTTGTGCCCTCCCCGCTTAGCCTGCTCCCTTCCGCATGCGCAGGAGGCGTCGGTGATGACGCGCATGAGGCATCCTAATGTGGTTTCTTTCATGGGACTCTCTCTCATGCCACCGCTCATTGTGACAGGTGGATCCCCTGAAGCAAAGCTGCTTGCATCTGGTGTGGTGCCCACCATCTCCTGGCCTCTGGCTCTCGCTCTCTGCACGTGCTATCTACAGGCCAGCAGCTTGACCCCCGTGCACCATGCGTATTCGTCCTTACCCGCTGCAGAGTTTTGTGAGAAAGGCTCTCTATATGATGTGCTGCGGCGAGCACGGCAGGCGGACAAGGCAGCTGAGCTGACGTGGCAGCTGCGCATCCAAATGGTGCGCCAGCCCGCCTGCACGCTGCTGGGCAACTGGGCACTGCTGATCGTAGGGGATTGCTGCCGCTGCAGGCGCTTGATGCGGCTCGCGGCCTGCTGTACCTGCACCGTCGCTCACCACCCATCATCCACCGAGACGTGAAGAGCCCCAACCTGCTGGTGCGCCTGCCCACATGCATGTCGTGTGTTGCCTGTAGCTCTCCCTGGCCTGTAGCTCTCCCTGCCCTTGCTGAGCCCCCCTTGTCCTCTCGTGAGCTCCTTTCTGCATCATACAGGTGGAGCAGCATTGGCGGGTCAAAGTAGCGGACTTCAACCTCAGGTGGGGACAGGGATGCAGGCATTCTGCTGTCGTAGGCATTTGCCCCCCGTTACATAGTACCCCAAGCTCTGCTCTTCTCTCTTCACGCTGGCTGTGCTGGAAACAACAGTCCCCCCCCTCCCCCCCCCGTGTACGTCCCTATGCAGCAAGATCCTGGGCGCGGCGGGCGACACCGAGGGCCCCAGCAACCCCATCTGGCTGGCGCCAGAGATAGCGCTGAATGATGCGGAGGCGACAGCGGCGTCAGATGTCTACTCGTTTGGGATGGTGCTGTACGAGCTGCTGACCTGGAAGCTGCCCTGGGAGGGCTACAACGCGTTCCAGGTGTGGTGCGAGGCTTTGTGGAGGGTGGAGCATTTGATGTAACTCCACCTGCGCCTTTTTCGGGCAGAAAGAGCTTCTGTGGAGTTAGCCCATCCCTGTGTGGAGCCTGCCGGCCTGCTCTACAGATCATGTTTGCGCTTGGCGCTGGGCAGCGGCCAGAGTTGCCTCCTCGCATCGCGCTGCCTGGGCCCGACTCGCTGAGCTTTGCTGGGCTGGATGCATACTGCGAGCTGATGAGGTGAGAGGGGTGCTGCGGATGGAAGGAATGGCCCACAGAGTTCCTGCTCTGCTGGCCAGTGCTGTTTGATGGCCGCTGCGCGCCCTCCCTGTTTTTGCTGACGCATGCACCTGCGGGCACTCTGCGGTGCAGGGACTGCTGGGCTGAGGAGCCTGGCGACCGGCCCACGTTTGATAACATTGTGCCACGCCTGGACAGCCTGGTGCATCGCGGGGACATACCCAGCAGCATGTCATCCCACGGCAAGCCACGCGGCGGCAGCCAGAAGATGGACGAGGCGGACGAGGAGTGTGGATCCCCCATCAAGCGCTGGGGCACGGCGCCCATCATGTGACTCAGCAGCAGCAGCGCAGCCATCTCATTACAACTCGTTTTCACTCGTTTGCAATCTGTTGTTGTTTTTTCCATCGAAATGCTTTCTGTTCTATCTTCTTTTGTCATGTACAGTGTACACTTGGCGGTCAACGTCGCGGCATTCAAGAAACCAGCCCTTTCAGCACCTGCGTTTGCCCAGTTACATGCCCCCCAGGCTGCCATTCGCCAGTGCCAATTGGACACACAACAAGTGGCGTCCCATAGGAGGATCAACAGGGCAAGCATGAAAATGAAAGCGGAAGACAGGCAGATAGCTCATGAGTGTGCGGTCGGCTAATGGCTGTACAGGCACAGTTCGAGCTCAAGCGTGTTCGTTTGGAATCTGGCAGGCATAAAGCAGTGCGGCAAGCTGTGCAAATTCAAATAGAGGAGGAATCCCAGAGAATAAGAGCATAGGGTGGGGGCAATGCAGAGGCTCACAAGGAGCAGTATACTTTCGGTAAGGCTCAGACGCCCGGTCACAGGGCTCTGGTCGGGCTTCAACACAGGCAGCGCCTTGCAGTGCTGATGCTGCGGCGCGCTTACTCCTGCATCGCCATGTCGGCGTCGTAGCCGTAGGTGGGCGCCTCCGCGGGGGTAACGGCCAGCAGCTTGCGCATGGGGGCGGGCGCAGCGCCCACCTCCTCCTCCCAGCCGTAGGGGGCTGCAAAGCGGCAGCGGCAGTCGTCTCAGTGAATGTAGCAGCGCAGAATGAGAGGGCATGGCGACCGTTGTGTTTGACGGTGGTGGGCACGTAATCAGCAGGGCTGCAGAGCAGCTGTGCACAGCAGAGAGGGCACAACACTGCTGCAACTCACCGGGGCCGGGGGCCATGTCCTCCTGCAGGCGACGGCGCATGCCACCATCCTGCGAGGCCATGCCGGCATCAAAGCCGTAGGTGGGCGCCTCTGCGGGGGCATCAGCCAGCAGCTTGCGCATGGGGGCGGGGGCAGCACCGACATCCTCCTCCTCCCAGCCATAGGGTGCTGCAAAAGGGTGCCAAGGTAAATCTCAGTGAGCGGGGAGCGCAGAACGAGCGGCATGGCAGCATAGCACGAGAGGTGGTGGCCGGGTGGCCACAGGGCAGGGCGCAGCTACGAGGCAGATTCCCTTCCAGTCGAGGGGCGGCTGTGTAATAGACTCACCGGGGCCGGGGGCCATGCTGTCCTCCTGCAGGCGACGGCGCACGCCGCCATCCTGCGACGCCAGGCCGGCGTTGTAGCCGTAGGTGGGCGCCTCAGCTGGGGGGTCAGCCAGCATCTTGCGGGCCTGTGCGCCGTTCATCGACAGCAGCAGGATGGCCGCCAGGGCCAGGCCCACGGTCTGGGAAGCCTGCATCCAAGAGGAAGATGGATCGAAATGGTCGGCGAGGCTGCACAGACGAGGCATCATGGTGGCAGCGGAGGAGGCTAAAAGCAGAGAGATGCAAAACTGCACACTGCCGGAGGGAGCCGGTAATCAGGGCGGCAGCAGGAGCGGCTCAGCCGCCCCTCGGTGGCAAGCTGCCTGGCATTCAAAACTGCTGCAAGTTCGAGCACACGCGTCAGCCGCTGCTTGGGCTGCGCCAAAAAGGGCGGGGGGAGCTAGGGCATACAGTGCGCATGGTCCTCCGCCGCTCCCACTCTCACGCTCCGTTTGCGCTCACCTTCATCATGAAAGAGCCTGGTATCACTTCCTCTGCAGCAATTCGGGCGTGCCTGGCTGTGAGAGGAGGCAGCGCAGGTGGGTTTGTGCTAGAAGCACCTTGCCCTGCATCGACCTCTCACCTATAGCAAGGCTCTTTGGATGGCTGCCGCTGCACGGAAAGGCTGCTCTGGAGACTGGAGATGGGTGACAGGGCTCCGGCGATGCTGAAATCCCGAGGGCGCACAATTCGGCGCCCCGACCACTTTCCCAAGCAGTCCCTGGGTACCGCCCCACGAGTCCTCGTTTCAAGCCGGTTCCGTCCTCGAGCCTCGCCTTTCAAGTTGTCTTGACGTTTTGTACCCACCGATCACCGGCACATGGGCCCTGCCGCCATCGGTAGGGCTTGCCCTACAGCAAGCGGCTTGCACCTGGCTCTACTGGCCCCGATTCGACGCGCTACCAGTCAACACAGGGCGAGGGCAGCCAAACTCCCATTGGGGCAGCAGCTTGTGGGTATGGGGCTTGCACCGACATGCCGTGGCGAGGCGGGAGCGACCAAACTCAGCCCAGTGGTGCTGATCGCTGTGTTGCACTCTGCAGAAGACAGAAAGCACCGCCCGACGGCCCAACGCTCCCACCTGCCGCCGCCGCCTGCTGCCGCCGTTGCGTTCTCGCCCCGCTGCCGCTCACGCTCAGTGAAAGCTGCGCCAGCTCGGGGCTATGGTCTTCTAAGGCCTGGTTTGCCTACAGCAGCTCACAGTGATGCCAGCATGGCTGCCAGGTCATCGATGCCCGGCTGGCCGCCCGCCGCCCTCAGCAGCGACCCCAGCAGGCTGTCGCCTGCCGAGCCTGCGGAGTTCAGCAGCATCTGCACATCGCTGTCGGTTCTGCCGCCGGCGGCTGCTGCCGGTGGAGGGAAGGAGCCCAGCAGCAGGGACAGTGTATCATCCAGCTGCTGTGGCTGCTGCTGTGGTGATGGCTGCTCCAGGGTGGCTGCCACCGCAAAGTCTGCTGCTGAGCCCGGTGCAGCATTCATCGGCCCCACACCGTTCCCTGCCGGTGCGCCAAACGGTCCCTCCACAGCAGCGCTGCTGTGTCCTGCCAGCCGAGCTCGCAGCCGCTCCTCCCACGTGCCGGGTTGGCAAAGCTGGCCTGCTGGCTGCTGGCTGGGCGCAGCGTGCGGCGGTGGGGCCGGCAGCTGCTGCCCCGCCTGCTGCTGCATTTGCCCCATCAGCAGCAAGGAATGAATGAGCTGATCGTTCTGGTCATTAGGCGCCGAGGCGGGCGACAGATGCTGGTCGGCAGCCTGCTGCGCGCCAAGGCCTTCCTGCCCCTGCTCCTGATGCTGGGTGTGAGGCCCAGCAGAGGGTCTCGCAGCATGCACGCAAGCTATCGCCTCCTGCACAAGGGATGTTGGGAAACGAGGTAATAAAAGGAGCCCGCCCGCATATAGCGGCCTGCACCAGTTGCAGGCAGAACGGGCACATACACTCACCAAGCATTGCTGCTGAAGCTGTGCCATGCCGCGTTTCATCTCCTGAAAGGGAAATCAGAGAATGCCGGCATGGGCAATGGCATCGCCAGCAGCGGCAGTGACAGGTGGGGCTGTAGGCCAGAAGCAGTGGGCGCCTCACCGCCCATGCCATCGATTGCTGCTGGAGCTGCTGCAGGATCTGTTGCTGCTGCGAGTGCATCTTTTCTGAGGCAGCTTGCAGCTGCTGCAGCTGATCCAGCAGGTCCAGAAGGTGGCCGGAGGGGTCACCAGCAGCAGCACCTGCTGACGCCAAGACTGGCACAAATGGCAGAGGTGGCATGTCAGCAGCGAGAGCGGCCAGCGTGCCTGCCTGCTGGGGCAGTGCACAAAGAGGTGCCGGGCTGGCCGCAGGCAGCATCAAAGTGCCACCGGCAGGTGCGCCTTCCTGCAACCAAGCAGCAGGGCAAGCCGAGGCAACGTTGAGCTCAACGATACTCTCGTTCCGATCGCCATACACAGGAGCCGGCAAGACAGCTGCACCGGAGGCAGCCCAGCCCACCTGCAACGCAGGGCCCTCTGCAGCTTCAGTGCCCTGCGCCCCGCTGGAGCCGCTGCTCGGCTGCGTGCCGCCTCCGCTGCCGCCGCCGCTGCCGGCGGTGGCAGTTCCGGCCGGCCTCGCCGTGCCGCTACGCTGCACCGCCACAGAGGCAGGATGGCAGCCGCCGACGTCTGCTCCTAGCACCTCAGCATGTGCACGGTGGCGCTGCGAGGGTGGCTGCATGCTAGGCTCAGGGCTCCTGCAGGCGCTAGCGGCTGGCCGGCGCCGTCCAGCAAACCGCCTCTTCTCCAACAGCGCGTGTGCTGCCCTGCAGCGTGCCGCGGCGCCAAGGGTGGTTGGCAGCAGGCACAGCACATGCCGCTAGCCTTGGTGCGGCAGCGGCAGCAGGGGACACTGAAGCCTGGCAGCACCGCTGACGCCGTCGCCCAGCCCACCTCAGTTGCGCCTCGGACGCGTCCCCGACCTCCTCGCCACGCTCCAGCAGCTCTGCGATGTGGGCGGTGCGGTACCGCTGCAAGTGGGACTTAACCTGGGCATACGTCACTCCCTCCATTGTGAGCGCATCCAGAATGGCTCGTGGAGTGGCGGCCATGATGCCGCCGCTCTGCTCCACCGCCTGCTGGAACCTGGCGGCAGGGAAGGGGCGGGGCACGTTCTGGGCACGGTGGCCAAGCAGCAGCACCGTGTGTGCTGGCGCAGCCGGGAAGCAACACCACAGGCGGCTTGCCCTCACCGCATTTGGGCAGCCTTGGTCCACCGCATCCTGTCGATCTTCTCATCCTCTGCATTTGGCACGTGCAATTTGCGCAATTTGCTGGTCAGGCACGCCGGTGGAAGCCACCGTAGGGACACCAACGGCGCGGCGGGGGTCACAAGCGTTTCTCCCACGGGCCCCCGCTTCGGGAGCGGGGCCTCTACCCGGCTCATGTGCAGGCAACAGACAGCATATCTGTAGCGTGCCTGCCTCGTCGCTACTGCCCCCTCCCCCTGCAGCGGAGGGCATGTTGTTTGAAGCTCCTCTCAGCGCCACCAACGCGGCAACCCCAGGGTGCTTGGCTCCTAAACTCTTGTCTAATGCAGGACGCAATAGAACCCCCATGCGCTGGCGTGCCATGGCGCAATGGCGTGGTTTCTTCTCTTCCTGCACCCTCCCTCAATCAGGCGAGGCCCTCCATGGTTGCGATCAGTGCCGGCCTGCCGAGCCGCTGCGACACCCAATGAGGCCTGCCATTGGGCGCCCACGCAGTTGCGTGGGCCCCTTTAGTGTCTCTTGAGGGCCTTGCGGGTGGGCGGGGTCGAGGCTGCCAATGGCCTTGCGGGGCACCCTGTGCAGTGGCCGCACCAGCAGGCGGGCAGCCGCGTTCGTTCTGATGTGCGCCACTCTGCCGGGCTTGGCCGCCGCCGCCGGGCTTTCCAAAGCGGAGGCTGATGTCGAGGCTGCTGAGAGTAAGGCTCTGCACCATGCATGCATGTGCATGGCTGCTGTGCTGCCCTGTGCTTCTGTTCCGCTTGTGGTACCGCCGGCTTCCACACCGTGCTCTTGCGGCCTGCGCCCGTGCGCCGTGCAGGGCTTGCCCTGCTCCGCTTCCGCAACTCCACCGTTGAGTGGGAGCAGCTGGTGCAGCAGGAAGGGCCCAGGGGCCTGCCAGGCTGGGACCAAGCCTCGCCGCAGCACCACTGTCACTGGGGCGGCGTCGCTTGCTGCCGCATCGAGCAACAGAGCGCTTTCCCCACGCTGCTGGACACGCGGCAGCAAGCCGTGTGTTCAATCAGGCTGGAACTCCTCGCATCGCCTGTGCCAGTGACAGCGGCGGCGACTGAAGCATCCAGAAGTGACAGTGGTGGCGGGAGTGGCGTCTCTTTGGAGCCGCTGCTGCAGCTGGAGTGGCTGGAGGAGCTGTGAGCTCGCTGCCGCCGTTGGAGAGAAGCCTTTTGTCGCAGCCAGCAGGTGCATGATGGGCGGCAGGACAGTCCTGCCAAATGCCCCCGTCCTTCCTGTTGCTCCTCTGCTGTTTGCAGCGACCTGCGGGGCATTTCCATTGACGCCAGCAGCCTGGAGGCTCTGGCCAACGGCGAGCAGCCAGCGCGGCAGCTGTGGCAGCTCACGCTGAGCCATGCTTTCCTAAATGACCCGCTGCCTCCCCGCTTGTTCATGGTGAGGCAGCGCATGGTGGCGTGCCTGGGGGCTGGAAGTCGCTGCACTGCAGTAGTGGCTAGGAGCACTAGCCGACACCTTGCCACCTCCGCTCTCTGCATTGCAGCACCCCTCAATCAAGCACCTCGACCTCTCTCACTCAGGACTGCTCGGCCCCCTGCCGCCCATAAGGTTGGCGGCAGCTGTCTCCTGCCTTGTACTCCGGCCCTCCTACAGTTTTGGTGGCGGCCTGCCCCCGCTTCTTTTGGCTGGCCTTCATTCTCAGCCGTGGTGCTATATGTAAGGCTTCCTAGGTCTTTGATCTGTCATCCAGGATGTGGTCGCTCCAGGAAATCAATTTAGCTGGCAACCAGGTAGGGTGTCGCTTCTAGTCCTGCCTCTGCTACCCACACCACGAGCGAGCTCACCAATTCGGCACTGGGCCACTGTTTGCAGGTCACCGGCACCATTCCTCTCTCCTGGCTGGTCCGCAATGCCACCAGAGATGCCTGGCCATTGGGGGACGGCACTCCTGCTCCTTTCGATGAGCCTCTGACCTTGTGAGCCACTCGCTTCTTACTTCAGTTGGTGCAGCAGAGCCATGCCGCCGTGGCAGCTTCCCACGACAATTGCTTCCTGGCCTAGTTGGCTGGCAGCACTGCATCAGTAATTGCTGGTGGTGGCAGCTTCCTTGCCCTGACGCATGTGTTGGCTGTTGCTCACAGGAACTTATCATCCACGGCACTCGTTGGCCCGCTGCCCGAGCTTCCGCCAGGCTCCATCTCTGTGCTGGAGGCTCTTGATGTCTCCAACACGCCGGTGCGGGGCTGCCTGCGAGCTCAATGGCTCAATGGCAGCTCAGGCCTGTGTGTACTGTGCACCGGCACGAGCAGCTGGCGTGCTGGCACTGCCAGATGGCTTGGCTCTCGGCAACACTGCTGAATGGCTCTCCACCAGCAGCCGCTGATTTGATCCCAATGCTGCGGGTGCTGGCGCTGCAGCTGAATGCGACCCTTCCTGCAAGCTGGGCTGACGCGTCACCTCACATCATCCTCCTTGACCTCTCCAACACAAGCGCCAGGTCTGTTGCTGCTGAAGATCGCCCTGGCTCTCGTGGCCCTTCTTGCTGCCACCTGAACGAGCTCCCCTCGCTGGTGTTGCGCAGGGGTGCCGTCCCGCATTCATGGTGGACCAGCATTGGCCTGCTGGGCACCAAGGATGACGGGCACGCTGCAGCCTCACTGGTGGTGCTTGCAGGCAACCAGCTGACAGGCACAGGTGCGAGTAACCCAATGCAGCTATGCAGGCTGGTTGGACGCAGGTCCAGGCTGCTGCCGCGCTCTGCCCCCACCGTTGGCTGCGGTATCGGCACCCCATGCATGCGCGCGCCTGCAGGCCCAGCGGCGCGCAGCCTTCAGACACTGCCGTCGCATTACTAACGCCTGAAGGTTTTGGCACCTTGCTGCAGTGCCCCTGAGCTGGTTGTTGTCGGCGTGCAGGGTGGCCAAGCCCGGGTGCGGTTCAGCTGCGGTGCATTGTGTTTGTGTTGCCTGCTGACCAGGCCCTGCCATGGCCGAAGCAGCGGGCCTCACAGCAAGCTGGGGTGCAGGCTGCTGAGCCTCCCAGGTTCACAGCCATGCTCCACATTGCTTTGGCTGCTGCCGCAGGGAATACTTTCCCGTTCAGGAGAAGGAGGCCGCCCGAATACAGCAGGCCATGGAGCAGCATACCACGCTGGTGCATCACGACCCATACACGCTCTATTCTGTGCTGAAATAGTGAGTCGATGGGGGGCGTTGTTTTATAGGCAGCCCAGACCCACGCGTGCCTGTTTGAGAGTGAGGCTGAAAGGGTGGCACAGCAGCGCAGCCTGCAGAACAAGGTGGCCCCAGCCACCACCACCTGGAACACATACACACAGTACGCCTGGGGTGCACAGTGAAGTCACACTCATGCCTCTGCTCATGTCGCCCCCTGCCGTGCCGTGCAGCCTACGGCACAGACAGATGATGTACAATCGCGTGCCATGCCAGCGTGAAGCCGATATGTGGCCCGGCAACGATGCACTGTGCATTGACAAGGACAAACCTGGTGGTTGGAGCCGCGCGGCAGATTTTGCCATCCACAATCTCCCTATTGGAGACGTGCTGCAGCACCGCTTCAGCGTGCCGAGCAGCGGGGCGAGCCGCGGCGGTAGGGCGGCGCCCTTGCTCCTGCTGGCCCTGGCGGTGGCACTGGCAGCATTGGGGAGCCTCGTGGCAGGACGCCTGGTGGGGCGGCGGCGCCTGTCTGTGCCCGGCTGGCTCAGGAAGGGCTATGTTGGCCTGCCGGTGCGCAGTTCCGAAGTAGGCAGCTCCATCACCTGCTCTTCTATCCAGCCCACGCAGCATCGTCAGCTGGAACTAGCAGTGAGGGCGGTGGAGCGTGCACAGACTGTGGGAGAGGCGGTCGACAGCAGCGAGGCCACCACCTTCAGCCACGCCAGCAGTGAAGACGAGCTGCTGATGCAGCAGCCGGCCGGGCCAGCCAGTCAGCAGATTCAGCAAGGGGTGATGCAGACAGAGGAGGAGGATTCGATGCCCCTTCTGGCGATGCTGCCGCTCAGCCAGCTGACGTTTCCAAAGCACAATGGCCAGCCGCTGGCCTTGGGAGGCACCGGTTCCACCAAGGTTGGTGGCGAGGCTTGCCGCTAACTGATGCCGATGCTGTTGACTAATGAACACAGGTGCTGCTTGAGTCCTTGTTGTCAGGAGCTCTCTCATGTCGCTAGCTGCAACTGACCTGTGCATGCTTGCCCATGTGCGCTGCTGCGCAGGTGATGCTTGGCAGGCTGGAGGGCGTGGGCGAGGTGGCCGTCAAGGCCTTGCACGTCAGGTGCGCGCTGCAGGCTGGCTGTCCGGCGGGCTGCTCTTCATGCTGATGTGCCTGTTACACAAGGTTGCTCTTCTGCTTGCAAGTTTATGCATTTGCCGCCACAAACAGGGCTGCACGCTGGTGTCCGCCTGCCACCTGCCTCCTGTCCGCCTGCCTGCAGCCCGCAGCAGCTGTCGGCAGCACGTCGTGAAGTGGCGCTCCTTCGGCGGTGTGCCAACCGACATACGTGTGTGGTGACGGTGCACGGGCTGTGCTATGCGCACCCCTTCCTGCTTGTTGTCACAGAGCTGTGCAGCGGCGGCGACCTCCAATCCGTGCTGCGCCACCCAGAGGTGGGCTGGCCAGTCCTTGCCAGCCATGCATACCAGCAAACATACGGACCCTCAATTCTCACAGTCCACCTGCGCGCCTGCCTGCTTCCGTGCAGCTGCGGTGGTATGGTCGTGGCGGTCAGGTGGCGCTAGACGTCTGCCGAGGCATGGCCTTCATGCACTCCCAGGGCGTGGTGTGGGCTGGTGAGGGGCAGCTGGCTGGCACAGGGCATGTTTCACCCACTTTGTATGCTTGCCTGCTTGCTCCATCAGCGTGCCTGCTGCATCCATCTCTGGTGGCATGTGATGCATCCCTTGCATGCCTGCGCTGCGGCCGCAGACTGCAAGCCCGGGAACGTGCTGCTCACGGCAGACTGGCGAGCTAAAGTGACCGACCTGGGCACCTCGCGCCTGCTGCGAGGCACCAGCACCGCCCAGGTGGCGGCCACGCTGGCATACGCAGGTGCGCGGCGCCGCCTGGTACCGCTACTGCCGCTGCTGCTGGGGCCGCTGCTGCTGCCCCATCTACTATTGCCACGCCTGCTGATGCTGGCGGTGCCTGGAACGCCCAGCCCATCTGCTCAACCGCAAGCCTCGCCGTGGGATCGCTCTCTTGCAGCTCCTGAGCAGCTTCTCAACGGGCGTGTGAGCCTGGCATCTGATGCCTACTCGCTGGGGCTGGCCCTGTACGACATCTGCTGGTGAGGACCTGCTTGTGTGCCTATCACGTTTTGCGAATGGCGGCCTGCTCCTGCTGATGCTGCCATGGACGAGCCCGCTTCCCCATTGAGCCGCACATCTTCTCTTTGGCGGCTGCAGCGGCGAGCAAGCTCCGCTTCACGGGCACCAGCGGCGATCGCTGGTACCTGGCCAGGACTGTCCCGCAGCGGTGCTGCAAGCGATCCTGCGCTGCCTCTCCCAGCAGCCCGGCGAGCGCCCAACAGCAGCGCAGGTAGCGGAGACACTTCAGGCGAGCTTGACAGAGCAGGGGCCAGACAATGGGTGAGGCATCGGCCAAGTCTGCTGCCGCGCTGCAGCTGCCCTCAATTCAATTCTGTGTATTTTCTTACTTGACCCTGTACCATTCCACCAGTTTTGCCATTTCGTACATGATGCCATATTTGTCCGACCGTCCAACTTATGTCATTCAGTTTTTAATCTTCCTCATGCCTCTATTGGCAATCTTGCACGCCACACATCCTCAAGCCATGTCGCCTATGCGTGTGCGGGGTGTAAGCATGAAACGTGGCGAGCTGCTGTAGGCGCTGTCTTCCTCTGCAAGCCTGGCAGCGCGTGTCTTGACACCCATCCCTGCTGCCGCGCTGCCACTGATGTGCGCTGTGACGCCGCCCTGGTGCGGGCCCTGGGGCAATCCCGCGCCGCCGGCTGCTGCGGAGCGGTCCCGTTCCTGCCGCCGCTTCACCATGAAGCAAGCCGTGGTGGTGAGGAGCAGCGTGGCGACCACGCCGCCCGCCACACCGCCCGCTACCGCCACCACATTGATCGCGCTGCTGCTGGCGGCGGGGCTGGCCTCGGCACTGCCAGTGGCTGGTTCCCAGCTGGCGCTGGGAGTGGAGGCAGTGCTGACTGGCCCCCTGCTATCTCCTGCTCCTTGCGCTGCAGCAAAAAGTCCAGCAGGCACCGCCGGCACCATAGTTGGCTGCTGAGGCTGTGCCAGAGTGCTGGCGGCTGCTGCCGGTACCGAGGGCACCGGGCTTGGAGGGCTGCGTTGCCCAGTTGCCTGGGGAGCAGGCGGCGGATGGGTGGCTGCTGGGTCAGGCGGCTGTGTCAGCGGGCCAATTGTGCCGCTGGCAAGGCCAGCGCCGCCTGGCTGGCCGCAACCCAGCGCGGCTGGGGTGAGCTGGCCAGCGGGCACGGGGCGTTGCATCCAGGCCAGCAGCTGCCGCATGGTAACAAAGTAGGCGTGCGGCTTGCTCTGAACGTAATCTGCGATCCGAGAGGGCACAGTGGTGCAGGCCGACTCAAAAACGCGGAAGAGAGGCAGAGCGGCGCCAATTCCCACCAAGGCACACATGTCAAAGGCAAGCAGCAGGTCACACTGCCGCAAGCGCTGCGCACCGATGAACTGCAGCATGCCGTCCAGGTGGTCTTCGAACCAGGAGGTGTGAATGAAGATTGGGAGCGGTGCACGGTTGCCCTCATACGCAGCATCGAAGCTGGACTTCAGGATCTTGTACGCGCCGCGACTGTCCTTAGCCCAGTCCTGAGCAACCCACACTGCAGCAGGTGGCCGGCGGGATTGATGGTCCTTCCGAAGTGGAGGAGGCACTCTTGCTGTTGGGGAGCATCTCCACGTGCACCTCAGGGGCGCCAGCGGTGCCGCACGGGTGGGCTGCCTGCTCATGCAAACGCACCCGGGACCTGGAAGAGGCCTGGGTAGCGCTCCCGCTGGTTGCATTCCTGTGCCGGGGACCACCTGCACCAGCCAAGCAGCGGGCCGCGCCGTGCAACGTTGCTGTGGCATTTGCCGCATCACTGGCCCTGAAGCGGTGCAAGCACAGCCCGCTGCTGAGAACAGTTGCCGGTACTGCCACCGCCTCACCGCGAGCAGTCTTGTGGGATACCGCCGTCCATGCTGTATGGCCACACCCGGGCGGCCAGGCCACGGGCGATGGAGCCCTCTGCCTCCTCCAGCAGGCTGCTGTCATACAGGAAACCTCCCGCCCCATGCAGCACCTGCAGCAGATCAAGTGGGCAGCCGCGGCGTGGGCAGGAACAATAGCCAGTAAGTGAAGGCATCCTGCCTGCCTGCATGCGGTACCACACCCCAGTGGCATCTTGTACAGAGCAGCACACCTGGCGCAGGGTGGGGCGGCTTTGCAGGAAGGGTGCCCGAAAGCCAACGATGTCTCCATCGGGGATGCCGCATGTGGCGGCCAGCATGGCGCGGCCGCCAGCCACTTCCGCCACCACCTGTTCCCGACTGTACTCGTTCATCTGTAGACATGGGCACAGCAGGAGCAGATTAGTCATGTTGGATCAGGAGTTCGGGCGCATGGCGTTTGGACCAACGGATACTCAACTTCACTTACTCTCTGGTGAGTCAGCGTGTGGCTTGCCACCTCATAGCCATTGTTGTACAGCTGTTGCAGCAGCGAGCAGTCTGCAGGTGGGAGAGCAGGTGGGCAAGGGAAGAGGCCAACTCACTTTGTTACAACAATGCAAGTGGTTTGCTGGCGCTGCGGGCCGTGCCCGGCACCTGCCGCTGCCGCCGCTCTCACTTGTGGCGCGTGCAAGCGTGAACAGCGTTGCAACGGGCCGGCAGGCGGCCTGGCCATGTTCAAAGATGGACCTGAGTCCGCTGTGGGTTTCTTCGGTAATGGCATCGTCGTGAGAGAACAGAATGAACTGAGGTGTGTCAGCGCGGGCCAGGCCGCCGGGTGGGTCCAAGCTGGGGCACACACATCCCGTGGCGGCGGTGTTGGCTGGGCAGGTGCAGCGATACCAGCTTGGAAGGTAGCCTGCAGCTGCACACAATGGCAGCAACAGACACGGGAAAGGGATAAGGAGCCTGGCAACAGGCAGCAGCACGTGCGAGCGGCAGTGGTGGCGACCCCTCTGCCGGCATGCCAGATACATGCGCTAGCATGTGCCAGCCAGCAGCTTGCCTGCTGCTGCCGAGACGCCGATAAGTACTGCTAGGAGCAGCACAGATGCGGCCCGGGCCTCCATTTTGCGGAGTGCCAGCGCGAGGAGGGCCCAACTGCCAGTGGCTGCGCAGTCGTGGTGCTCGTGAAGGAGATATGTGCTGCTAAAGAAGTCATCTGCAGGAGCTGGGCTCGAGGCGCGGCCGATTTCCGCGGCAACCACCGCGTGCTGAGTGTGCCGCGCCTGCTCGGCTGAACGCAGCAGCGGCACGGTGCCCAGCGACAGAAGCCATTGAAAAGGCCAAATCAAGCTGCCTCCCGCATCACACGATCAACTTGCTCTCGTCATGGGCACCGCTGTGGCCACAGTTGCCTCTCTCCGCACTTTGGCGGCGGCACCTCTCCACCTGGCCTCCTGGCGCAGTCCGCTCCCTCGCACCAGAAGAGGAAGGATGAGTGATGCCACATTATCTGTCGCGTCAGCTGCCGTGCAGGAGCAGGTGGGCACCAACATGGCGGCGCCCTGCGCCTGGCGGCGCCTCGCCCCTGACTCCTCCATCAAGACCCCAGCTGCTCCCCTTGCCATGTGCAGGTGTGGCGCCCCTCCCTGGACGACGTGCAGCGCATCAGCACGGGCGACGCAGCACGGCACCGCGGCACTGGCTCCCGCGCCGTCCCGCACCGGCTCAACGCCGAGGAGCGCAAGCAGTATGAGCTGGCGAAGAGCAAGGGCGTGCTGGTGCTGGCGGGCAGCGGCTATAGGCGGGAGCGCAAAGGGTCGCCGCTGGCCAACATCTGGCGGCAGTGGTGCGACGCCAAGGCGCAGCCCTGCGTGCTGCTGGCCAAGGGACCCACCGCCGCCGCTGGGGACACAGTGCTTGTGGACCTCTCCGTGCTGCGCCTGCCCAACCTCAGCATGGTGAGGCCTTTGCGGGGCGCGTAGGGGGCAGCAACTGGCCTTCAATGCTCCTGGCAATCAACCTACCAACTTGCTCCTGCCAAGCAACCTCAAGGGCCTCGACAGATGTTCGCATGCGACCCTGCCCTGGCTGCCGCAGTACCAGGAGGCGTGCCGAGCCATTGCCCGGCAGCACGGGTGCAGCCAACAGCCCAGCAGCGAGCTGCAGTCGCCATTCACAGTCATCGTGCCTCCGAAGCTGATCAACGCGATGCTGGAGAGCGGTGACGACGTAAGCAGCTGCAGCGGAGAGGGCGGCTTGGATGGCAGGGCAGAGCCTACCAGCAGCGGCTCGGAGCAGGCTAGAGGCTGCGCAGCTGCGGCAGCAGACAATGCCGCGGCAGCCGCAGCTCAACCAGCCGGTACAACTGATGGGAGCAGCAGCGGTGTCGGTATGTTGCTTGCCGAGCTGCGCGGAACTGCGCCCATCTGGCAGCAGCTGCCAATGCTGGAGGGCTTCGCCGCAGACCGTGGCACCGCCAAGGCGCTGGCCAAGGCGCTAGCAGAACAGCTGCGGGAGCTGGGCCCCAGCTTGACAGTGTAACAAGCCGCCGCTATTGGCTGCGGGAATGGTTGAGTTTTCTTGAAAGTGTTGTGTTGGATACAAGAATTGGCGGCAGTATTGCAACACAGTGGGGGATGGTGCGAATAGTGTACTTGTACTGAGGCAGGACATGTTCATGCTTCACGGCCGGGTGGCAAACAGTCGCAGCGGGGCCTTGGCAAACAGTTGCAGCGGGGCTACACAAAAAGTTTGAATACCTCCAGCTCCCGCCCGCTCAGCTCCCGGAACTCAAACTCGGCATTCAGCCCCTTGACAGCCTCCCAGAAGGCTGCCTTCTCGGCCTCGGGGAGCCGCAGGCCCAGCAGCGCGGTGGCTGCCCGCTGGCCCGTCTTTCGGAAGTGCAGCAGAGTGATGTCATACTTGGGGGAGATGGGGCTGAGCAGGCGGTGCAGCATGCCACGCAGCTCGGGATACTCCACCTTGAAGATGACCTGCAGCGGTACCGCCACCACAGCAACAGAGTCTTTCGTGGCCGAGCCTCAGCCCATTTAAGGAAGCACAGCACGCGCGCAACACTGCGGGCAGCTCTGGGCTTGAAGCGACTCAGCCTCACCTCATCTTGTATCTCCCCGCCGTCGAGCACCGCCGGCCCGCCGATCATGTGCCGCAGGTGCACCTGCAATTTCAAAGGCAACCGGCAGGACGGCTAGCGACACAGGCCATGTGTAGCCCAGACTACCTGCGCCACGCCCCCCAGCGACTTGCTGATTGGAACCAAACCAGCCCCAAGCCCTGCCCTCCTAACCTGAGCCAAGTCGATGTCAGAGACGTCTGTGGCCATGAAGCCCTCCTGGCAGTTGATGCGCTCCAGCAGCCCGCTGCACTGCTTGCTGCCGGGGGCCAGGCCCAGGCCCAGCAGCAGGCGGGCAGTACCGCGCCGCTCCGCGCCGCCGGTGAACCTGCAAGGGACCGGGCAGGGTCGGGTCGGAGAATGGCTCAGCTCGACATGGGTGACAGCAGGCCCCTGCCCGGTGATGGTACCGCAGGTCAAGAAGAACAGTGCAGTACCATGCCGCACCTGTACTTGAGCTCCGTCACATCCAGGGGCGAGCCATCCGGCGCGGTGGCAAGCCCCAGCAGCTGCACAATGGCGCCGTGGCGGTCGGGGATGCGGGCTGCCAGCATCGTCTCAGCAGACCCCACGTCCACCAGCTCTGCAGGGCAGGGAGGAGGAGAAGGGGTGAGCGGGAGGGGTTGGGCCGGGCTGGCATAGGCTGGCGGGAGGTGTTCAAGGTTGCAGCAGGGGCGCCAGCCGCGTCGGCGGAGAAGGCCAGGCAATGCAACAGCCTCAACAGCAAAAATGGCATAGGAGAAAAAAGGAAACTGGGAGAGGCGGGCACCTGACACCAGGCGCAGCCGATCGAAGTTCATGTTGGCGCCACTGGTCACAGCCACCACCCGCTTGCCGGTCAGCCCATAGTGCTTGAGGAAAGCCTTGGCGCCGGCCACCGCCACCGCACCCGCAGGCTCCAGGATGGAGCGCGTCTCATTGAACACATCCTGCTCCCAGGGGGAGGCACAACAGGCTGCCAGGGTGGGGGAGGGGCGGGGAGGGGCAGCGACAGGACCAGGGTGGGTGCGGCAAACCGGGCCCTACCTCCCCCCGCGACCCTGACCTCGTCCTCAGCAGGGCCGCCCATTCCCGCCTTCCATGGGCCCACCTTGATTGCTGTGCTGATAGCTGAGTTGTCCACAAGCACCACGCCGTCCAGCAGCTCTCGGCACAGGCGGAAGGGCTCTGCCCCAGGCAGCTTGATGGCCACTCCATCGGCAAAGGGGTCCACACGGCTGAGCGTCACACGCTCGCCGCGCACCAGAGACTGCAGGGCCGGGGCGGCAGGACGGCAGGCAGGCAGGCAGCGCCGGCAGTTGCAGACGCACCAGCTGGCTTTAACTATGCCAGCCAGAGTCTTGAATCAGCCACAGCCCTTCCAGGCTGGGTTCCTTCCCAGCCGCCGCACCTGCGCCATGGCGTTGGCCCCTGTGGGCTCCACCCCGATGACTTGGATGCTGGGCTTGAGGGCCTTGACGATGGCGGCAATGCCCGCAATCATGCCGCCGCCACCTGCAATTCGCAGCCAGACGAGTATTCAGTCGATGGATGGAGCCCGCTGCGCAGGCGGGCTGGGTTACGTGGCTTGCTGGCAGGCGCGCTGGGCATGGCCGCTTGCTGCGCACCCACCAATGGGCACAAAAATGCAGTCGAGATCCAGAAAATCTGTCTGCCGCAAGATTTCATGCCTAGGTCAGAAAATTCAGCAGACAAGCGACGGGATTGAGTGAGCAGCTCGGAACTGAGGCAGCCCTGCTCGGCACCGAGGCAGCACTGGCATGCCCCACCAGCCTCACCCGATGGTTCCCTGCCCCGCAATCGTGAAAGGGTCATCGTAGGCATTGATGAAGATTCGGCCCTCCTTGGCAGCACGCGCCTGCATGCAAGCATGGGAGACGTCAGAATGGTTCTCCGCCGATGCCTGCCTGCACGCCGCCGGCCGTGCCGCCCACCTGCGCCTCGACCTGCGCCTCGAAGAAACTCTCCCCCACAAGCTCTATCGTCGCCCCCAGCTCCCGCACCGCCGCAATCTTGATCTCTGGCGAATTGGTGGGCATGCAGATGACCGCGCTGCAGCCCAGCGTGCGCGCAGCCAGCGCCACGCCCTGCGGGGCGGGAAGCCGGCGGCCGCCTTGCGAGCATGCCTCCAGCAGTGGCAGGTTCCACCCTGCTGCGCCAGCTGTAGTGCCTGTTGGGCCGGGCTGCTGGGCTGTCCACCTGCCCGCCCACCCTGCAGCTCACCTGGGCATGGTTGCCAGCTGATGAGCAAACCACTCCCTTTTCTAGCTGCTCGGGAGTGAGACGGCTCATCTTGTTGTAGGCTCCCCGCACCTTGAAAGAACGCACCGGCTGCAGAGGCAGGCGGGCAGGCAGGCGCAGAGCGGGAGCAGGTGGATGCACGAGCCGGGGCGCCTTCTGCGGCCAGGCCTTGTGGCAATGCGCAGGCTGGCCTTGCTGTCCCCGGGCTAGGCATGGACACACAAGTCATTCCCAACACCCTCCGCCGCCTCCGTCCTCAACGCCCTGCCCTCACCTGGAGATCCTCCCGCTTCAGCCAGATGGTGCTGCCCAGCTGCTTGCTCAGGCCCCGCGCCTCCTGCAGGGGCGTCTCCACTGCAATTTTGTAGACATGTGCCGTCAGGATCTCTTTCAGGTAGCCATCTGGCTCCCGCCGCCACGCCAGCTCCGCAGCCGCGCAGCCCGAGGGGCCCTGCGCAAATGGATCAGGCACATGCATGGGGGTCAGGCAGTACCCCCCGCACATGCAAGCAGCGAATGAAGGAGGCTGAGTTCGAAGGACCCGGCCAGTGCCCTCTGTTGTGCGCCTCTTGATGTGTGCGCCTTGCTTTGTGTGACAGGGTACTGTAGCTGCTCACCTGGCACGCGGGCTTTGTGCAGCCAGTGCATTTGAACACATCGGCCGCAGAGGGCGGCCGCAGCACATTGATGGGCAGCAGCTGCCCAGAAGGCACCTGCGTCGTGAAGCGTGCGGGTGGGGGGTCGGTTGGACGCCATGAAAGCAACCGGCAGGCCAGCAACCAGGCTGCCAGCCAGCCGCCTGCCGCCTGCCTCACTTGGAAGTCTTCTGGCGCCACCAGAATCGTCTTGTCGGCAGGAGGCGGCACCAGGACATCCGACTCGGCAATGGATTTGTCAGCTGGGGCGGGCGCGGCTGCTCGGGCCTCTGCCGCTGGGGCCTTGCTGCCCGCCTTGCGTCTGCTGCCGGCGCCGCGCGCCTTGCTGCTGCGGCAGGTGGTCACTAGCACGCGACGGGCCCTACAATGCGTGCAGCGGTGGGGCCGCAAGGAGGTGCAGTTGGGGAGGGCGGTGGGCGCCACGACAGCCATGGCGCCTCAGCTTGGTGTTTTGATATGCATGCACCAAAAGGCGACCTTTTCGGGGTTCATTGTAAATCCCGGGTGCCATGCATGTGTTGCCCACCAGGTGGCAGTCCCTGAGCGGCCCTGCGCCGAGTCGGACTCACTATGAGGCTTTCTCACCCAAACACCAAATGCAGTAGTGGAAACTGCACAACACAGACCGCCTTGCTCCACCACGCTCTGATCGCATCGTCGCAGCATGGCGAGCTCCCAGCAGGGCCCAGACCCCGCTCTCGACTTTTTCAGCCCTCGGTTCGACCCCCTGAGGGCTCTGCAGGCCGAGGGGCTGCGTCCGCCGGTGCCTGGGGCCCGCCCCCAGGACAACGTCTTCCGCTGCCGCTTCTTGCTGCCGCCTGACCACCCAGACGCGTGGAACGAGGCGCGGCGGCCCGGCAAGAGCAAGGTGGGGCAGTGCATCGTGATGCTGTAATTGTGCAGCAGTCCTGTTGCTGAACACACCGGCATTGCAACAATGTGGTTCAGGGCGGCGGCGGCGGCCGTGCCGCGTTTGACGCACAACCCACATGCGGCATCGCCCCCTGGCTTCCCAAACCGCTTTGCAGGAGGCACAGGAGGCGGCGCAGCGGGAGAAGTTGCGGATCTCCTACGTACACCAGAAGCAGGAGCGGCAGCAGTGAGCATCGCGTGGGGGTGTGCCACCTGTGCCAATGTCAGCCGCGCCAACCGCCTCGCAACCGGCGGCACGGCACCAGCCTCTTTCTCACTCTGGCATCCTGCCCTTCTGTCCAGTCTGTCCACACTGTACCATGCAATGCCCCATTGCTGATGCTGCTGCCTCCGTCACCTGCACCTCTGCTGGCTGCCACCGCAGGGTGAGGACCAACCCTGTGGACCAGATTGCGGAGCGCGTGCAGCATGGCCCGCTGCTGCTGCTCAAGCGCTGGTACCAGCAGCGCAGCAGGGTGCGCGTCGTCACGCGGCATGCTCGTGGCGTGCGCGGCAGCTCGGAAGGTGGGCGGGGCTGGTCAGCCTGCCAGGCCGCGTGCCGCGTCGTTGGAAAGCAGCGCAGGCACGCCCTGGCGATGAAGGCCATGGAGGATTTGTCGCCTCTGAGTTGTGTGTCAGTGCCGCCAACTTCGTGCAGGCTTGTTGGTGGCCTTTGACAAGCATATGAACCTGGTGCTGCGAGACGTGGAAGAGCAGTACACGGTACTGCTGCAGGTGCAGCGCGTGAAGCCGCCAGCGCCAGGTGCTGTGGCGCCCTGCTGTGTCTGCCAGCAAACATAATCAAACGCGTTCCCTGCAAATTGATGCTGGTACTGACGCATGTGGCTGCACGTCGTGCAAACCTGCTATGATGCGCCATCCGGTGCAGGCAGCAGCGGCCTGGAGCGCACGCGGTGGGTGCGGCAGCAGGAGCACCGCCGGCGGCAGCTGCGGCAGGTGTTTGTGCGGGGGGACAGCGTGGTGCTGGTGTCGGCGGGCCCCTCTCCTGCGGAAGCAGCAGCCGCAGCACAATTCAGGCCTCATGCACGTCAACGGCAGCAGGCAGCGCAGAAATCGGGCATCAGATGATGAGCCAGACACACCCTGCTGAGCATCCGGTGGCTGTTTGTGCGGATCGATGGCATTGCAGTTGGATCGATGGCATTACAGTTTGCTGACCTTCGATGAATGAGCCAGAGAAGAAAGGAAGATGAAAGGACTTCTGAGGGCAGCGGGCACGGTTTGGGCCGATATGGGATCATGAAAACATGCTGGAAGGTGCGAATGGGAGCACGCCTTGCCGCACGTTGTGCACACAAAGAAAACCAGGATTGGACACAGAAGATCGGCCGGGTGGGCGCTGGGCAAGCAGCAGCAGGTGGATTGGTCCTGGAGCAGTGCTGGTTCGATGACACGTTCCTGAGGCAGTGCAGGTACACATGCATCAAGCAAGACAGGGAGGTGAGCCTGCGAAATAAAGGTACAGTCCTGCTGCTCGTCGTCATAGGCAGAGCAGGCGGGATCGGCAGGGGGATGCCCCCATGGCGGCAACCCACGGTTTCATCAGGCATTATCAAAGGGGCTGCGCAACTCTGGCGGCGAGCTCCGGCGCGTCGCCTGGGGAGGAGTGCCTGGAAGCTGCGTGCCCTGGCTGGCTGGGGACGCCTGCTCGGGTGCGGCTTGCTGCCATGGGCATGCCGGTGGCTGCAGCTGCTGGGGTGATGGCTGCTCTGAGGAGCCTGCCCCTTCATCTACCTCGGCAAACCCTGCCTGCTGGGCAAATGGCGACACATATTTGGGCGAGCCGACTGTCTCAGCCGAGCTGTGTAGGAATGCCGACACCAAGGCAAACGGCGACTGTGGGACTGTTGCTGCTGCCGCCGCTGCTGCGGGCACTGTTGCCTGCTGCAGCTCCTGCTGCTCCGGCGCCTCCTCGGCGCCACCCGGTTGCGGGGCACCACGCTCTGGGCTGCCCCCGCTGCTCTGCTGCTGCCGCTCCGCCTCTTGCTCTCGTTCAGCCTGCTGCTGCTGGCCCAGCCGCTGGCGATCCGCAAGATGCTGGCCGTGAAGGAAGCGCTGCTCCCTGTGCTGCTTTTCCGTCAGCGCCTGCTGCTGGCTATGCTGCTGACCTGCCAGCACCCGCAGCTCCTCCTGCTGCTCCTCAGCCAGCTCCTCCCCCTGGAGCTGCCCAGCGCGGTGGGGCTGCTCGGGCTGCTGCGGCAGGGACGGCTGCTCGCCCTCCTCCTCCACCTCAGTCACCCTGGCCAGCTCCTCGGGCTGCTGCAGGCTCTGCAACCGGCTGGCTACCTGGCGGCCCACTGGCTGGCGCAGCCTCTGCTGCAGCCGCGCCAGCTGCTGCACGAGAGGCGAGCCAGCCGCTGCAGCAGCAGACGACAATCCCGGGACCGACAGCTGCTGGTGGGAGGGCATGCCTGCTGCCTGCCGTATGGTTGCCTGCTGCTGGGCTGAGAGCTGCAGAATGGAGGGGTCGTCCAGGGACCTGCGGCGCTGCATGTGCCGCGGCCCAGGCCGTGGCGGGCGAGGCCCCAGCGGTCGCATCGCTTTAGCTGCTGCCCCAGGGCTGCCGGTTCCTGTGGGTGAGGGCGCCAGGGGCACCTCTTCCAGCGGGAAGCTGCTGACAGCCGGGCTGCTGCTGACGCGCTTCATGCGCGGCGGCTCCTGCCCTTGCTGCTGCTGCTGCTGGCCCGACAGGAGCGCGGGCGGGTGCTGCTTGGGCAGCGAGGCTAGCAGGATGCTGGCAGAGCGGCGTGGCAGCTCCATGCTGAGAGCTCGGCTGGTGGTTGCTCGGCGAAGCGCCGCCTGCGCGGCCTCCAGGGATGTACCAGGCGCCGGGCTGGCATACGCTGCTGCCAGGGCCTGCGCCATCTCCCCCTCTGCATCAAGCATAGAGAGGTTGCTTTCCTCGGAAGAGCGCTGGCTGGAGGGCTGCTGCTGCCCTGCAGACTGGCCGGTCGCCGGCCCTGGAGCCGCGACGGCAGGCGGGGCGCTAGTGCGGATGCTGGTGTATGTGCTGGCCGGGCTGGTGGCCGCCAGCTGCGCCGCCACGGTGCCGCTCAGCTGCCTGGCCAGCCCCGCTGCTTGCTGCTGCGGCCTCCGCGGCTGCTGCTGGAGTTGCTGCAGGCGTGCACGCGCGCCGGCTGCTGCCGCGGCGGCTGCCTGCGGTGGCCGAGGGTCGGGCATGGCCCGCAATCGATCCACAATCTCCACAGCCGAGGGGCGCTTGCGGGGGTTGGTGGCCAGGCAGTCCAGAATGAGCTCCCGCACCTCGGCAGGGCACTCCTGGGGCACTCTGCACCGGCAGTTGGGGCACAACAGGCGGGGAGGGAGGGATCAAGGGAGGCCGCGACCCAGGGCCGCGGAAATGGCAGCATGAAGCTGCCTGCCAGGGTTGCCGGCTGCTCTGCCTGTGCCGTGGAAAGCCCGCTGGCCCCTGCAGCCCTGCTCAGCAGCATCCCTGGGACCCATTGAGCCCCAGGGAGGGAATCCCATGTCCTTGCACATCCCACCGCCCGCCCCGTCCAGCCACAGCCCTCACCCTACATCCCTCAGTTGCCCCCGGATGGGCGTCATGCAGGTGCAGATCTCCCACAGCACCACGCCTGCACCGCAGAGGGGCGCCACATGGGGTGCTGATCAGGCAGCTGGCACGTCGCGGCCATGCAGGCAGCCTGGCATGCTCAGCTGCATGCTGTGCAAGGCGCTTTGCACAGCATGGCCCTCCCTCGGAGGGAGGGCCTACCAGCCAGCCAGAGCCAGCCAGCCGGGCAGCACACCCACCGTACGAATAGATGTCCGCCTTCTCGGTGCACCGCGCCCCCAGCAGCATCTCCGGCGCCGCCTGCAGCCAGCAGCAGCAGCAGCAGCAGCGGACCAGTAGCTTGCTCAGCCACAGCCACGGCAAGCACCGGCAGGTCAGGCACGACACACAGCTGCGCCCGTGATGATGCTGTGCTGCATTGTGCCCTCTCGCCAGAATCTGGGAGCGAGCTGTGCGCCAGCCAGCAGCAGGTTGAGTGCCGGGCTAAACTGCATTCGCGGCAGGCCTGTGCCCCAGGCTCTCACCCAGGCCAGCGTGCCCACGTTGCCCGTCACCCCGCTGTACTCTCGAGCCATGATCTTGGCCATGCCCACATCACTGATCTTGGCGGTACCATCACTGCAGTACATGTAGCAGTACAGGTGCATGACACATTCAGGTCGATGTGGATGGCAGCGCAGGGCTCGCCGCGCCAAGGCAGCAAGTGACAAGTCGGGGCTTGGATTGACGTGTCGGCAGCAGCTACACAAGGCAATCCCATGCAGCTGCAGCCGAGCCCCTTGCCGCTCCCTGCGCCCACCCCCTCCAGCAAGGCCCACCGTGCCAGCAGGATGTTGGGCGACTTGAGGTCGAAGTGGATGATCCTTCGGGAGTGCAGGTAGGTCAGCCCGCGGGCCACGTCGAGCGCAATCTGCAGGCGGGCAGTGGGCGAGCTCGCACTTGCATGAAAAGCAGCGCCGGGGGTGCATGGCCATCCAGCAGCTGAAGCATGCATGCCGATCAAGCCGGGCGCCTGCCTCCTCCTCCCGGCACGCGCCTTCTTCCCTCGACGGTACCAGTTGACGCGCCCCGCCATCAAGTTGCGCGTCAGGTTGCCGCCGTCGCAGTACTCTGTCACCAGCATTGTGCGGTCGATCTGTAGGCTGGCGCCCTGCAGGGGGTGGGACAGGCAGGCAGGAGGGAGGAGGAGGCAAGCACGCAAGCAGCAGCATCAGGGCATGCATCAGGCCAGTGAGCCAGCGGCAGATGCACACGCGGGGCGCAGGCATGACCACTCGCGTCCCGTGGCCTGCTGCCATGCCAGGACGCCGCCAGCCCTGCAACGGTGTTCTCACCAGGAAGGCGACGATGTTAGGGTCCCGGCAGGCACGCAGGATTGCAATCTCCCTCTTGAAGTCTTCCTGAGACTGGTACCGCGTGGCCTCCGCCACAGCCTGCAAGGAGCAGATAGGGCAATGCACAGAGGGACCAGTGGCGCCACTGCACAGCATACCTTATGCGGGCAGCCGCAACTCTCAGGCCCCCCCACTGGTCACTGCCTGCAGCAGCGGCGTGCTCCCTGGCATGGGCAAGGCGTAGCTGCTTCCCCAGTGGCAGCATTTGGCAGGCACAGTGGAACTCACTGCTAACACCTTGACGGCCACTGGCTGGGCGCTGTGCCGCAGCGCCTTGTAGACCTGCAGGCATACAGCCAAGCAGGGATTGAGAGAATCAGCAAGAAGACCTCCTTGCATCCAGCCAGCACACGCCCAGCAGCCGAGCTCGCCACTCGATGGTGACCCGCTCTGCAGCAGCCAGCCTCGCCTTGCCAAAGCCGCCAGACCCAAGCTCCCAGTCGCTCCCGTCGGGCCGCTTGGCGATCTGGATCTCTGCGGCGGCAGGCGGGCAGGGAGGGGAGCAGGAAGACACGGATGCAAAGGGTGCAATAGCCCTTGCACAAGCCACAAAAAGACTGGGGCAAAAGAAGAACTTTTGCTGTTGCAGCTGTTGTTTGCTGAGGAGCAGCCTCTTCCAACTCACCGCTGGGCGTGATCAGCCAGTCGCTGAGCGGCACAGAGTCCTCCCACTGCAGTGCCTGGCTGTCGGCGCTGCCCGACTTGGAGGGCGGCGTGAGGCGGCGGCTCTGGCTGCCGGTACCGGCAGTGGTGGGCGATTCTCGGAGGCTGCTGCCGCGCTGCGCGGTGGACTGGGAAGGTGTGCCCTCCAGCGCTGCCAGCTCGACTGCAGCAGGGGCAGGGGAGCCGAAGCGTGAGGCTCACCATCCAGGTTGAGATCGCACAGGGATGGGACCCACGGCCTGCAGGTTGTCTTGTGGTGAGGGGCAGGCGCGCCAGCTCAGCCACTCACTGTCCAGGTGGCGCTTCACCTCGGCATCCAGCTCCCTGTCGGCAGCTGCAAGGCAGGCACAGCATCCAGTGTGCTGGATGGTCAGGGGAGGCACCACTGGGCGCTAAAGCACACTGGGAAAAGGCATGTATATGGGCGGGAGTCGGGCAAGCGAGGCTCCCACCTTCTGCTGCTGCTGCCACCGACACAGGATCCCCACCCATCATCATAGTGAAGAAGCTGCCGGCAGACGTGCTGCTGCGCTGCGGCAGCGGCTGCTCGCCAGGCATGCGGTTGGCGGCTGGGGGCCCCAGCTCTGCCGCCATTGCAGCAAAGGGGGAGGCCAGCATGCCATGGCCGCTGTGCTCGCCGGCCGGCTTGGGCGGGGTAGGCGAGGGGCCTTGCAGGTAGCTCGGCGGTCCACCAGAGGCCAGCGTTTCAGAGGAGCCGTCCGCCTACATGCAAAGCCATCTCCTTCAAGTTTCAGTGCTGCCACAGACCAGCAGCACGGCCTGCCATCCACCACAATCCTGGACAGGCTGAGCAGCTAGGTTTCTTCATCTACCGGCAGCAGCACCCCACGCTCACCTCTCCGCTGTAGAATGGCAGCTCCCGCTTTCGCTTCTTGCGCCGCCGCCACCGCCGGTTAAGCAGCAGCGCCGCCACTGCCGCCGCCATTGCTGCCAGGCCTCCCACCACGCCGCCCACGATGGCCCCGACACTGCTGCCACCGCCACCTCCAGCTGCCACGGCGCTGCTTGGTTCTGCTGTGCTGTCGGCAGGTGCAGGGCCGGCGGCAGCAGCTGCTGGCTCGGCCCCAGGCGGGACCAGCTCCGGGTATTGAGCTGAGCTGCAGTTGGCCAGGTCCACTGGAGACTGGCAATCCACACTGGCAGCACAGACGCCAATCTCAACAGCATCAGGGCAGTCCATGCCTCGCGCATCACACAGCCTGCACCAGCAGCACGGCAGCGCAGCAGCAGAGGAGTGGAAGCGCCGCCTGGGACACCCCTGCACAGAGCTGGCCGGCATGCGTCACAGGCAACATGAATGCTTAGCTCGAAGCAGCAATGTGAAGAGAGCAGCAGCTTGAGCAGCTGGGGCTGAGCTGAAGCTGTTCCCCCCACATGGGCTTGCCTGAACGGAAATGTGCTGCTGGGCTGCTTGCACAGCAGCTCGTTGCCGGGCCGCACAAAGACGGCCTGCAGGGTGCTCAGGGAGCTCCAGGACGGCGGCACCGGCCCCGAAAAGTTGTTGCCATCCTGCAGGGTGGCGCAGGATGGATGCAGGGTTGGAGCGTAAGTGGAGCAAGGCCTTGCTGCGTGCAGACAGATCCGGGCACCTCTTTGCAGCTGCTCACCAGCCACAGCGACTGCAGCTGCGGCAGGCCGCATCTGGTGGGGTCCTGGCAGTCCCAGCTGGCCGGCAGGGTGCCTTGCAGGCTCGTGTTGCTGAGCACCCTGCAGCAGCAGCAGCCCGGCAGGAGTGGCGGCGTTCAGCAGCATGCAGCGACCCACTGGCCGGGCACTATACATGCTGCCTGCGAGTGCCAGCAGCAGGCAGCAGCTGCACGAAGCTCACAGCGTCGTGAGGGCTGGGAATGCCTGCTGCTGGCTCCACTGGTGTGGCAGGGTGCCTCCCAGCGGGTTGTTTGACACGTTGAGCACCCGCAGCGCCGACATCCCCTCCTCCTCCCAGGCGCCCCACTCCTCAGGCAAGCCACCCGTCAGCTGGTTGTCCTGCAGCGCAGGCCGGCGAGCGAAAATTGAAGCAGCAGCAGAAGAGCTGCCCGCGGCTGGGGCTGAGCAGCGGTCAAGAACGTCGGACAGGAAACAGGTAGGGTACCGCCACAGTACTGCAGTAGTACCTGCAGGTACATCTCCTCCAAGTGAGTCATCACCCCCTCGGTGGCCCACTCTGCCGGCAGCAGTCCAGTGAGCGAGTTGTTTTGCAGCGACGCCACCCGCAGCTGCGGCATGCTGCCGTTGGTCCCCCACGTCGTCGGCAGCGGGCCGGTGAAGTTGTTGCCATTGGCACGCCTGCAAACGTACGACAGGCAGGCATCCGGGATGTCCGCAGGTGCATGCGGCTGGGGGAGGAACCACGCACGGGTGCCAGCTCAGGCAGCGGCTGGCAGCAGGCAGGCTCACAGAACGAGCAGCGATGGCAGCAGCAGGTCCTCGGGCAGGGTGCCTGACAGCCGGTTGGCGGCAATGCCCAGCAGGGTCATGCGAGGAAGAGCTTCTGGGTTGCTCCACTCATCAGGGATGCTCCCTGCGTGGGGCACAAGCCGCAGGCACAGCGCCATCAGCAGCTGCCCACAGCAACACTCGCAGGCATGCTGTTGGCTACTACAGTCGTGGCAGCCCATGCTGCCCCTGCTCCCCTTGCTCCCGACCACTTCTCTACACACATACCACCACATCCATCCCACCTGACAGCTGGTTGTAAGAGACGATGAGGTGCAGCAGGCTGGATGCGGCGCCGGGCTCTCCGTATGCCGCCGGCAGCGGCCCCGCCAGCCGGTTGTACTGCACATTGATGGTGGCCAGGCTGGCAGACTTGGCGATCTCGGGCGCCAGCGTGCCCTCCGCCCGCACGCTGCACCGCGGGCACTGCAGCGCCCTGCAGGCATGGCAGCACAGCAGGACGCCGTTCATTCATCGGCATGCGTGCGGTGAGCTGCGGCGCGGCAGGTGCTGCCTGCTGCGTCGCAGGCGCTGCTCCCGCGGGCGCGAAGCCGACGCTGTCTACCAGCTGAGGCTGCAAAGCGGTGTTGCTCGAACAAGCGGTGCCATGCCTGCTGAGCCAGCACAGGCCAAGCACGTGCAACACTCACAAGCTCTGCAGCGCGCCATCCGCGTCGCATGTGACACCAGTGTAGAGGCACGGCGGCACCGCCGGGTCTGCCCCCCACCCCGTCAGGTTGTTGGCTGCCGAGAATTCTGGCCAGTTGGTGATGTGGCGCTTCACCCCATCCAGTACAGCCTCTGCAGGCAGCGGCGGCGCCAGCAGCACCTTCAGCGCAGGGAGCCGCGCGTGGCGGCAAGCAGGCGGGCAGCAGCAGCATCACAGGGGGTGGCCGGCCGAGGCGGCAGGTCGAATGTGCACGAGCAGGGTGCTCCTTGCTCACGCAGGGACAGCGGCAGGGCGACGACCGCCGCGGCCGCCGGCGGTGCAGCGGCGGCCAGCAGCACGACCACCAGCGCCGCTGCTGCCACCAGCGCCAGGCTATTCGGGCCCCTTGGGGCCCGCTTCATGCCGGGAGCCTCCCGCGGGTCCGCGAGTGGCCTCGGTCGCGATCAGGGGTCCATCGCCCGGGATGCGCTACAGACCCGGAGCAGCAGGATGTGCTGCACCCGTGCTTGTTGGAATGAAGCGAATGGAAGGACGCAGCCGCCAAGGGCCAGTTTCGTGCCACGTTCCAGGTAGGCCTCCCCACGTTCGCATGCGCAATAACCTTGCGACCCGCCGCGGCGCGCCGAATGGAATGCCTCCTCCTGTTGGCGAAGAACCTGTTCAACAGGTGGGGAAGATAAGCATTACATGAGGGTTTGATTACTGGGTCCGCTCTGGCATGACGCCGCCGCAGACGGCACGCCCACAGCTCACTCGGTTCGAGCAACCCGAGGGCAGGGCTGTGCAAGCACATCAAGCGTGCATCAATTCAGCTGCTGCCGCCGATGCGCAGTATGCCGCAGTTTGGCAGGCCGTGCCGCCGGTGCTCGCCCAGCGGCGTGCCCAGCAGGGCGGCGGCCAGTATGCTGAGCGCGTCGCCGTGGGAGACCAGCACTAAGTGCTTGCCGCTGTGCCGCTGCTCCAGCTGCTGCACCAGGCCCGCGGTCCGCGCCGCCACGTCCTCCACGCTCTCCCCGCCCTCTCCTGGTGGCCTGCATATGCGGCAGGGGCCGTGAGGCGAGGCACAGGAGGGGGGCAAGGGCGCAGCGGCGACAGCATGCGCCCAGCCCACCATCAAGAATTGTTGCAGGCGGTGGGCAGACTGATGGGCACGCTTGCTAAAGAGAAGCCGGCCAGGCACCGGCTCGGCCCAGCCAGGTCCAGCTCCGCCCCGCAGCAGCAGCGCCGCCAGCCAGCCCACCGGTTGGATGTGGACAAGGCGTCCTGCGCCCACACTAGCTCGTAATTGGCGCAGCTGGTCATCTCGTGGTCGCCAAAGCACCGCTCGCGCAGCGCCGGCTCCAGCTGCCAGCGGGGGGCAGGCGGCAGGCGGCCAAGTCGGGCGTGGGCTATGAAGCAACCTCAGGAAGGACCAGGCAGGCAGTTTCTTGTCGTGCTTGTGCACAGATCACGACGTGCACGAGCGTAGCGCGTCCATCCAGCACGCCAACGTCTGCTGCGAGCGGAGCAGGGGCCAACATCCCGGCACAACGGCACGCTGAAGGCTGTGCGCTGTAGCGCACCTGCAGCCGCGGGTCGCCCTCCTGGATACCCAGCGCCGCCCCCGCACCCACTGCGGTGTCCACTGTGCGGCTAAAGGGCGAGGCCAGCACTGCCAGCGACGCAGGTTCGTGCATGCCCAGCTGCTGCGCCAGTTGCTGCCCCGCCGCCGCTGCCTGCTGCCGTCCCGTGTCGCTCAGGCCCCAGCGTGCCTCCTGCCCGTTCTCTGGCCGGCTCACAATCAAGTCCTGCTCATTGGCGTGGCTGAGGCCGTGCCGGAGAAGGTAATACGTGTTGTTGAAGGTGGTAGGGGCAGCGACCATGCCTGGGGCGTGCTAGCCACAACGGCGGAAGGCGGCAGCGGGTGGGCGGGCAGGCGGCGGTGGCAGGGGTGCTGCACTGTGCGATCTGCTGCTACCTGTGCTGCCTGGAGATTAGCCCACAACGGGTTGAGGCTATTCTGAGGGCTGGCCTTGTGCTGGTGTGACCGACAGCCAATGTGTGTGTGCCTGGTGTCGCACTTGGTGCTGCTGGAGCACAGAAGAAGAAGAAGAATCACATGTGGGAGGTGAGAGGCATCGATCGGGGCTGTGCTGGGAGCGAGCTGCCACGTTTCAATTGGCGCCTTAAAGCCAGAAGCTGGAGGCGCCATTCAATTCGAAACACCACCGTCTTAAGCCATGCACGCGCTGACGGGGGCTGCACCGCCCCTGGCCGCCGGCCGCAACCGCAACCTGGCTGGCAGCAGGTTGCGGACGACGCCGTGCACAGCGCCTTTCAAGCAGCCAGCCAGGAGGCCAGTGGCGACCTGCAGACCATCCAGGTCTGGCTCGACATGTGCAACATGTTGACCGAGGCGGGGCGGGGGGGGGGGGGGTTGCGGGCAGGGGGTGCCTGAGCGGAGAGGAGAGGGCCTCAATTAACCAGTTCATGTTCATTACCAACCTGGCCCTGCGCTGCAGGTGGCGGTGGGGCAGCATATCCTGCGGGAGGACATTGCCGCGGTGATGCGCCGAGCGGCGGGGCGGAAGCTGAGCGGCGGCGACCTTGCAGCCCTCGCCCGCTGCTTCGCACTGGATGCCTCTGCCACCATCAGCTGGCCCGAGTTTGAGCGCAGCTGGCGGGCGCTGCAGCACCTGGGGGCCCGCAGCAGCGCTGCAGCTGCTGGAGCGAGCAGCCGGGCAAGGACCAAGCACCCCGGTGCGACGGCAGCGGCGGCGCCACTCCTTGGCAGCCAGGTGAGCCCAGAGGGATGCCAGAGGGATGCGAGCCTGCCTGGGCTGTGCATGCTTGCATCCTTGTAATCGCATGCAAACTACCACCCCCCAGCCTGCCACCATGAGCCTCCCCGCCGTTGCAGCCCGCCACCGAGGGGCAGGCCGTCGGCTGGCACCACGCGCAGGCGCCGCTGCAGGCGCGGGAGCGGCGCGAGGATGCAGCAGCGCGCTACATGCCACTGCGCGGCACAGACGTGACTCGCGGCGGCGAGGGCCGCTCGCCTGCCTCATACTACGGCATTTACCTCTGAAATCGCCGCTCCAGTTTTCTTCCGCTACAATACATTCTTCCACCTTCTTCACCTGCTGGGCTGTCTCACCCTGACTGCCCTGTCCTTGTCTCTCCTCTCTACTACTGTCCTTCTCTCAGCTGGCGATCCGCCAGCTGCTGCCCCTACACCCAGCACCCGTCCTTGCAGCAGAGGGGCTTGTCACACAACAGTGTCGCGCTGGCGCAACAGGCACAGGGGCAGGGCACAAGGTCAGCAAAGGAGGGTGTGGAAAAGAGGGGGCAATCGAGGCGGGGCAGACGTGACGTGTGAACAACACAGCAAGGGATGGGAAACGGGAGTCGGCAGCATAACCAGAAGCTGCGCATGGTGCGGCGCATGGCGAATGAACGAGCATGGGGGCAGGCTGCTTGAACTGGTGGTGCAGCTGCGGATGGGGAAAAGCCTGGACGGCTGCTTGTTTGGGTGCGGGCGACCCGTGCGGCCTGCTGGCCGCGGCGGGCCTACTGCTGGGCCTCCTCCTCGGGAGGCGGCGCGCGCTGCCCGCTGCGGCTCCTGCTGCGCGAGCGGGGCGCCTTCTTGGAGGGGCTCCTGCTGCGGCTGCGGCTCCTGGCGCGGCCGCGCTCCTCGATGCCGTCGGCCGGAGCCGGTGCCTCCTCAGCCGGGGGCACGGCATCTGCAGCGGGCGGCTCGGCCGCGGGCGCGGGGGCGGGCTCGGTGGCCGGCGCGGGGGCTGGGGCTGGGGCTGGGGCGGGCGCGGCGGCCAGCGGCACCTCCACGACGTGCGGCGCCGGCGCTGGCATGGGCGCGGGCGCCGGCGCGGGCGAGGGCACGTGCGGCGCGGCGGCCGCCGGCAGGGCGCCCACCGAGGCCACGGCGGCAGTGGCGGAGGCGGTCGCCACGGCCATGGACGCGTGCTGGCCCGTGCCGTGGGCGGGGCTGCCGCAGATGTAGCACTGGTGAGGGTAGCGGCATCGCCCTATCCACTGGCAGTTGCCGGTGCGCCAGAACTGGATGCAGTGCTGCTTGCCGTCGGGGGGGGCCAGCAGCGCGCCGGCGGCTGCCAGCGCCTGCGACGCCGCGGCGGGGCGCGGCATGTGGCACTTGCGGCACGACTGCCGCTCTGGGTAGTTGCCCCAGCCACAGCCGGCGCACTGCCAGTCGCCGGCCACGGGCGCGCCCGCGGGCTGGGGCACCCCACCACCCATGCCTCCCATGCCACCACCCATGCCATAGGACGGAGGCGGCGCCATCCCGCCCATGGGCGGACCACCAGGCGGCGGCATCCCGGGCGGCATGCCGCCGGCCGCCGCCATGTTGTGCTGGCCGGTGCCGTGCGCGGGGCTGCCGCAGATGTAGCACTGGTGAGGGAAGCGGCAGCGTCCCACCCACTGGCAGTTGCCGGTGCGCCAGAACTGGATGCAGTGGTGATTCCCATCCGGCTGCGGCTCCATGGCTGCTGCGCTGCTGAAACCTGCGGCAGGGACAGGAAACACAGGCAGTGGCGGTGGGGCCACTGGTTGCAGCTGCAGCATGCTCACGGCCGCCGTTCATGAACCTAACGCGCCGCCATCAGCGCCCCTGCGCGGGCCCCGCAACTGTGCACAGCCCCTGTCGTGCGACGCACGCACCTGCGAAGCTTCTCTCCCCCTCGATTGGCCGCGGGCTTGGGGCCTACGCTGATCGCGGCGGTTTCGCGCTGGTTCTGGCTCTGGAGGGCCTGATGTAGTTAGAACTGAAGGTGCAAAGCTGCAGGGTGCGGCTGCATGAAGCTCATGTACCGCACCGCCGCCTCGCTCACAGCGGGCGCGGCTCGCTGGCTGGCTGGGCGGCCTGGACCTGGACGATTCCAGATCCTTTTTGTCACGTCACCTGGCTGGCTCTAGTAACACAGCCTCAGATGCAGCCCACACAGTGTTTGCGGCGGTGGGAGAGCGGCACGCCTTGTGCCAGAGGATATGAGTTAGCGCAGCCTATAGAAGCGCCAGCCACTGAGATATCCATTCATCCATTAAATAGATCATTGAATTGGGGGAATGATCAGCTGCCCCCCCCCCAAATCCCCTTGGACCGCCACCGCTGGTGCCAGCCAGCCTGAGCTTGACTTGTGAGGGTGGTGGGCTGCGTTTGGGTGCACGAGGGTTGCTCACCAGCGCACAACCAATCCCACGAAAGCAGGCGAGCGACACGCAAAGCCGATGGAGCAGCAAATTGAGGGTGCCGCGCAGGCCGACCGCTGCCTCTCCAGACATGTGCTGCCGCTGCGCCGCCCTCACAGCATCTTCTGCAGCAGCTGCAGCAGCTCCGGCTGCTGGATGTACTCTGGCAGCTCGTCCTTGGCCACCCACAGGTGCTCGCTGTACCCGCTGCCGCCCCTGAGCACCGGTACGCCCTGTATGAGCTGGCACCTGCGGCAGCCGGGGGCGGGCAAGGAGGCGGGGACATCCTCGGGAGCATGGAGGTGTGGCTAGCCAGCCCCAAACAGGCAACCAGACCGGGCAGGCAGAGGGCCAGCAATGCACAGTGCTGCCCCAGGGTGGCAACGGCGCCGCAGGGCCCGCCCGCACCTGTGGAAGAAAAGCGTTCCGGCCTCGCCCAGCGCCACGTGCCCCGCCGGCGCGTTGCCCACAAAATAGGGCTGCACCACCGACTCGTCCACGCACTCTGCCAACGCCCGCTCCGCCGTCTGCCGCATCGTCTCGCCCTCCTGGTTCTCTGCGGGTGGGGGCAGGCGGGGCAGGAGGCGGGGGCTCACGCAGGCAGGCGGGCAGGCAGGCAGCAGCAGTGAGGCAAAGGGCAGGCTTGCAGGAGGGCTGTCCTGAAATGAAGTGGCTCAGGAGAGGCACAGGATGGCAACCCAGAGGCACAGGCATGTGCTGCTTATCGTTTCCCTCGCAACGAGTCGTCGGCGAGCCACAAGCCATTTCCCTGCCAGCCAGGTTGCCAGGCTTTGCTCCAGCCTGCCAAGCACGCACCTCGCTGCATGAGCGACCATGCGCCGCCGCCGCTGCCGCCCTTTGGCCGCACCAGCATGAACAGCCGCTGGTCTAGCCGCCGCTGCAACGAGCGCCTATCGTTGGCCTTGTCGGCCGCGGTGATGCGAGGCGCTGGCTCGTACCTGCACCACCATCATCCAGCCAACAGCGTTAGCCTGCACCTCTCCCTGCCTCCCAAACACTCGCCGGCTGGCTCAGCCGCATCCCACAACCCCAGGATGCATGCTCCCGTTGCCCGCACATCCACAACACGCCACGCACATGCTGCCCATGGCTGCACCCTCAACCACGCCCCCCGCCCACCCCACCCAATCCCACCTGGCCCCTGCATCATCCGCCTGCCTCTCGCTGTCTTTAAGCTCCACAAAATCCTTGGGCAGCACCTTAAAATACTTTTCTGTGATGGCCTGCAGAATCCAGGCCAGCGTGGCGCATGCTAGGTGGCGGGAGCAGTGTGCTCAAACGGTGCAGCCGTGCCCAGCGCAGGGAAGGCTTGCACCCTGCGGCCGAGCTGCAGAGGCAGCCATGGTGGGGATGTGGCCTGCAGCGCGGCGCATGGGTGCTGCGCACCTGCTGCCATTCGCGGTGCTCCTGCTCCCACTCTGGCGGGTCGGGGATGATGACGGGCAGCCGCTCCAGCACGCACACGCCAAACAGCTTGCCGCCGCTCGCCGCTGCCGCGGCCTGCACGTTAGGCAAGGCATACACGGCTGCATTGGCTGCTGGAGGGGGCGGGCGTGCTGCGTGCGTCTTCCACTTTGCAGCAACCCGAAGAGAGGCGGCGGCGGCGGCGGCGTTGACAACCCATCGGGCAGAACCCATAGCTGCAGGACCTGCGCATCACGCATCACTCACGGTGGCGCTGAATGAAGCTAGGTGGACGAGCTGAAAGGGCTTGGGGCCGCCAGCCGTGCCGCATGCCGCTTGCAGCAGCGCTGTCGCTGCCTGGGGCTGGCTGAGCAGCCGCCTACAAATGCTGGACGCCATGGAGAGCTGCAATGGGCACTGCCGAAGAACAAATGTTGCGATGAGGCTCTTGCTGCGCTGCAGCTCGGCTGGGTCCACAGGTTCACGACCGATGCCGCGAATGCAGTGCCCAAAGGACGGCCAGGCACGAAGCGAGAGGTACGTGTACTTCTGCTCAAGAACTCAGCGCTGCAGCATGTGCCGCTGTCTGATCTACGCCCCAGCTCCCATCTGCATCCCGCCACTGACTTGCCAACAGGTCCGCAGTTTGGGCGCGCTCGCAACGGCTCGGCGGACTGCCCGATCGCGGCTGTGCAGGGGCACGCCAACTCGTTGACGACAGGCAAGGCAGAGTGCGGTCGCTGCAGCTTGTTTCTGTGCTCGGGCAGCTGTGGTCCCCCTGCTTGTGCTCCTCGCAAGTGGTGAACCCAGGAGTGCTTCAAACCTGCTCGCAAGGCGTGCACTGCCCCCTGCCGTATGGTGGGGCTCCAGCGGCGCCGCCGCCCACCCCGCCTCTGCTGCCGCGCCGTGCCTTCAGGTTGTTTCCCAGAGGGCAGCCAGCAGCGCGACCATGGCGGCCGCCACCGCGCAGCTGGCCAGCTTTGAAACTGGGCACGGCGATATGGTGCATGACGCCGCCTTTGACTATTACGGGAAGCGGTTGGCCACCTGCTCCAGCGACCGCAGCATCAAGGTGTTTGAGGTTGCGGGAGAGCAGGTGCGCCGCCCTGAGAGGCCACAGCCTGATCTGCTGGCCCTCTCGCCGCCGACGCCGCTGCCTGTTGGTCCCGCCTGCCGCTGGCCCTGCCTTGCGGCTTTGCATTGTTTGCAGCGCAGCTGATGCCGTGCACGCATGGCTGCGCTGCACCTCCCCTGTCCCCACACCCACCCGCACATGCCCCCACACACACACCTGCAGGTGACCCACCTGGCCGACCTGAACGGCCATGAGGGCCCCGTGTGGCAGGTGTCCTGGGCGCACCCCAAGTTTGGCAGCCTGCTGGCCTCGTGCAGCTTCGACAACCGGGTGGTGGTGTGGAAGGAGGTGTCGGACAATGTGTGGCAGCAGGTGTACCAGTCGCCGCTGCACACCGCCAGCGTCAACTCCCTCTGCTGGGCGCCGTACGAGCTGGGGCTGTCGCTGGCTGCGGCCTCCTCCGACGGCGCCGTCTCGGTACTCACATACCAGCCAGACGGCACCTGGCACGCAGACAAGGTGGGCCGCCGGCTTGGCGTGGGCATGGCGGGCGGCAGCAATGGCCGCATGCAGCACGAGACGACCTGTGGCTGCAGCTGCTGGTGCAGCAGGTTTGTGGCTTAAGGGTTGCAATTGTATGGCCGCCGTCTGGTGCAGATGGATGGTGCACACCCCATCGGCTGCACCGCGGTCTCCTGGTCGCCCGCCGCACCCAAGGGCTCGCTCGTCTCCTCCAAGGCCCCCGGCCAGCCCGTGCGGCGCCTGGCCTCCGCCGGCTGCGACAACTGCGTTCGGGTGTGGATGTATGCGGAGCAGGCGCGGCAATGGCGGCAGGACGGCGCCACCCTCACGGGCCACACAGGTGGGGGGCAGCGGGGGTTGCAGGCGGGGCCAGGCGCTGGCAGGGCAGAAGGGCACAGCGCACGGCAGATGGATGTGTGTGTGCATGCTTGGGGGAGGCTCCTGCAGGGTGCCACGTGGGCTGCAGCTGCCTGATGCACACTACTCACCTGCCGGCTGCCTTTCTGTGGCGTGCAGACTGGGTGCGTGACGTGGCGTGGGCCCCGAACTTTGGGCTGCCCATGAACACCATCGCCAGCGCGGGGCAGGATGGCAAGGTGTTCATCTGGACCGAGCGGCAGGAAGGTGCGCGCCTGTTGTGGTGGTGGTGGGCGCTTCTGGGAGGGTATGTGTGGGTGAAGAGTGGAGCATGGCGTGGCATTCGCTGCTGAAGGACGGATTGGCACCCGCTGCTGCTGCTGCGGCGGCGGCGGCGGCGGCATCTCGACTGCCGCTGCCTTGCTGCGCTTGTTGCTCCGCTTTGCGGTTGTTTGCCTGCCTCGGGCGAGCTCTGCCTTCTTGGGGCACCGCTGCCCCCGCTCTGCTGACGCCCCCCCCTTCCCTCCTCTGCCATGTACCGCAGGCGGCTGGGAGCGGCACCTGCTTCACGACTTTGGCGCCGCGGTGTGGCGCGTCAGCTGGTCGGTCAGCGGCAACATCCTCTCCGTGTCCGACGCCAACAACGCGGTCACGCTGTGGAAGGAGGCGGCGGACGGCCAGTGGCAGCAGATCACGCAGTAGGAGGCGGCTCGGCTTCGGCGGTAGCAGGTGGCAGCGGAGCCCAGGCCTGAGCTACCGGCCGCTCCTTCCAGCTTGGTTTGCATTGTTGCCTTGCGCCACGGCTTCACCAGCTGTCTGAATGACATGTTGGCCCGAATGAAAGAATGTTGGGGTCGCCAGGGTGCCAGAGGAGCTGTGTGTGGCAGCAGGGGGTGGCAGTGTCCTTTCGCCGCCGCAGGTCCTGACATGGCCATGGGAATGTGGGCGGTGCTCGTTGGTGCGGCAGCCCTCCCAAACGCCTGCATCCGCCAAGGCATGCCCCTTCACATGGACCACAGCCTCTCGCGATGGTGGCTGGTGATCGCTCTCGTTACCGAAAGTACGGGACCCTCGCCACGGCGGCGCGGGGTGTTATGGACATTCAGCCGCTCTGCTCGGCTCGCCCATAGACTTCCACCAACCCCCAAGCCACCCCGAACACCCTCCGTGAGCAGTGGCCACACATAGTCATTCCAGGACCCCCATCTCTCAGTCTGCTTTCACCTCGCCGCCCTCTCTCGATGTGCCAGTCTCGCGTGCCCAGCGCCATTTCGGCCAAGGGCAACGGCGCCCGCGCAGCCTTCGACCTCTCGCGAGCTCTGAAGGCGGCGGCCTCGCAAGCCGCCACAGCAACGCCCACCCCACACGGCTCGCAGCAGCAGTGTGTAGCACAACCGGTGAGCCTCTACACTCGTTGCTGCCTCCGTGCCGCTGCTCTCGGGATGGGGCACGTGCACTATCGTGCATATCTCACGCTTCAAAGCGGTTGGCTGGCTCAGAGGCACTCCAGGAAGCGCAGGGTGCTGCTGGGGATCAGGCGCCAGACGCTGAGAGCTCAGCACCGGAACAGCCGCTCACCTTGCCTGCTCGCCGCCGCCCCCGCAGGCGCCCGCCTCTGACGAGGAGCTGCTGGCGGAGCAGCTGATTGCCGAGCTGTTGATTGAGGAGTGCAGAGATCTGATGGCGCGGCAGCTGGAGCAGCTGTCGCTGAAGGAGCAGCACGAGGTGTGTGCTCAGCCGCCTCGCCGGATTGTGCTCCTCTTACCGGCCATATGTGCTCCCCGCTGCCCTTGCTCACTAGCTCCTGCTCGCCCATTGCCGCCTGCTGCAGGCCACCTTCAGCCGCATCAGTGCCGACATCCAGGCCAAGCGGGCGCAGCCAGCGTGCCGCGCAACATTGGCATGATCCACTCGTGCCTGCCCCAGCCATGCCGTGGCCCTAGTGGGCCACGCGGGGGAGCAGAGCTTGTCGAGTGCCTTGCTGCTGCTTTCTGCAGCGGCCCATGCTCCCTACATATGCCGCTCTCGGCATCCTATTTTGGCGTTTTGAACTCTTCTCCCGGCTGCCTGCCACAGCGGGCAGCACCCTTTCCTGTGTACAACGTCTGTCTGGGGTTTCTCCCTGTCCCCCTATTCCAGCCCCTGTCCGCCTCCCGTCCGCCTCCTTGCATCTTCCTTGCGACGTCTTCCCTTCCACCGATGCCCACGAAAGCACTCTAGCCATCTCTACTTGCATTCATTCATTCATTCATTCAGCACACAGCCCGGCCGCCTCTTGCTCGAGGGCGGCCCACTTTGGCCTGGGCAGCCCGGGCCGCCCTCCCCCCCGGGCGCATGTTCGGTGTTGGAGGGGTGTGCCCAGCGATAGGGGGCCCCTGAAGGCATGCGCCGAGGCCGGGAAGCGTGGTTCGGCGCTGCTGCACGCTTGGCGATTTGACCAGAACCACGTGCCGCCGAGCTGCGGCCGCAGTTTCCGGCCCACGGTCTACGGTCGCAGCCACGGGACTCGGCGGCACGGCGTTTGGGCCCAAGCTTGCTGCCGCCGCCGCCGTGCCCGGGGGGCAGCGCGGCGGCGGCGGCGGCACGCTGCGACGCCCCCGTGCTGCCGAGCTGCGGCCGTAGTTTCCTGCCAGAAGCCCACGGCCACAGCCACGGGACTCGGCGGCACGGAGTTTCGGTCCACGGCTTGCTGCCGCCGCCGTCGCAGGGGTGCTGCCTGCGGCGGCGGCGGCACGGCGTTTGGGTCCACGGCTTGCTGCCGCTGCCGCCGCCGCAGGGGTGCTGCCTGCGGCGGCGGCGGTAGCGCACGTGGCAACCCCCCGCGTTTCCTTGCCTCCCATCCACCGGACCCCGTCCTGCGCTTCACTTTGTTTAGGGAGGGGCTGCTCACTGCTCATTGCTCATTGCTCATCGCACACTGCTCAACGG